AAGTACTAGAGTTGCTTTTGGCATTGCTGCCTGGCACAGAGTTGGCATCCGATAGTCTATTAATATATAAATATTAGTTTCATAAACATCTTCAACATTTTTATTAAACTCCATTCACTTCTGTGAAAAGTAGTCAACCAACAAAATGGCGATACCAATTAACGAGGTTTGCCCTTATTCCCCTCCTATTCTTGTGGCAGTCTGAAATTAGAACTAGCACTGGAAGCAAAAATGAAATGAAAGTACAGTAACACAGTAATCACTTTTAGTTCACTTCGTGGACAACTGAACTACAAATCAGAAGGAAAAAACCAACTAACCAATCAAAAATGGCCCAAATGAACCAGTGAACTAAAGTAGAAAAGGTTCACTTCCCATCCAGAACTGTTTTTTGAAAAATGTCAATAAATTGAGCTTCTCAAAAGAGCTTTTTATGTTAAAACAGGCATCTTTCAAAGAGAAGCAGATACCTTTGAGGTTCCTGAACTTAGATTACAACACAGAGATAAGTATAATAAAGAGAGTGCACAATGTTAAAGGTGGAGGCGAAGAGGATTGTGGGGACAGTCATTTCTGGAGATCTAGAAAGAATTCAGTATGTTTCATGCAAGGTAATTTCTGGGGTCCTTGTATGTTAAACATTCTTAAGAGAAGAAACTGTCTTTATGTCTTACATTTACCTTAATTTTCTTTTATTATTTCCAGACCACATCTACTGGTTATGCTAAGCAATTCTTTTATCTTTTTGGAATTTAAACTTTTTAAGGAAACAAAAATTAAAGAACAGAAGCAAGACACATTGGAAATATGAACTCTTCTTTTACTGCATAAGAAATGAGAAGAAAAACTTAGTGTGAAATTCTGGAGTCTAAAATTAAAATGTAAACAGAGAATGCTCAGTGACCTTTTCCTAGGAGGCTCACATGAAGGAATGTCATGGTACATTGACCAAACTTTTATTCATTTGCATTTTCAGGATGTTGCTATTAATACCACATGACACTCAATAAATTACACTACAACATTTTGTACAAATCACTTCACTTCTGGTTTCCTCTTCAGCTGTGTTACTTCAGCATCTGGTTACCTAGTAGGAAAACAAATGTATTTGGGCTTATTTTTAAAGGGAGAGTCACAGTTCTGACTGATGTAAAGGTATTGGTTCCCAAACTATGTTCTAAGGAAATAGCTACCTAAGGCTTTTTTTTTTTTTTTTAAGATGGGGTTTCACCATGTTGGTCAGGCTGGTCTTGAACTCCCAACCTCAGGTGATCCACCCACCTTGGCCTCCAAAGTGCTTGGATTACAGGCATGAGCCACCACGCCCAGCCCAGGTATTTTATTTTTAAAAAGCTTTCTACTGTAACAAGTTTGGGAAGTGCTAGGTTAAACAAAGCTAAACATGATTCTTTCCAGTGGGACATCGGAGAGCCTTTAATTAGCTAACAGTACACTGTGATTCTGCAAAGAGGAAACAATAATTCATCGTGTTTCCCAAACTTATCTGACCATACAACATATTTCTCAGAGTATTTTTCAAGAGCAGTATTTTCTGTAATATATGCTGAAAAATAATGGTATCAGCCATCTTTGTACGTAAGGTCAAAATGTCAGCCAGCCCCTGAAATAAATGTTAGCCAAAAGGTAGAGAGATAAGTGAATAAAGCTGGCACACTATCAGTCAGGAGTACCATGCTGCGTTCTGAGTCAAGCTCCAGGAAACGGAGCTGGGGTTTGTCTCTAAGAAGAAAAACTAGAGCATTCAAAACTTCTGGATCCCATTTAATTAAAACCCTTTTAAATTAAATCCTTGTAACTGAAGAGTATCAGTAGAGGAAGAAAAAATAGTCTCACATGTCTTCATTTCCATCCTTGGCTCAGTACAGCTCCAGTTCCATTATTCTTAAACATCTATTGACATGATTGCTAAATAATTACACAGGCTAACTGCCAAGCATTTCTCACAGGAAGCAAGGCACTGCTCTTCTGGTTTATGCAAAAGGGTCACTTTTTTTTTTTTTTAATTTTTATCTTGTTTTGATTGAAGAAACATCTCTAAAAATACCATCTGAGTGCAACACTAAAAGGAAATAGCAATTCAAGGCACAAAGCTAAGTACATGCAACAATATAGATGATTTGGGGGTGGGACAGTACAGAATTCAGAATTGATAGAAGTTATCAGCTCCATATTTCAGAAAGACCTAGTGTCTTCTTTCTGCTTATACTGTTCTGCCAGAATTTTAATTTTGGCAGAGATCATCCTCAATGTTATGATGTTGATTCAGGGGTTCCAAATCAGCAGACCTGATCCTAGACAGATCCTCAAAGGTCAACTGCCACTAGGTGTCCCCTTCTTGATCATCCTTCATGCTCCCTGGATTGGGGCATGGCTAAGGACTCAAGTCAAAGATTAGTTGGCAGTATCCTACATTGCCAACAAAGCTTTGAAGAAAACAGAGAGAGAAACTGGTAGTTTCTAAGTACCTAGAACAACTCCCCTGCCCCAAATCCAAACAGATCCTTTCCCTGCTATTTATAGATAAAATGGGCTTAGAGAGGTTGCAAAATTTGTCTAAGGTCAAACCAAATGCTGATAAGCAAATTAGATAAAATTCTGAGCCAGGTCTGGATGAGTCCAAAGTCTGTTTTACAATATCATGCTGTCTACTAATCGTTACAAAATTTCATTTGTTTACAGGAGCACAAATGGCCCATTTGTGCCTTTTCTCTCAGCATCTAGCAAAACATCTCAATTTTTATTACACCAACTTCAGGAGTCTTGATAATGTTTAGAGCTTCTCATTCATTTGCCTAATCAACAGAGCTATTTATTCTCAACTGTTGGCAATAAACTGTCTTAACTCAGCATTCTGGAGGAAAAAAAAAAGAAGAAAGAAATTCTAAATACTTGAATTGCTTCATTTCATGATAATTCTTTACGGCATGCATCTTTTTGGTTTTCTTTAAAAAGAGATTCTAAAATCATGACATATTTAGATATGTAAAATAGTATGAAGAGCAATGGGAACACTAATCTAAAATAGTCAAATGGCTAGAATACCTGTGTCTGTAGTAATCTCAAAGTATATAGAAAACTCTTGAATTTATTAAGCAATTGCTCACGTGTGCTTGATTGAAAAAAATAAAGCATTGCCGTAGGACAGTAGACTTGGATTAAGTCTCTCTGGTTGTTTCCTCATTGTTTAAAGTATGTAGAGCTCTTAAATTCCTTCAAAACTTCCAAGATTCTATAGTCAACTGCAACTCACTTGCCTTTCCAGAATAAACAATTTAAAAGAACACAAATCCCACTGCCTCACCCCTTTTTAAATCTTTTGACAAGGGCAAAGGACTTACCCATCTTCCACCTAAATTTGCTTTTCAGTGTGACAGAAAAATCAAGCAGCAAAGGAAAACGTATGACCACTCGGCTAGGCAAGAGTGATGTACAGTGCTTAGAAAATAGTTAAGAAGAGAGCAGCTTAACAGTCCACTTATCTTGGTTGCAGGTATCATATCTCATATCCCCTAAGGGTAGAGAGAAAAATCTATCATTTCCAGGAAAGGCGGTAACACAGTTAAAGCTTCTTTCCCTTGCTTGGCCTGATACCATATATTTACAAATGAAAATAATTCTATGAGTGCTATTATGCCCACAGCACCTGCTTTCAAAATCTTTTATCAGAGAAATTACATAATTTCTATCTGGCTTGATCCTTACTCTGATAACAAATAGACCTGGGTTTCCTAGTATCACATCCTTGTATTTCACTCCTCTCATCATCTCATCACTCTCATCTCCCCCTCCTCAACCGACATTGACACAAGCGGCCTGATACAGGACACATCGTAAAATCAGAGTCTGGACCATATTCACCACAACCTGGTACAGTTGAGCAAATACTAGTTACTCAAAAATATAACTGACTTGACTTTCTAGGTTTAATTTCCTTATGAAGCAATCATTCCTTCAAAATGTCAGGACCAGAAGGATTTCAATGGTAGTGTGCAATGCTTGCTTGTTTCTTCAAAGATTTCTTGGACATGACCAGGCCCATGGGTAGATGCACTAGAGGGGATATTTTGGGGAAATGCTCCCCTTTAGATGCTCTAGCAGATGATCAAAATGGGAAAGAGAGAACTAGTGGGCGATTTTCCCCTCTACACAGACACATAACCATTTCTTTTTTTTTTTCCTCAGTTCTGGGCACCATGCCCAGGGACCTTATAAGCAGAGGTCTCTTGTCAGAAAACATTAGTCACATTCACTGGTAATTCTACCATTATAGCCTCATTCATGTGAAGACTACACAGTAATCTTAGTACAGTGCTTCTCAAACAACAAAGTGCATGTGAATTACCTGGGGACTTTGTTGCAATGCAGATTTAGATTTAATAGGTTTGGGGCAGAGCCCGAACTTCTGCTTTTCTATAAACAACAAACTTCAGTACGACGTTCATGCTGTTGGTTCACAAATCACACTTGAGCAGCGATGTCCTAGGCACCTCTGCCTTCCCATATTAGAACCACATTTTACCTAAAGGTCTCCTTGTGGCTCGTTATCCTAAGAAAAATAAAGCAGAAAAACTCAGAATCTCTGCCATGGGAGAATTCTACCCTGCACACAGGAGTTAAGTTCTCTGAGTCTCATTGCCCAGACTCAGGATCCTGCTTCTTGCCCAGATTGATCTGGCAGAGTCTTCCTATTTAGCTGATGACAAAACTTGGCTCAGCCTCACCACCCTTGGCTGATGCCACTGTGCCAGCAACCCAAACAATTAGTGGTGTGGAGAACCCCCTAAAATATAGATTCTTGGGCTCTAATCCTGAGATTCTGACTCTTTTGGTCTGAGGTGTGCCTCAAGAATAAACAGACATGTTAGGTAATTCTAAGGCATCCTAAGATTTGAGAGAAGAAAATGCATGTAACCACTCTGATAGACTGGAGAAACCTATACCTTACTGCTATTAATATCTTTACATAAAGACAACAAAGGTAAGAAAAAAGAAAACAGAATTTAAGCATTTGATAATATAACAGAAGAAACAAGTTCCTTCCCAATTTGGACACTTAAGGGTATTCATGGTTAAGTTCAGTGTATTCTGTCCTCTTCTTTAGAGAATTTCACTAAAAGTGTGAAGTGTATATTATATATTCTATAGAAAATTATTTTAATGTAGATATGATTACAAATATATTCACTTAGTGATCAAATCATCAAAGGAATGGTTATTTGCTCTTCTGACTGAACAAATGAAAGTAGAATTGTTAGTACACATATAATTTTAAAAAATGTATTCAATACACCAAAATCAGTTAACAAATATAAGAACCGAACATTAATTAGTGACAGTAAAATGGCAGAAGCAAATGTAAAATACAAAAAATAACTTTACTCAGACTTTTTGAATAACATGTCCTTCTTTAGAAGGGCTAGTTTGGCTACTTGGTCTCTGCCGAAGCAGATGTGGCATCCTGAGGCATGTTAGCCTCTGCCGGTGCAGGTACAGCTCCTGCCACAGTAGTGGTAGTCTCAGATAAAGCAGAGATGGCTTCTGGATTGGAACTGGCTCCTGTCTCACTGGGGGTGGTCTCAGTCTGATTAGAAGTGGTATCAGTTTGAAAGGCTAGAGTTTCGTGACTGCAGCTGGTGTCTGTCGGACTGGGTATGATGTCAGCTTGAATAGTCATGGCCTCTTCTTCTGTTTCCAATTCTGTTTCCTGATTTTGAACTTCCTCACCTTCTTCTACCATAGCAGGTGGTAGTTGCAATAAAGTCTAATTAAAAAAAAAAAGACAACACCAATATGAAAAATAGTTTATAAAGCTAAGCTCTCACACTGTTACTCTAGAGTTCTCCGAAACAGTGCTGGCCATTCTGTATCACAGATGTAACACCTCTGATGACAATGGTCTAGGAATATGCCTACAGAGATGTCATATATTGATGATCAAAATACATATAAAATCTTCAGAGAGGAAAACAACCATGAAAAGCTATTACATTTTTAAGCAACAGACTTTGCTGTAAACAGTTCTGCAAAAAACAGTGACTGATTAGGACTGATTATAAAACCAACTCAAGAGTCAACTTTGATTAAAGAGCCCTGTGGGCCGGGTGCAGTGGCTCATGCTGGTAATCCCAGCACTTTGGGAGGCTGATACAGGTGAATCAGAAGTTTGAGACCAGCCTGGCCAACATGATGAAACTCTGTCTCTACTAAAAATACAAAATTTAGCTGAGTGTGGTGGCGGGCACCTGTAATCCCAGCTACTTGAGAGGCTGAGGCAGGAGAATCGCTTGAACCTGAGAGGTGAAGGTTACACTGAGCAGACATTGCACCACTGTCCTCCAGCCTGAGCAACAGAGCAAGATTCTGTCTCCAAAAAATAAAAGAGCCCTGCGGGGGGTAAAGAGGAACCCAGCCTTGAGACAAAGCCACGGGAGGAGGGAGCAGCAAAAAAAAGGTTTCTGTCCCATTCAACCCGAAAACTAAAGCAACTCTATGTGCTTAGCCTGCCCTTTGCCCCATGGCAGTCTAGTGATTTTCTCATCAGGGACTCTGCTTACAGTGAAGGAAACTGAATCCACTCACTGACTGAATGATTAACTGACAGACTCTGGCTGTGTCGAGTACAGTGATGCAATCTTGGCTCACTGCAACCTCTGTCTCCTGGGTTCATGCAATTTTCCTGCCTCGGCCTCCCAAGTAGCTGGGATTATAGACATATACTACGAGCAGGTGATCCACCTGCCTTGGTCTCGCAAAGTGCTGAGATTACAGGTGTGAGCCACCATGACTGGCCTTGAAAATTTTTAAAAAGTACCATGCACTGGTACTGGTACTAAAACAGAGACATAGACCAATGGAACAGAACAGAGGCATCGGAAGCAATGCCACACATCTACAACCATCTGATCTTTGACAAACCTGAAAGAAACAAGCCATGGGGAAAGGATTCCCTGTTTAATAAATGGTGTTCAGAAAACTGGCTGGCAATGTGCAGAAAGCAGAAACTGGATCCCTTCCTGACACCTTACACTAAAATTAACTCCAGATGGATTAAAGACTTAAACATAAGACCTAACACCATAAAAAGCCTGGAAGAAAACCCAGGCAGAACCATTCAGGACATAGGCATGGGCAAGGACTTCATAACTAAAACACCAAAAGCAATGGCAACGAAAGCCAAAATAGACAAACGGGATCTAATTAAACTTCAGAGCTTCTGCACAGCAAAAGAAACAATCATTAGAGTGAACTGGCAACCGAGAGAATGGGAAAAAATTTCTGCAAGCTACCCACCTGACAAAGGGTATCCAGAATCTAAAAAGAACTAAAACAGATTTACAAGAAACAAACAAACCCATTCAAAAGTGGGCCAAGGATATGAACAGACACTTTTCAAAAGAAAACATATATGAGACCAACAAACATATGAAAAAATGCTCATCATCACTGGTCATTAGAGAAATGCAAATCAAAACCACATTGAGATACCATCTCAAGCCAGTTAGAATGGTGATCATTAAAAAATCTGGAGACAACAGATGCTGGAGAGGACGTGGAGAAACAGGAACACTTTTACACTATTGGTGGGAGTGTAAATTAGTTCAACTATTATAGAAGACAATGTGGCGATTCCTCAAGTATCTAGAAATAGAAATTCTACTCGACCCAGCAATCCCATTACTGGGTTTATGCCCAAAGGATTATAAATCATTCTATTATAAAGACACATGCACACGTTATGTTCATCACAGCACTGTTTACAATAGCAAAGACTTGGAACCAACCCAAATGCCCATCAATGATAGACTGAACAAAGAAAATGTGGCACATATATATACCATGGAATACTATGCAGACACAAAAAACAATGGGTTCATGACCTCTGTAGGGACATGGATGAAGCTGGAAACCATCATTCTTAGCAAACTGACACAAGAACAGAAAATCAAATACCACATACTCTCACTTATAGGGAGGTGTTGAACAATGAGAACATGTGGGCACAGGGAGGGGAGCATCACACACTGGGGTCAGTTAGTGGGAGGGGGGTAAGGTAGGAACATCATGGGGTGGGGAAGGATAACGTGGGAGAAATGCCAGATATAGATGATGGGGAGATGGAGGCAGCAGATCGCCCTGCCATGTATGTACCTGTGCAACAACCCTGCATGATCTGCACATGTTCCCCAGAACCTAGAGTACAATAAAAAAACAAACAAAAAAAACAAAAACAAAAAAAACTACCATGCAAAATACCAGCCAAAAAAAAAAAAAGGAAAAGAAAAGAAAGAAAACTACATATAAGGTTTGTATGCTGAAAACTACAAAACCATGATGAGAATTCAACGATGATCTAAATAAATGAGAGATCTTATTCATGGAAAAGAAGACTCAATATTGTGAAGATGTTAATTGTCCCAAATGGATCCTAAAGAATCCTACCCTTCAAAATATGCTTTTAAAAACCATAGCATGCTTTTTGGGGGTAGAAACTGACCTGCTGATTCTAAAATAAATATAGAAAAGCGAAGGAACTAGGATAGCTAAAACAATTTCAAAAAAGAAGAACAAAGCTAAAGGATTTATGTTATCTAATTTCCAGATTGACTGTAAAGCTACTGTAATCAAGGTAGTGTGGTCATGGCAAAGGGACAGATACACAAAACAAGGGAATAGAATAGAAAGCTCAGAATTAGACTCTTGCATATATGGTCAGTTGATATTTTGACTAAGATAACAAGCAATTCAACAAAGAAAACAGTAACAGATCAGGGAAATGGTGCTGAAACAACTGGATATCCACAGGCAAATGAATAAAACTCAATCCTACCTGTATCACATAAAAAATTAATTCAAAATGTATCATACCTAAGTATCCAACCTAAAACTATACAACTTGTAGAAAAAAACTTTTAACTCTGAGTTAGGCTGAGTATTTTTAGGACATAAAATGCATGAATCATCAAAGAATAATTTGATATACTGAACTTTATCAAAATTTAAAACTTTTGCTAAGACGCTTACAAAATAAATAAGCCGGAGTGGGAGAAAATATTTGTAAAATACATATCTGATAAAGGACTTGTAACCAGAATACATAAAAACCTCGTGAGGCGAGGCACAGTGGTTCATGCCTGTAATCCCAGCACTTTGGGAGGCCGAGGTGGGCAGATCACGAGGTCAGGAGATTGAGACCATCTTTGCCCATGTGATGAAACCCCGCCTCTACTAAAAATACAAAAATTAGCTGGGTATGGTGGTGTGCTCCTGTAATCCCAGCTACTCAGAGGCTGAGGCAGGAGAATCACTTGAATTTGGGAGGTGAATATCGCAGTGAGTTGAGATCGCGCCACTGCACTCCAGCCTGGCGACAAAGCAAGACACCATCTCAATTGAAAAAAAAAACAAAAAACAAACCTCATAAAACATACAACCAAATAAAAAAAAAAAAATGAGCAAGAAACCAGAGCAGACACATCCCTAAAGATATACAGATGGCAAATGTCCACAGGAAAAGTTGCTCAACATCATTAGTCCTTAGAGAAATGAAAATTAAAACCACATTGAGACCACTGTATATATATTAGAACTGCCAAAATTTAAAACAGACCTACCATATCAAGTAAGGATGAGGATGTATAGCAATTAGAACTCTCAAACTGCTGGTGGGAGTGTAAAGTGGTACACCACTTTAAAAAACAGGTTGGCAGTTTCTTAGAAAGTTAAACACATCCTTAACATATAACCTAGACATTGCATTCTTAGGTATCTACCCAAGATAAAGTGCAAAGGCTTGTATAAGCAATAGCAGACAAATTTTTTTAAAATACTGTATGATTCCATTTATATAAATATCTAGAAAATGGAAAGAAACCTATTATGACAGAAAGTAGATCCTTGGCTGCCTGGGAAGATAAAAAGGGGACTAGTGAAAGACAAAAAGGAGGGATTTCAAACAAGCACAAAGCAAAACTCTTGGGGATAAGGGGTATGTTTTTTATCTTGACTGTGCTGATGGCTCCACAAGGAAATACCTATGCCAGAACATATAAAATTGTACACTTTAAGTTTGTGAACTTTATCATATGTATGAATTCTACCTATATAAAGATGATTTAAAAAATACAAATGTCACATAAATAATAACAGCCTACTTTAGTTCATTTCCCACAAGGAATTAGGTACTTTAAAGATTTATTCTGAAAAAAAGGAAATCATTTCTACAGCAAGAAAAATAAAAGTCAGTTATAAGAAACTCACCTGATGATAATGATGTGTAGTCTGTATCAAATGCATGTACATGTTGTATACAAAGTTTGCCATCTGGGGCATATTTTTTATTATTTGTACTTCATGAGATGGTCTCTCTCCATTCTATAAGAAGGAAAAAAGAATGCTAAATTTCTGGTCAAACAACCTGAGAAGGTAACACTTCAACATAAGCCCATTTTTTAATCTTATGAAAACGCACTATTAGGGTCTGGAAGACCTAACAGTAAGAGGACATAAAACTCAAGTGTGAAGAGTCTAAAAAGACTTCATGAATGTTTTAAAAAATAGATTTTTAAATAGAATTAATAAAAAAGGGGCCCAGGTCAGTGCATTCTGCCCGCCGGCCATGTGACTCCCATTAAAAAAAGATTATTAAATTTAAAAAAAAAAAAGTAAACTTCATGAAGAATAGTGAGTCCATTGAAATTTAGAAAAGTCAGAGACTTTTTTAAATTTAGACTTAGAAAAGCTAAGAGTCACTAGCTTTTAACACAATCTTGGGTTGGTAAATGAAGTATGGGTTTTAGTCTACAATCAATATAAAAGAATTAGTAAGAGAAAGTAATTATTTGAATAGAGAGGAAAATCAACATGGTGTAAAGCAACAGTTTCTAATACTGTGTATGCTCCAAAGACAGTTCACAAGATAATTCAGAAAAAAAAAATTAACACTCTTTTTCGTACTTATATTTTTCTAAAAAATAAGAAGTTAATACTTACTTTTACTGAACATACAAACTATGAGTCATGAGGGTGAATATTCGAATGTTCTTTTTAAAATTTTGATGTCTATTAGAACCGTCTGTGTTAGACTGTTTAATTGCAGGTACCTAGGCTCTATAGACTCTATAGATTCAAATTCAGAAGGTCTGGGTGGAATGAGCTGATGCTTTTGTAGCTTCCAACAACAATCTAAGAAACACTGCTCTAGTGTAGGTAAGGTTGTAAAGCCATGAAGAAAATACAAAATTTGCACTTCTTTTTAAACCACCCTAAGACAGAGATTAACAACTGTCCCATTTATAGTTATTAATAAAATGTTTATAAAGTCTTATCCTTTCTTATGGCAGGAACAATTTAGAAAACCATTAGGGTAAAAAACATACCCCCAAAAAGAGGGTTCAATTTAGTGACAAATTATTTAAGGAGCATCAAGCTAGAAATAATTTAGTAAATTAAAGAGCAGGATGGTAGCACTCCCATCAAAGCAGGTATTCTTTTAATTAATGGTCACTTTCTGCAATAGTCAAAACTCGTATGTACAAATACTGCCATGCTATTTTGACTAGGAAATGCTCTCTTCTAAACATGGAAAACTTTTTGTTTGCTTGCTTTATTTTCTGGAGTCTTGCCAAGAGCTGCCTTTCCTCGAGATGCAGCACTCCCTGCTCCTCACTATCTCTTGAGCAGAAGATGGGGGGATGTTCTCAGCCCTAACCTCCCCAGGGCCTTGAACTTATGAGTGTTACCTAAAACATGGGTTTTCAAGCCTTCTGTTCAGTGATATTATCTGACCTACACTCCAGATTTCTTCAGGTGTGACACGTAGCCCTTACATAGAAATCACCTAGAGAGCTTGTTACACATGAGGACACCTAGGCTCTGTCCCAGACCTCTCGTCAGGAAGTTGCCTGTTTAATAGCGCACAAAAGATTGAGAAACTCAGACATAATAGGATTGCATCTAGACTAGAGCCTGACACTTGAGGTTTTATGTGACCCTCCCCGCCATGATCTCTCTCCACCATTTTCCTGCTACTTCTCCACAGCAGCATTTCTTTAAAAATAAAAATGCGGGTTTTAAAAAAGTACTTATTATTAATAAACACACAGATTTAATTTTTTTTAGAGAGGTGGTGGGAAGACACATACTGTGAATATCTAAAATAATGTTATTTAAAATCCAATGGATCCCCTAGGACAATTCATTAAATAAAAAAGCAAAGCCCAAAAGTCTATAGTATAATAACCTTTGCGCAAGAAAGACAATAATATAAAAATAAACATATATCTTCTCCTTTATAGAAAAGGAATATAAGTATAAATGAGAAACTAAAGAGACTAGTTACCTGTAGAGGAAAGGTACTAGAAAAAGGGGAGTAAAAAGAGGGGATAAGAGAGAGTAGTAGTACTTCTCTATCTTTTCATTAAATATATGTGCTCTCTCCTCCCTCATTTCCCCCAGAATGTAAGCTTCTTAAGAACTCAACTATTTATTGCTCTATTTTCAATAAGTAGTTAAGTTCTCCTTACAAAGCTGAAGACAAACAGTATAGTATAATGATAAAGAACATGAACTCTGGGGGATGTTATTCAAAAAGACCTCCTGGCTTTTCAGATCTTGGATCCTCTATGCTAGATGCATGGCCAAACTATTTAACTTCTCTCACCCTAAGTTTCTGGATTTGTAAAATGGGATGAATAAAATAATCTACTAACATAACAGGCTGCTGTTACTGAGATGAAAATGAGGCAATGTACGTAAAGAACTAACTGCCTATACAGGTAGATAAATAAATGTTGGCTGAATTATTATTTTTAATATTTATTTATTTATTTTTGTATAGAGATGAGGTCTCCTTATGTTGTCCAGGCTGGTCTCAAACTCCTGGGCTCATGCGATCCTCTTACCTCGACCTCCCAAAGTGCTGGGATTACAGGCATGAGCCAATACTATTTTTATATAGAAAATCTAACTCAGTTCCTCAGTGCAACATACTCTAAACCAGTAAGTGAATTATGTATAATAATGCTCCAAGCTAACGTGGTCACCTATAAGAAAATCCCAATTTCCCCCTCCGAGGAATGCTGAAGAAATGAAGAAAGAAGTCCTACCTTTCTAGTGGTTGGGAAAGGTTCTGTTGGAATTATATGCAAATGAAGGGGGCGAGCTGTGAGCTGACTGAAAGCTGGAGTCAGTTCAAAACAGTTTTGGAAGAGGGATACTCTGGCAAAGATATAAAGTCCAAGTCTGGCTCTAGACATGGCCACTACCAAGCGACGGACATCCCTTTGGGAAATAAACAAAATGATTAGCACACTTCAAGATTATTAACGTTTATGCAGCTTATTTTTTTCACCTGTTTCACTAGATAGTCCTGTTAAGCCATGGCAATAAAAAGTTAAGCTTCTTAAAAACTTAATACAAGTTAATCAATGTTACATGACTAATAAACCAAGTAAAAGTTAAGGCTTCATTACTAACCTCTTATTGTTATTTTTGGGAGGAGGATCACAAAATAACCAATGCACTTACTTAAAAGGTCTAAGTAATATATTAGTATTACAGTATAGTTCAATTGTCAGTTACCAGTTTACTATATCACTGTCACTGAGTCAATCTTAACTAGTTCTTCTTCCACTTCACCTACCAAAATCCCAGGCTCCATCAAGGTAAAATTTCACTTTCTAGATAACTCTTATCACACTGTTTTATTCTTATTTACAATAATGAGTACATATGGAAATATAATATACAAGTTGAGCATCCCTAATGTGAAGATTCCAAATCTGAAACTTCAGATAAAGGACAGTTAGCCTATAACATGTCATCCATGTATTTATTCTAGTATTGAGATGCAATGCCTGGCCTATAATAGGTACTCAATGTTCATATAAACAGCGAAAACAGTTAAACTGAATGATCGGACTATACATGTAAGATGGCTATCTGACAAACAATGTCATTTTTCTTTAATCTCTCTCTTTTTTTTTAAAGAAACTAAGTTTCTTTACAATAGGTTTGAATCAAATAAATGTATAAAAGAGGGCTATATTAGATAAAATGTGTCTTAGTGAGAAAAGATAATTTTGGTTTCAAATGCAGAGGATAGTTTTTGTCCTTGAGATGTTTTCAGATGGCTATTTAAATTTTTGAGTACTCTGCAAAAGAGAAGACTTGCATAAATAATAATAAAGCCTGGGAGAATCACCTCCAATCTCTGAAATAAAGTATGAAAGAGTGAAACAGATTATTCTCTGTAATATTCAGAGAGACAGAGAGAACCAGGAATTGGAATATTTATCTAATAACTTTTCTTTGTGTAATCCAAGATATTTGGGGAGTATCTGTAATTCAGCCTCATTTTCTTTTTTTTTTTTTTTTTGAGACAGAGTCCCACTCTTGTCATCCAGGCTGGAGTGCAGGGGCATAATCTTAGTTCACTGCAACCTCTGACTCACAGGTTCAAGTGCTTCTCTTGTCTCAGCCTCCCAAGCCACAGAAATTACAGACACCCACCACTACGCCCAACTAAATTTTTTTTGTATTTTTAGTAGAGACAGGATTTCTCCATGTTGGCCAGGCTGGTCTTGAATGCAAGACCTCAGGTGATCAGCCCACCTCGGCCTCCCAAAGTGCTAGGATTACAGGCGTGAGCCACTGTGCCCAGCCTAATTCAGCCTCACTTTCTATGGTGTTTTACGGACTAATCTATGGTCTTAAAATAATCTAGTTTCCTTTCTTAGGAGGTACAGTGTGACACCAGCATATGCTATTACTTATATTCTTGTGTTATATGTATGTGTGTGAGGGGACAGAGTGGGGATAGGTATCCTTCCCCCGGCAACAAACAAAATTAATACGTATTCATTTAGGTAGAAGGAAAAGAAATACTCCTCTATGGGAACTCTGAGGAATCTCTACATTTGTGACACACTGGATTCATAAAGGAAATATTATTTTCTAGGTTACTGTAAGCCAAATTATTATTTTTGCCACATTTTCTTAGAACCCCAAGGGCTCATATTACAGTTGGGTGGTTCCAACACTGGTAACTGAAGGGATACTGCTAGAAATACTTAGCATAAGTTCTCACAGAAATATTATAAAAAAAATTATGGTGAAATTTAATGTTGTTAGGGGGAAAAAGGGTTAGTGATGGAAGCAGGTGATAAACTGTTATTTTCATAGTAACCACTGTAATCCCCCTCACATCAGAAGCCCCTATCTGTAGACAGAGCACAGATACAGCATTACTGCAATGATCACTGTATGGTTCCTCTGAGAAAACAACTCCCCAGTCTTCAGTGCTATAGTGCAATAAAGTGGCTTTTCTAAGTGTGATCTCCGCTGTACATGAAGAGATTTGAACTAAAAATTTTCTGCAGATTCAAATGTAGATATCTTTCAAAGGTATATTAATGAATCTGCCACTAGACCCTAAATGCCACAAGGGCAGAGATCATGAATGTTACATCTATTACCAAAAATTAAGAATCTAGCCCACTAACAGACAGCAGACCATACGAAAATGTTTGTTAAATGAATGACCAAACACCATGAACATAACAAACTACCAGGCAAAAAAACAAAGGATGGTAACGTGAGTAGGCAGAGTTCCTTGGAGTTATGTCTTGAAAGCAGGGCAATATTGACTACTAAGTTCCTTCTTAGTCCTCAGAAAATGGCTGGAGAGAAAAAGCACTGTTAAACAACAATGCCAACACCCTGACAGAACCCCTATGAGGAAACAACAGAGGAAAGCTGCAGCCTCAATACTTGGCTCAGAACAGGTTACACACATTTCTATTGGTAGCTAGGCTGTCCAAATCAGTTCAGTACAAGAACAATGAATGCTGGAAAAGGGACCAGAACTGTCCCACTACTCTGGCTTCTAAATAGCTCCACATTGTCCTAAAACAGGCCTCTGGAACTGCAACTGGCTCCCACCCAATCACCCAATTAGTCCATCCTAGCTGAAAAAAGGTGTGAGCAAAAGAAATAAAGCAGGCACTTGAAAAACAGTCTAACAGTTCTCTAAAATGCTAAATATGGTTACCATATGACCCAGAAATCCTACTCTTAGGTCTATACCCAAGTGAAAGAAAAACAAGTGTTCACATTAAAATTATATATGCATATTCATAGCAGCATTATTCATTCCAATAGCCACAAAGTGGAAACAATGCAATGTCCAATTGATGAATGGATAAATAAAATGTGACATAGCCAGACAATGGAATACTATTCAGCAATGAAAACGAAAGAAGTACTGATACATCCTACAACAATGAACCTTGAACATATGTTAAGTGAAAGAAGCCAGTAACCAAAGACCATATATTATATGATTCCATTTATATTAAGTGTCCAAAATAGGCAAATCTACAGAGATAAAAAGTAAATTAGTGGTTGCCAAGGTTTTAGGGGAAAGCGGAGGAAAATGATTGCTAAGTACAGGGTTTCTTGCTAGAGTGATGAAAATATTCTAAAAGTGATCGTGGAGATAACTGCATAACTGTTAATATACAAAAAAATCATTGAATTGCACACTTTAAATAGATAAATTGTATGGTAGGCAAATTACATCTCAATAAAGTTATTAAAAAATAAAACATGGCAGGAAGTAGGTTTCCTTGTTATCCTGAAACAGAAACAGTTTCTTACCTATATATAAAAGGAAGGATATGAAAGATTAGCTTTCTACAAATCAGAAATTTTTATTAAAAGTTTGATAAAATTCTAGCTAAGATACCTAGGCTAAGCTACCTGGGTAACTGGAATCATAAATAATAGTGCAATTGACATATCCCCTCTACGCACAACCACCACCAATACTATCCCTAATTAAGAAGTTGAAGTTTAAAAGGAAAATGTTGGCAAAAACAAATAAATGTAATTTATTGGAATATAGGTATTTTTGCTAGAATATTTTGATATGCAAGACAATACTGAAATCAGGTTTTATTTTAACCCTTCATTTATAAGCATTTTATTATCAAAACCTTTCTTTTTTCCTAAGTTACAGAAAAATTAGGCAAAGAACAGCATAGGACTAAAGTCACTGGAATTTGAAGACCAAGTATCAGAGTTAAAAAAAAAGATAGAGCCGGGCGCGGTGGCTCACGCCTGTAATCCCAGCACTTTGGGAGGCCGAGGCGGGTGGATCACAAGGTCAAGAGATGGAGCAACAAGGTGAAACCCTGTCTCTACTAAAAATAAAAAAAATTAGCTGGGCATGGTGGCGCGTGCCTGTAATCCCAGCTACTCAGGAGGCTGAGGCAGGAGAATTGCCTGAACCCAGGAGGCGGAGGTTGCGGTGAGCCGAGATCCCGCCATTGCACTCCAGCCTGGGTAACAAGAGCGAAACTCCGTCTCAAAAAACAAACAAACAAACAAACAAACAAACAAACAAAAAGATAGGGAGGAGAATTCATATATTCATATTGTAAGTTTTTGGGATGTTAATTACGTAAACCACAGTGATAGCCCATTGAGATGGCAGTTATAAATCTCAAGGAGAAGAAGGAATTGCTTTTTTTTTTTTTTTTTGAGACGGAGTTTCACTCTTATTACCAGGCTGGAGTGCAATGGCGCGATCTTGGCTCACCGCAACCTCCTCCTCCCGGGTTCAGGCAATTCTCCTGCCTCAGCCTCCTGAGTAGCTTGGATTAAAGGCAAGTGCCAGCATGCCCAGCTACTTTTTTGTATTTTTAGTAGAGACGGGGTTTCCCCATGTTGACCGGGATGGTCTCGATCTCTTGACCTCGTGATCCACCTGCCTCGGCCTCCCAAAGTGCTGGGATTACAGGCTTGAGCCACCGCGCCCGGCGGAATTGCTTTTTAGAAAAGTTAAGTCTAAATATTTGCTTCACACTTAATACACAAAAGCAAACTATTTTAGAATGTGAAACAATTTCTTAAAACATTACATCTTTAATTACTCTTTCATAAAAGTTATCAATCTCATGAACCTGGTCACTGGGTTAAGCTCCAAATAGATCTTAATGACAACATTACAAGAGCATTGATAATTTTCTTTTTATGTCTATCCAATAAAATAAAAAAATAAAGTCTCCTTAGTTGTGTTAGTAAGTCAAAGGAGATGAAGCTTCATATAAAACTAAACGGAGGCTTTGTAATAAGAAGATATTTCCATAAATCTCTAGCACATAAATACATCACAATAAATGATAAAAATAGATTATTATTTGTTTTGACAATTCCTAATCCAGGGAGAACAAACGGCTCCTTTGTCCTCTAACACTGAAGCTGAAAGACTGTGTATAAGAAAAAATGAGAAACCATATTATACAATGAAAATTTATTCTTAAGACTTCTTGCTTCTTTATCTCCTTTAATTTCTAATATTAAGTTTCTAACAGATACAGGACAGATTAAGATTGTATGATAAAATGCTATCTCTGAGTGTTACTAAAGAGTAAAACTTAAAATTACTAAAACATTGAAGAGCACAAAAATTCAGCGGCAATGACAATGGTTACTACAAGGAATCTGATGTTACATTCCAACAAAAAGCAGCAGAAGTTGTCATAGTAACTATAGTTTAAACTTTAAAAATATTTAGAACACTTAGCCACAGAATTTCAAAATTAAAGTAGATGGAAAAGTTTGATAACTATTATGAAAGTTTTTTCCTACATACCTCAGATGACCCACTGCCCTGGTTCGCACCAGAGAAAGAAGAATATAATCATTCTGTTGACCTTGAAATCTATCAACAGTTGTCACCTAGAAATAAAAAATGGAAAATACGGTACATTTTCAAAAGCCAAAAGACTCTAGAGCTCATTTAAATAATGTGCTAGAAACAAACACCTTACCCTTAAAACATTAAATCCCAAAAGAAACACAATCATAGGCTTGGAATTCCAAGAACAAGTTACACAACATCATTAAATAAACCATACTAACCAGATTAAACTACATCCTTATGTTACTCACATTTATAGCATTTGTCTTTACTTTTGCTGATAACTAAATAACTATTTTTGGAATTAAGTCTTCCCTCATTAGACTGCAAACTTCATGAGAACAGGGACTATGTCTAGCTTATTAACTGGTATCCCAGTTTGATGCTCAGCAATGTAACTTAGCATGCTTATTACTTAACACCAGTACCTGTCTACAGCATTCCTCTATCAAAGAAAAAAAATAAAGAATTCTTACAGTACTTTCTGTTCATTTTGAAAACATACGTACATAGGAGGCCAAGGTGGGCAGATCACTGGAACCCAGGAGTTAAACACCAGTCTGGGCAACATGGTGAAACCCCATCTACAAATTATACAAAAATGAGCCGGGCATGGTGGTGTGTGACTATAGTTCCAGCTACTCAGAAGGTTGAGTTGGGAGGATTGCTTGAGCCCAGGAGTGAGCTGAGATTGTGACACTACACTCCAGTCTGTGTAATAGAATGAGACCCCGTTTCTTAAAAAAAAAAAAAAAAGAAAGAAAGAAAAAACAAAAGAAAAAGTGTACAAATAGGGAAGTTCAGAAAGGTTTTAGTCACTAATACTGGCAACTCAGGCATTTATCTTTTCATCAATTCAACAAAAATTTTATTGCTTACCCTACAGAAACTGCAATTTATGGTCTCTCTATCTTTAGGAAGTTTACAAAACATTTTTAAAGTCAACTACATGGAGGCATAGTTTATACACAATAAAATGTGTTCAAGGTACAATTTGATGAATTCTGACAATAGATTTTCCCATGTGACCACCAGCACAATAAAAATGTTGCCCATCACCTCAGGCCCCATTTCGGTCAAATCGGCATCCCCCAGCCCCAGGCAATCACTGATCTACTTTCTGTCACTATAGATTATTTTTTGCCAGTTCTGGAATTACATAAAAATAGCATCAAAAGGATATACTCTTTTGTGTCTTGTTTCTTTCAATCAGCATAATGTTTCTGAGATATATTCATTCATGTTTTTGAGATAATTCTTGTGTGTACACAAGAAATTCATACCTTTTTATTTTGAGTATTCCTCCACTGAATGAATATACAACAGTTTGTTTATTCATTCACCTGTTGATGAGAATTTGGCCTGTTTCTAGTTTGAAGCTATTTTGCATAACATTGCAATAAATATTCATGTACAAATATTTTTGTGGACATGTTTTCATCGCTCTTGAATAAAGATGCAGGAGGGAAACTGCTGAGCTGTGTAGTAAAAGTGCATACTTTGTAAGAAATGATCAAACTTTTCCAAAACTGCTATCCCACTTTACACATTCACCAGCAATGTTCCAGTTCTAGAGTTTCAGTTGTTCTTCATCCTTGCCAACACTTGCCATAATGTCAATCTTTATCATTTCACTCATTCTTTTGAGTAGGTAGTGGTATATCATTGTAGTTTTAATTTCTACTTCTTTGACAACTAATGATGGTAAGCACTATTTCACATCATATTGGCTACCTGTAGGTCTTCCTGTGTGAAGTGTCTGTTCAAGTCATTTGCCCATTTTGTATTGGGCTGCCTTATTTCATAATAGCTTTTACAGGAGTTCATATATTCTGGATATAAGTCCCTTGTTATTATATGTGGATATTACCTGCAAATTCTGTTGCCAACCTGATCATGTGGAGAACTGGGCTCACATACTGACATTGGCAGGGCAGAATAACATCACTGAGCTACACTGTAACCCAACCTTGGAACCAATCCTATTTCCATCTTGTTATGAGAGACAGTAACTTTCCATATTATCTGAGTAAGGTTTTCCATAAAAAATCTCAAATATTAAGGTCCTTCTATTTCTAAACTTGCAAAATTATTAGTTTCTCAGTTTCACTCTATTCCTTATCAAGTATTCTGCAGTGTCTATTCTTCCCTGTATTCCTTTTGATTTTGTTTTCATTCCTCTGATTTTACTTTCTTACAGCTTACATTTCATCTCTTTCTGAGTTCTTACATTTCTCTGCTTTATAGCTTTTCCTCAAAGAAATGGTTACTTCATTAGGTATTTTCCAATTTACAGCAAAATGTGTATTTGAAAATGTCATCTTTTCCAGGCCAACATGTTTTCTGGAGCATGTATCCTATCCATGTTTTGCTGCTCTTCATTTTCTTTCCTATAAATTGGGCTTGTGCTAGTTCCCTTCATACTATCTGTCACTGAATAAGTAAGTTTCTTAGATTAGCTATGTGCGAGATGTTAAGATGGGGTGAGCAAGGCTGTTTTCTGAAGGCTGGATGGTTTTCATAGCAAAAGGCCCTCTTTTCTTCTGCTACTGTCCGGATATCCTATAAAAATAAGAGTTTGTCCCCTCTTTCCTCCATTTTCCTGTTACTTCTGCATAATTTCCAGAAAAGGTGAACTTTACATAGCCATGTTCACAACCAAAGTCCTAACTTTATCATTAGTATAATCTTTGTTATTTTCTAATTTTTTCAACCCATCATTAATAAAACAAACATCATTTTATTTATTATGCATCACTTTTCACTGTATAAAAACATAAAAAATATTTTTTAAAATCCCAAGTTCTGAATACATTTTACCATCTTCCCTTATTCCCAAGACATCCTCCCCTACATACAGTAAAAAGCAGTCTAAATTATACCTCTGCAAAGCAAAACAAACATACTCCTAGTAACAGTACACAACTTATTATGTAATTTTGTTATGTATCATTTTATAAACAAAAAGTTTCAGAAACATTTATTTCTGTTACCATCAGTAAACATTTTGTGTGCTGTAACTGAGATAGATGGTCACAGCAAACCAGCAAGACTAACAAATAGGACTGTCAGAGAATTATTTATGGTTCCCATTATTTCATTTTCTCAAATATCTTAAAAAGAGATAGCAAAGTGACAAAGGAGAACAATATAAACCTTTCTATCTTGCCAAAATGATGAATAAGAGAACACATTATATTTATAAAAGTACCTTGTTTGGTCTTCCAATCAATGGATTGTTTCCACATCGTCTATTGATAATGTCTCGAATAAGATGCTTTTGGCCATTGTATGTTGTTAGAATACTGATTCTGTCAGCAGGGTAACCAAGTAAACACATATACATAAAAAGTGCTACTACATATTCTGCCTCTCCAAGATTCTGTAATGCAAACATAATTAGATTGTGTATTTATTTGCTTTTGTTTCAATTTTATAGAGAAAATATCTCGCCTAGATAAGCACAATTTGTTCACTTTGTACACCACAAGAAGTGAAGACTCAGTAACTTGGATAAGTGAGTATCTTTCATAAAACTGAGGGATAATCTTATGCTACATTAACACTGATACATGAAAACTTTTACATTTGCAATATATTTGCAATACATGGAACAACCATAAAATAAAACTTGCCAACCTAAAGGCTTAGTATTCCTAAGACCACAACAATCACAATATAGATCAATAATATTCTGGCCAGGCATGGTAGCTCACATTTGTAATCACAGCACTTTGGAAGGCCAAGGCAGACAGATCACTTGAGTCCAGGAGTTCGAGACCAGTCTAGACAACATGTACTAAAAATACAAAAATGAGCTGGGCGTGGTAGTCCATGCCTATAGTTTCAGCTACTAAGGAGGCTGAGGTGGGGGGATCACTTGAGTCCAGGAGGTAGAGGTTGCAGTGAGCTGCAATTCCACCTCTGCAATATAGCCTGGTGACAAAGTGAGACTTCATCTCAAAAAAAAAAAAAAAAAAAAAAAATTCTATACAATGTGTTACAACTATAGTTACATATAGACATAAAACTATAAAGGAATAGAGTAACTAAGAAGACAATACGATACCCAGTTTAATAGCATATACACCTAGAAGTATTACAGTTGACTCAATTTTTGCACAATGCTTTTCCTTTTGCACAACCGTCACTCAGAGAACAGAAACAAAGCATACAAAAAACCATTTTGCGCAATGTTTTTTGTGTGATGTTTCTGTTCTCTTAATGATGGTTGTCACTTCTACTAGATAACTTTAGGTGGGATGAGGATGTTACCTCAAATTGGTCTGTCTGGTTTACCATTAAATTAAGAGACTAGGAAGGCACTTAAAACTAAGGCTTATTCAACTTAAAGGTGAAGAATAATACATAAAGCTGTTTGGTCCAGTTCAATAGAGACTAAATCCAAAGTACTGGATGAAAGAAGAAAGTAAAATAAGAATATAAGCACAATATTTAAAAAAAAAAAAAAGGAACCTGCATTTTATGCAAAGGCAACAGAAAAATTACTGGAAGACTTACCGAAATATCATTTATATTACGGTTCTTTCTGACACACAGCCTGAGTTACTTACATCTTTCATTTAAGTTTTCTAGTTATTTAACATTGCCCAATTTGGTACTTTGCCTAAAGGTTAGATATGAAGCATTAACAATAAAACAAGATGAACTGTATTGTGACCAAATATTTTAGAACTCACTCCAAATAAGTCGAGTTCCCTTCAAATTGTGACTTTTATTCATTTATCTACCTAGTCTTTCCCTCTCAGACACAGATTCTTCAAATGTTAGCACTTAAATGCACAGTATTCTTATTTTAGGGGATAATGTATTTAACTTTTCAGAAACATATTTAATAGTGGCAAATCCAAAAGTTAGCTGGGCGTGGTGGCGTGCACCTGTAGTCCCAGCTACTTGGGAGGCTGAGGCAGGAGAACTGCTTGAACCCGGGTGGCAGAGGTTGCAGTGAGCCGAGATTGTGCCACTGCACTCCAGCCTGGCATCTGGAGACAGACTGAGACTCTATCTCAAAAAAAAAAAAAAAAAAAATAGTGGCAAATCATCATCTGAAAATACATTTCTCGAAACCCTAAAAACTCACCCAGAGTTAGGCTTAATGAATAAGAAAAATAGGTAACCAATCTGGATAAAAATGTTTCAATCAATACTACAGTATAACTCAGGCAATAAAACTAACTCAAAGGAGAAATTCCAAAAACCATTATGTAATGAAAACATCAGTTGATTACTGATGTTTTCTAATATTTTTAAAGTTATCATTTAAAGGTCACATCTGTTCTCAGGCAAAAAGTACACAAATATAGTAACTTGATTTTTTTTTTTTTTTTTGAGACAGAGTTTTGCTCTTGTTACCCAGGCTGGAATGCAATGGCGCGATCTCGGCTCACCGAAACCTCCGCCTCCTGGGTTCAGGCAATTCTCCTGCGTCAGCCTACTGAGTAGCTGGGATTACAGGCACGTGCCACCATGCCCAGCTAATTTTTTGTATTTTTAGTAGAGACGGGGTTTCACTATGTTGACCGGGATAGTCTCAATCTCTTGACCTCGTGATCCACCCGCCTCGGCCTCCCAAAGTGCTGGGATTACAGGCTCGAGCCACCGCGCCCGGCAGTAACTTGATTTAATGTAACCAAATATTTGGAGGGAAAATAAGATCTGCATGAGTTATACGTATACATATACATTTAAGCTGATGATATATGATGCTTTTTCATGAATAACTCATAATCTCTAATTTAGGTAACAACCTATATTGGATATTTTGCTGTAAAAAGAGAGAGGGGAAAAAAGAAAAACAACTCCAAATGCTATCAACCAAACACTATATTTTGATGTATATACTGCCAGATTATTTTGTATGGCTTATCTGCACATATTTCTATTTTAAAATAAAATGAGACACTCCAGGTGCGGTGGCTCACGCCTGTAATTCCAGCACTTTGGGAGGCCGAAGTGGGTGGATCATGAGGTCAAAAGATCGAGACCATCCTGGCCAACATGGTGAAACCCTGCTTCTACTAAAAACAGAAAAATTAGCACAGCATGGTGGCTCAAGCCTGTAGTCCCAGCTGCCTGGGAGGCTGAGGCAGGAGAATCACTTGAACCTGGGAGGCAGAGGTTGCAGTGAGCCAAGATCGTGCCATTGCACTCCAGCCTGGCGACAGAGCAAGACTCCATCTCAAAAAAAAAAATAAGGCCGGGCGCGGTGGCTCAAGCCTGTAATCACAGCACTTTGGGAGGCCGAGGTGGGTGGATCACAAGGTCGAGAGATCGAGACCAACCTGGTCAACATGGTGAAACCCCGTCTCTACTAAAAATACAAAAAAAAAAGCAGCTGGGCATGGTGGCACGTGCCTGTAATCCCAGCTACTCAGGAGGCTAAGGCAGGAGAATTGCTTGAACCCAGGAGGCGGAGGTTGCAGTGAGCCGAGATCGCGCCATTGCACTCCAGCCTGGGTAACAAGAGTGAAACTCCGTCTCAAAAAAAAAAGTAAAATGAAATAAAAAATAAAACAAAATAAAATGAGATACTATAGATGTACTTTGCAATTTATTTCCACATAATATAGCATGAATATTCTTCCTGTTAGTAAACACTTACAATGTTGATAATAATGCAATTAATCCCTACGGACAGATATTTAGGTTGTTTCTCATTTCTAAAATAATATGCAGTGCCGGGCGCGGTGGCTCACGCCTGTAATCCCAGCACTTTGGGAGGCCGAGGCGGGTAGATCACGAGGTCAAGAGATCGAGACCATCCTGGTCAACATGATGAACCCCGTCTCTACTAAAAATACAAAAATTAGCTGGGCATGGTGTCGCAAGCCTGTAATCCCAGCTACTCAGGAGGCTGAGGCAGGAGAATTGCCTGAACCCAGGAGGCGGAGGTTGTGGTGAGCCGAGATTGCGCCATTGCACTCCAGCCTGGGTAACAACAGCAAAAAAACTCAGTCTCAAAAAAATAATAATAATAATATGCAGTGATGAAAATTAAACATACAAGTCTGCAAACTGGCCCAATTATTTTTTAAGGATAAATTCCTAGAAGTAAGAACATTGCTTTCACTATACAGTGACAATTTATCCACCAAATTATTTTCCCGCTAGCACTGTATGAGAATAAAATTTCCCCAAACCTACCTTAACACTGAGCATTATTAAAGAGTTTAAAATGTGATTAATTTACATTTGTTATAAAATATGAATTGCATATTCACATTTTTCAATTAGTCTTGGTTTTTGAAAAAAGTAATTGATGAGTTCTATATGAATATTCAGAATTCAACTTGTTTATTAAACACTGAAATAAATTTTAAGCATTGAAAATAAATTTTTTCTCCCATCAGCATTTTTATGATTTCTGCTTTTGTGACAAGCTTAGGAAGACCTTTCTCACTCCAACACTACATATTCATCAATATTTTCTTCTAGTAGTTTCCAGTTTGTTTATAGTTTCTTTAGTCCATGTATTTTTAATCAATCTGAAATTGATTTTTCATATGCTGTGTGTAAGGTGGCGTTCCAACTTTCCTTTTCTCAATGGCCAAATGGTTAAGTATCACTGATTTATGCATATGTCAGCCAGCAAATGCAAAATAAATTTAAAAGCTTTATCTTTTTTCTTACCTGATAGAAGTAAGGATTAGGTTCAGATTCTCCCACTCCTTGAAAATCTTCAACATTAATGAGCTGGAAGTCATACAGTAAGCCAGCATTTGCTGTACTAAACTCTGGCAAGAGCTGCACATGGGGTAAGTTCCCCAGATTCTTGTATCGCCAGTTGTAGAGGTTGCACAAGCTTTCCAAAGACAAATCCCCCCAAAAACAGAAAATGTTAGCAGTATAAAATCCCATTTAATATACATAAAGTTTCTCTGTTTCTGCGCTTCTTTTAAATTTTCATGTTAGCCATTTTTGTTCATCTTTTAAACAATAATGCTTTTCCAACCTTAGCTTCCCTACTTTAGGTAACCAAGGGTCAGAAGAGTAAAGGTACTACAAAAACGATAGTTTTATTACACTCTCTGAGGTAAATGCTATCTTTATCCCTTAAATTAAAAAATCAAGGAAGACTAAAAATTGAGGACAATTGGGGGTAACTCTGAGACGGGGCCTGCATCTTTTATAAAGTAAAAATTGGTGTGTTCTCCTCTTACTCACTTTTTTCTTTAGATTTCAAAATTATATTAACTGCATATCTTTTGGGGACATGAAGAAAGGGGAAGGGACAATGAAAAGAAGCCTTTAGATTGTAAGTTACTAAAGTTAATCTTAATGACTGAAATGAAGAAAATAAATTATTTGGCCCATTCAAATCTCCTGCAGAAGTCGACAAAAGTCCTTTGAGATTTATGGATAGTCAAGTTCCTGGATAGCCGGGAATGCTAACAGTCTATAAAAGCTATTCACAAATACTTCGATCATGGAACAAATGTCCTTAAGTAGAAATGATTTTTTTTCCGTTTCCTTTACCTTGCTCTGGCTCTCCCTTGAGCATCGAGGTCCACAGTCGGAACTCCAACGCGGACAAAGCGAGTGAAGAGAGACTGCTCCATGTTTGAGTACTTTTGAAAGGCCATGTTCTTAATAACTGGAGGTAACTGGTGATGATCACCAATCATAATCCATCGTTTCAGTCGGCTAAATCCATCCTGAGGATTCTAGAAATAAAAAATAAAGAAACGGCAAAATATTATTCTATAGTCCCCAATATATTACCCAAGGGACAGACTCTTCATCAAAAGGCTTCCTTATCTTACAAATTACCAATCTTTACAAGCTCCAAAAAGAGAAGTCTGGCAAATTTATAGAACAATTTGTGAACCAATTATGGATATCATTGCTCTTGGGTGACAGAGGGTGAGGGAGAATGGAGGGATTTAGAAGGCAAGCATGGAATTACCCTATTTTAATAGGTAAGGTAATCCAAAGAGGCCTGGAAGGCTTAGGTCAGCATTAGGTAAAGAGTATACAGAAAGAAAGAGAAGCCCGAGAAGAGAAATGGAAAGATGAGAAATAAGCATGTTTCACAGGCAGCTGAGGACCAATTCTGAACCCACCAAAGCAATTAAACACTACCTTCTTTAATTTTCTACACTACGACTTCAATTTCGTACTCTATATGTCTCCTTGTTCCTTGAAACATATCCTGATAGAATACATTCCAAGTTCCACGAAGTACGACTTATAAAAACAACTTTTGCAACTCAATTTATCTGTGTATTAGAGTGGTCTCTACCCTTAAATTGGGAATTCCACATTTCGTTTTAATGCTTCAATAGTAAAGAATATTGTACTGTAAAAAACATTCTTAAATAGCACCATTTAGCTCAAAAACTTAGGCATAAAGAAAAGCAATTTAGTCGGTGAATATCAAAAAATAATTCTACAAACAATTATAACAAAAGAAATTAAGAAACAGCTCCTCTCCCCACCAAATTGTACAACAATGTAATTTTGATTAAAATTACTGAATCTTTTCAAAACTACAGAAATAAACTATGAATTTTAAAATAGAACTTCTGGAAGCAAAATAACTATGAAATAGCCAGTGAATGGATCAAAAAAAGTTTACCGGCTTAAAATAGAACATCAAACATAATAAAGTTAAGGAAAATACTTAACTATGGCAATGAGCACACCCAAACTGTACAGCTTTCTGATGTTGTCCTCAGCATTCTTAGAACTCGATTTTCTTTGCCTCAGGTCTTATATTTCTTAATATTTCTTACCTGTAGAAGAAGAGGGATAAAAGTTTCTATCTCCAGAATCTGAGCAGCTTCTTCCATTAAAATGTTGTCATACTGAGAAAGAAAGAGGAAAGCTTGTCACAAAGACAGCTTAAAAGCCAAACAACTCCATGACAAACATAATCATCCAAAAGAACCCAAATAATTTCAGATAAAAACAACATACAAATTATTCAGACAGATAAAAATAACAACATACAAATTATTCAAGCAGAAACTTCATGGTATTATTTATCATTATGCCTCTGCATTTCCAATTCAAGTATTTGATTTCAGGAAAGCCTCCTAAGCATGCAACTTTACGTTGAAGAGATCATGTATGTCATTTCTTGAGTTACAATGTCAATTTGGTTCTTTTTAATTTAGATTTTCATTTCTACATCAGAAAGAATCAATTTATAATTACATATGAGGTCATTCCCTGTGGTACTCTTACTCTAGGTAGCATTTGGGAATAATGTTGTTTCTTTTATGAATCCTACTCATCAGAACAATCCACTTCAGTCTCACTCTTGGGCATGCAATTCATCACCGGGGCATGTCAATTTCACTTTAAAAACTCTTGAGTCTACTGATTTTTCTTTAATTCTACCAGCATTACCCCTCTAAAAATCCAAGCCATCACTATGACTACTGCTAGCAAACAACTTACTAGTTCCTCCCCTTCCTAACTTGATTCCTCTAAGGCATTTATACAACTCCTGGTTTCAAATCCTTTATACCACTGTTTTAGAAAAAACAAAACAAAACAAAACAAAAACCCTTAACATTGCCAGCAAGAAAGAACCTATATTCAATCTAGCCCCAGACTTACTGTTGAACTTTATCTTTCTCCTTGCTAGTATGCTTCAACAACAATGACCTATTGCAGTTTCTCTGAAATGGCAAAACCTTTCCTGCTGCAGCCCCTTTGCACATCCTGTTCTCTTTGCTTTTAGTCTACTTGGTTGTTTCTCATCCTTAAAATATCAGCTTAAAACGCACTTTACGTAGGCCTTCTCTGACCTCCCAATCTAAAACTAATCTCAAAGTACCGTTCTTTTGTCTTCCAGACCTTCACAATTTGTAATTCTCTCTGTATATTTATTTGTCTAATGTCTGTATCTTTTCCCCAGCCCAGTTCCCAGTCTTAGGTATTACACATCTGTTTAAAAAACATGAAAAATCAAGTCTTTCTCAAACATGAGAAAATTTCATTCTTTCTTTGACAATTACTGCTCTTCTATCTGTCCAATTCTCATTTAGATATATTCTCAACATGTTTTGTCTTTCCTCATCATTTCTAATTCTGATCACTACTTAGTATGCTATCTTACTTCTTGTTTTGGTACAATATCTTCTCCTTGAATCTAAGTACACATTAGAGCTCTGTTGCTTTCTGTTATTAAAGTTTTCTACCATTGTTTTATTTTATAGGGAGGTGGTAGATGGGGAGAGCATATTTACTCTGAATGTTTGATTAACTCTCTATTTTAAAGTTATGGTTCAATTCTGGACTGTTACTGAAACTACCTGATAATGTAGGCATATGGATGATCTCTTCTCTAGCTCTATAATAATACCAAATTTCCCTCTTATAATGATTAGGTCATTTTTATGGAAGCTGAAGAGAAGGAGGAATTCAAACAGTCACATTTTTTAACAAGTCCCTGTGTGGACTCTCAGGATAACAGATCCAATATGCAAAACAGCGTAGGGGCAACTCTGTAAAAACAGGTAGCTTAAAAGGACAGCTTCCTGAAAACCAATTCTGAAAATATAATACAATTTTACTTATAAAAATATTTATAGATTTTGCTTTTTAAAAGGGAGATTTTAATTCCAAAGCAAAATTACCAGCACTTTAGCTAGTTGTTCCATGTATTTATTAGACAGATCATTCATTTCATTCAACACTTACTAATCTCTACTAACATATTAAATGCTGGGTTGGCATTTGATGCTATAGGTCAACCAGGCTAGGAGCTAGTCTTTGTGACCTTTCAAAGGATTCCTAAATTCTACAGCCACCGCTACTACAGTTCTATGGTTCTTTAGCGGATTATAGCTGCTAGAATAGGGTCAGGGTGGTTTAAAAGTAAGGGCACAAGAGACTTTAAATTCTTGGAAAATCACGTTTTAATACTAGCTCTAGTAACTGATTACCTGTGACTCTAAGGTAATATTTCCCTTGAGTCACCCTTTCTAAACTATAAAATGGAGATATCTCAGCTAGGCACAGTGGCTCACAGCTGAAATCCCAGCATTCTGGGAGGCCAAGGGAGGTGGATCCCTTGAGCTCAGGAGTTTAAGACCAGCCTGGCCAACATGATGAAAACCCTTCTCTACTTAAAAAACAATCAAGTTGTTTGGGTGTGATGGTGTGCGCCTGTAATCCCAGCTACTCAGGAGGCTGAGGCTGTAGACTAGACTTGCTTGAACTCAGGAGGCGGAGGTTGCAGTGGGCCAAGATCATGCCACTGCACTCTAGCCTGAACAAAAAAATGAGATTCTGTCTCAAAAAAAAAAAAAAAAAAAAAAAAAGAGCTCATATAAAAATCTAGTTGTAAAGAAGAGAAATAAATCATTGTAAATACAGAACTTTGTATGCTATAAACACAGAACTTGGTACCTAGCTAACACTCAACAAATGATGGTTATTATCAGTTTATGTTTTTGTTATCATTCTGATACATTTCCTTCTACAATTTCTACAATGCAAAACGGGTTTAAGATGATCGACATCGAATTTCCAATCCCTGAAAACAGGCAAATTAGAACTAATATTTATTTAACTTTGTGCTAGTAAAAAATTGGGCTTCAACAAAATACATATTGAAACAAGTGACAGACTTCTGTTAAAAGGTGATGAACTGACCGCATACTGATGACCACTATCTCTAGAAACCCCCTAAAATAACACTTGACATTATATAGTGAAATTTTACCCAAAAGAGTCAAAGAAACCAGCAACTAACAGAAATTCTTGAGTTTACAAGAAGGCAGATAAGAAAAGAAACACCTTGCTGAAAAGCTGAAACTTTCTTTGCTTCTAAGATAGTAAAACTGGCTGAAACTGGTTGGGATCAATACAGCCAAGTAGTTAGCACAAAATGAGTGTGCTTACATCACAACCCAAATTTCTACCATGTTTCATATTAACTTCTCTCAAACCTACATATGCGATCCAAGAGTTAGCATGAAAAGTGCATATGCTTGAAGACTTTCCAGACCCCTTTTCTTCCACCAATCACTTACTAAACCCAAAATCCACCCCCTAAACTTTTTCTAATAAAATTACTGCCTTAAAGCCAGCATGGGGACACAGATTTGAGCTTGACTATGTTCTTCCTGTGAGTCAACTTGCAATAAGATGCTTGTTTTCCTCAAAAACCTGGTGTTAGAATATTGGCTTCCAGTGCACCAGGCTGTGAGCCCCTTTTGCTCAGTAATAATAGGACTGGTTTAAAAAGGCAATTAGACTTTCCCACTTCAAGGAACCAAATGAATGTACCTCTTCTCTCACCCTCAATAGACAACAGAAGGTTTAGTGTCTGCAGAGGATCTTGGAACTTGGAGAAAGCGAAGTTAAGAGGGTGGGATCAGAAATGATCGCCATACAGAAAGTGGGAATTATGTCAAAGTCTGTGTATGTAACAGAATGTGGAGAAGTCTGGCTCTCTTTCTCCATTCATCTCCCACAACTCTAGGATCCAGAAGAGTCCTCCTTCTCCCTTTGTTATCCCTAAGACATACTACTGAAATTTCAGAACTCTAGGGACAAAGTAAAGATTGTAGGGTTTCCTGACAGAAGAAAAATGTGAAACGAAATACGTTTAAAATACGCTTTGGGGTTCTGAACAGCTACACTGGAAGACAGAGAAAATGGAACAAATATCAAAATCCTGAAGGAAAATAATTTCCATCTAGAAATCGATATCTAGCCATAATCATTAAATGTGAAAGTAGACTAAAAACAGTTTTTGGACATGGAAAGTCTTAAAAACATTACCTCCTATGCATCCTTTCACACGAAAAGATACTGGAGGATGTATTATACTAAAAGACAAAAGAAGAGAAAGACACAGAATGCCCAAAACACAGAATCTGACATATAAGAAAGTCAAAGGCTTAGAATGGATGCAATGTGAACTGAAATAGGTCAGGAGTATCTAGGAGAGATGTCTCAAAAAACATGTATGTGATGTGTCTAAATGTACTAAGAAAATATTTTAAAACTAAGCAGAGTTTGGGGTTGAACTGGTAGTAAAACAGAAAACTAAACAAACAAAAAAGACAAAAATTATAAATTCCAGAAAGAAAAAAAAAATTGTGCATGAATGGAAAACAAATCATGGTATATTACCCTGCTTGGATGTGAAAGTGTTCATGTAAATAATGATGTAAACACCCAAAAGTGAGCAAACCAAAGTTATGACGTGACTATATTGGGAGAATTAAGGGAGGAAAGGTGTATGCACACATGCATGAATGTGTGTCTATTTGTCCTTCAGGACAGCACAGAATCAAAAGATAACGCCTGAAATGGAAATCTAACATTCTTAACTGATATAGTTGAAAAGGACAAAACAGATCTTCAAGAGCTGAAGGACTGGATAAATTGGAAGGATAAGCAGAGTGGGCAATTGCCCTTTTTTGTTAAGTGGACCTACAAGGTTTTTAAAATTCTTAAGTGTGATAAAAATAAAACTTCAAAATCAAAAATATAGAAAACCTATTAGCACTCATGCTAACTACCCTTATATGTATAGCATAATTTAAATACAGAAAATGACTACTGAAAATTTGGTAAGTATTTTTAGAACACATGTAAAAGCTGCATGAAACCATAAAATGTTAATTATGATTACATTATTTCCCTTGTTATTAAGCTATGATTTAATATCAAATTCAAAGTATATTTTATACATCAGCCCCAAGAACAAAATATTTAGGTGAAAAATTCTCACTAGTAATTTGCAAAAGGGTAAGTTCACACCACTAGGGTATGTTCACACTACTTTTTAATAAATTGTTGTATTTGTCCTACCTTGCAGCTGAGGAACCTTTCATCCAAGATAACAATTTTATCACCTTGAATTTATTTAGCGCCTATCTTTCAGTGAGCTCGTAACATTCTTAAATTGCCAGTTAATTTAATCAACAGATGAATTACAAATTTTTAATTCAAACCCATATGCAGAACTATGTTTTAAACAACAGATAAACCAATTGAAGGAAGGTTAAATGACTGTATTAAAATCTAAGTTCAGATCAGTATCACTAGCAAAGTTACAAAAAATTTGCCAATTCAAATTTACTGCTCAATCATTACATTCGATTTCAAATGAGTTACAGGCTAACAGGCTATCACATCCTCTCCTGTCTTTATATGATGAAACCATTTTAGTATTAGCTAATTTTTGTATTTTTAGTAGAAATGGGGTTTCACCATGCTGGCCAGGCTGGTCTCGAACTCCTGACCTCAAGTGATCTGCTCACCTTGGCCTCCCAAAGTGCTGGGATTACAGAGCCACCACGCCCAGCTGAAACCCATTTTGAAATGTTCTTTTTATAGCTTTTACTTCTGATTGGAGATTTTTTTTTTATTATGACTTTTTTTAATTAGGTGAATTTTAGGTGTTTTTCATAACTTTAATTTTTAAATAAGTGATACTCAATAAAACTCCTTAGCAAGTATGAGACTTTGGTCAGACAACCATATGGTTATAACATTACCTAATGAACATATTACTGATAACTAGATTTTTAAAAAGTAGATTCAGAGTTCACTGATCACGTAAACATGGGATATTATCACCCACTTTTAAAAGAGATATTTTAAGGTAATTATAAATGCAAACTTCAATAAGAAGTGAGTCAACCTCGAAGGGAAACAAATGGCCTAGGTGATATTCAAAACAAAATAAAACAAAAACAAAAAACAAAACTACCAAAATAAGTCTTTACCTTGAAACCTAACTTGACCAAGTCATGTCGTTTTAAGGCAGCATGAGTACAGGTCATAGCAATAATTTTGGCTTCTTTCACTAAAAGGTATTTAGATCTATCCAGTCCACTTCGAAGCAATTCAGAGGCTCTGAATTCCTATGGAAATGAGGAGCAATGAAAGATAATTTTAGGAAAACAGAGTTTATGCACATAACCATACAATCGAATCAGACTTAGTTCCTGAGAAATTAAACATATTATAAACTAAGCCTAATGAATTATAATTCTGTTCATTATTATTTGGGTACTAATTGAGTTCATATAATAGCTGACACAGAAGTTATAATTCAAACTTTTTTGTATGTAAGGTAAAATATTTACAATATAAACAAGAATACTGAGTAAAATTCAGTTATCACTGTACCTGTATTATTCAATGTCCCTCCAGGAAAATGGAAATAATTTCAAGTATTCATACCAAAGGAAATTTAAGCAAGTAACTGGTTATAAAAGTGATAGAGGAATCACAAAGGTAAAGTAACACAGAGATTAGAGACAGCAGCAGTCACCATTATCCGTAGGTTAGAAAGAATAAAGGTAGGAAGTGCTATTATCAGAGCCTACGGACTGTAGTCACACACAAAAAGCTGGAACCACAAGTTTTTCCAGCAGAAACTGGAGTCATGGAAGAGATGAAGCCCAAGGCAGAGGGAAGTGATGAAAAAATACCTTGGCACTGTCTCATTGGCTATACTAAACAAGAAGTCAGCTGACGTAGGAAGCTGGGAAATTAAACCTACAAGGATAAGCCAGAACATCAACCATGGCAAAGGACCCCCAACAGAGCAGAAAAGGGCATGGACAAAAGCAGGATATGAGGGGCAAACAAAGAAAAGCAGCATAGCCAATGTCAACTTTTAAAAAATCTGAGCCTTACCAATACTTATTTTAAAACTTAACGTTTCTGTTTTGTTTTCTAATGATTAAAATATTACAAACATAGGTGAGGTATGCTGTATAACTTTCTGCCTACTCCCTCCCAAGGCAGTATTATGATGAATTGAGTATGTTTTTATACTTTTACTTTGTGTTCATGTAACCATAAACATAATACTTTACATTTAGTACTCTGTACCTACCATCCATCCACCTAACCATACATATACTTTTCAGTATTTACTGAATGTATACTACATGTCTGAAACTGTTATAGGAAGTGGGTACATACTCACATCTAAAAGATACAAAGACAAGAGACAACGTCCCTGACATTTTTACCTGCAGTAATCCTGAATGTTCTTGCTGAGGAATCTGAGCCTGAATGCGATCCCTTTATAGACCACTGCAGTTTTCAATGATGTTTGCTATAATATTTTTGCAATGATGATTCTGCAATGAGGTGGCAGAAACTAGGAGACATCTCCAGGAGAAGCTGGGTTCCAGACATAGTCTCTATTCCCACTGTGTAGCTAAGACTCTTATTTCACTTTAATAATCAGAACCAATCATCCTGGCTACCATAGCAACCCACTATTTTACTGATCAAGAGGCATAAAGGACTTAAAATGGCCACATGGCAGTCTCAAATTCCAATTCAAAATACCATCATTGAATTTCTGATGGAAGCATTTCTTTCTTAAAAATACTAAGACCTTTACATCAGGAAAGCCAGAATAAGGATCCAGTTTATATCTTACTTAAAATTAACAATCTAATTTCTAAGATTTGAATACTTCGAGCCAGGTGTGATGGCTCACACTTGTAATCCCAGCACTCTGGGAGGCCGAGGTGGGCAGACTACTTGAGATCAGGAGCTTGAGACCAGCCTGGCCAACATAGTGAAACCCTGTCTCTACTAAAAATACAAAAATTAGCTGGGTGTGGTGGTTTGCACCTGTGATCCCAGCTGCTCTGGAGGCTAAGGCAGGATAATTGCCTGAACCTGGAAGGCAGAGGTTGCAGTGAGCTAAGATTGTGCCATTGCACTCCAGTTTGGGCAACAGGGTGATACTCAGTCTCAAAAAAAAAAAAAAAAAAAAAAAGGTTTGAATATTTCACGTTTACTTCATTCATTAAATAAATAAATAAATAAAATAAAATAAAACTGTTAAAGGCAAGTTCAAAGAACTTGAGAATCCTTACCTCAAGCTGAGTAAAGATTTTCTTAATATGCCTAAAACATCCTTCAGCAATTTCCATGTCTTCTTCATAAGATCTTCCTTTAAAAATGGGTTGAGGAGCATTTGCAAAGTATTCATGGAAAGGGAAGAAAGTGGAGACTTCCGTAACATCTGGCAAGGCACTACCTTTATTTTTCACTTTGCTAATATACTCTTCCCAACGAGACATTACCTGTAGAAATAAGAACTTGAGGTTAACTGCCACCTAATTATGAAGTTTTAAAGGATTAAAAAAAAAATTTATAAAAACAAGCTGTTAGCTGAAAAAGAAAAAAAAGAAATTTAATATTTGATCCAATATAACTATTCCTCATTTCCTGTAATTGCTCTTCTGTTACAAAAGGTAAGCTTGTCTTTGGAGAAAAAAGGCTCTTTAATAACACATTTCTACAAACTAGAAAGAACCTTAACGTCATCTTATGGAACTTTATCTCGGACATTTCAGATTCGCCACATAACTCAAGATAGTTTATTACTGATGCTTAAAAAGAATGTAAAGGAAAGAACCCTCTCTGGACAAAGACATTTCTCATTTTTTCATCTCTGTTTCTGTCCATATATGGTAAATTCAGCTTTAGCAGCTTTTTAATCAATTTGGCACTTGTCAAACCTTCTCCCAGATTTTTAGAACATTTATAAAGAATGTCTGCTGAAGGCAAGTATATATTTAAAAGCTCAAGTTATGACTTTTGTGATTATAGTTCAATTGCTTTGTATGTTAGCTATGCCTCTACCAGGCAGTTACTATGTAACCTCAATTTCTGTAATTCTCTCACGTCTTTTTCTGTTATAATTTCAGTGTTTCTCAAAAGTGTAGTCCTTAGGCAAAATATTTGAGGAGCTAAATAAAAATGTGGATTCCTGAATTCCACTTCTATTGAATGAGAAGCTATAGGAACAAGGGCTAGGGAATTTAATTTGTGAAAAACTTTCCCAATATGATTCTTACATGTTGAAAATGTCAATTTATACTGTGAAGCCTCATGTTCATTTTTTCCAAATTTACTACATAAACCTCCATAATTTATAGATGTTTCCCCATTTTAAACATTGTTTTCACTGAAAGCCAAGTAATTTTCCGTGTCAAGAAAGCATTTAAGCATGATCTCTACTCCTTTATTCAAGTCCTAAACAGTCTTGAATCTAATGTAGACTATATTGTGTATTTTCCCTGCTTCACAAGAAACCATGAAAGCTGCTCATTTTGAATGGACTTAACTGGTTTGTGATATCCACTTACAATGAGCTTACAATATTATAATTTATATCTAAAATATGTAATTGGCATTAGAACAAAGAACAAATAAAGTTATACAAAAATCTTCATTATCTGATTACGTCCTAGTCCATTTAAAATTACTAGTAATCTAACTGATTATTAAAGTTTAGTTTTATTTACTTTATTTGGCTATTTCTCATGAGTTTTCATATTCCCCAAATTAACAGGAACAAAAGCAAAAGTACACCTTTTTTTTTTTTTTGAGAGGGAGTTTCGTTGTTACCCAGGCTGGAGCGCAATGGCACGATCTCGGCTCACCGCAACCTCCGCCTCCTGGGCTCAGGCAATTCTCCTGCCTCAGCCTCCTGAGTAGCTGGGATTATAGGCACGCACCACCATGCCCAGCTAATTTTTTGTATTTTTAGTAGAGACGGGGTTTCACCATGTTGACCAGGATGGTCTCGATCTCTTGACCTCGTGATCCACCTGCCTCGGCCTCCCAAAGTGCTGGGATTACAGGCTTGAGCCACCGCACCTGGCAAAAGTACACCTTTATAGTGAAGTCAGAAGACTTCAAGACCCACTGTACAATGAATTATTATAATTTAATTTAATTCTAACATAATTCACTTCTGGAAATTTAAGAATGTTTTCCTTCATTAGTTGATTAATGTGTATAATATAAGTTAACTGTACTTTGTTGCCACTGGGTAGCTAGAATATTTATTTAGTTATATTTCCACAGTAAAAAAAGTAAAAAAGAGTGACTAGAACTTTGTCAATAGAAAGGAAAAAATGTAAAGAGTAGCAAGATTGGCCTTGCACAGAATGATTCATCAGGCAAAGTTATTTAGCAAAGAAAATTGAAGATAACACAAAATATACTTAACATTCATAAATATAGCTTTGTAATACCACATATTTTAATCTACTCAAAAAATAAGCTTTCAAGAAGGATCATAAGAACTCATTACGCTTCCAATGCGGTTCATATTATGATGAAGTATGATTCAAAAATCCTTAATATCTTACCTGGTATAAGAAGAAATAGCCTGCAGTTTCACAGGTATATGAGGCATCTCCTGGAACCCCTAGACTCTTTTGCAATCGTTTGACTTCTTCTAAAAGTTCTATTCTTCGAGCCAGGACATAATTAACTCTTCCATACCTAGACATTTCAATTAGGCAAAATGGCAAAACTGTAATAAAGAAACTTTGAGGTAAACAATCAGCAAAATTCAAGAAAATCATAATAGCAATTGCCAAAGAAAGGGGGAAAAAAACCTAGAAGATATGCCTTCTATTTAACTTTTGTTGATAGTTCCTGGGTTACTTTACACAAAAGCTACTTAGCGAATACTCTATGGACCAGCGCTGATCCACAAGGGTGTACTGGTTTATGAGGAACGAAAACCAACTACATCACTAAATACATCATTTATTCAGATCTGAATCTTTTTTCTCATAATAACACACTTTCACAAAGAAGAAAACTGGACAGTGCATTCTGGTGTTAGTTGATTTTATCACAGACCAAGAACATGTAAGTTCACAGATTGGCTGCTTCAAACAAAGTATTTTACACTATTATAAAAGTAGATTCGATCTAAAGGCTTTGAAAAGTAATTTTTAAATATATTTCATTATCTGTGTCATTTACAAATCCCAATACATAGCTTGGCACCCTAACCTAGAAGGTTTATAATGTTTGCTGAACGAGTAAGAAAACTGAAGTTTAGAGAATACTTTGTCCAAAAACACACAGTTAAGGAAGAAAGTAGTAGAACCATAATTAGATTCCAAATTCTATGCACGTTCTTTCCACAACAAAACAGGGTCTCCTACAACCCTTTGATGCTTAAAATAAGACTAAAATAATTTAATCACGTTCTTTCCACAATAACAAAGGGTCTCCTACAACCCTTTTGATGCTTAAAATAAGACTAAAATAATTTAATCAGTCACTGTTGTTCACATGTTTAAAGACTCAACAAAAGAAGAAGTCACGTTTCTAGCTGTTCTGTAGTTCAGAGATTCATATTTGAGGTATCAAGGGATGATTAAGAATTAAAAAAGAGATATAAAACATGATACATGTTTTGAAGAATTTTTCAACTTGGAAGGATATAAACATTACGGCAGATACCTTTTTTTCTGAACACTTTGTTAATGTGAAAAACAATTAGAAATGCTTATAAAGACTCGGTTAATAAAATGCCAAAATTCTTGTGACATAATGTTAAACTTAAAAAGCAATATACCTGCCAGGCATGGTGGCTAACCTGTAATCCCAGTTTGGGAGGCTGAGGCAGGCAGATCACTTGAGGTCCAGAGTTTGAGACCAGCCTGGCCAACATGACAAAACCCCATCTCTACTAAAAATACAAAAATTAGACAGGTGTGGTGGCAGGTGCCTGTAATCCCAGCTACTTGGGAGGCTGAGGCATGAGGATCACTTGAACCCCGGAGGCAGAGATTGCAGTGAGCTGAGATCACACCACTGCACTCCAGCTTGGGTGACAGAGTGAGACTCCATCTCAAAACAAAACAAAACAAAAAAGGAATATACAGTACAATTAAACTCTATGTACTATCTGCTCAATTAGTACATTATTACACTTAAAAGATAAAGACTATTAATTATTTTTAAAAAGCAACTTAAAAATTAAAAATAACAGCATTACAGAAAAAGACTAGCAAAAGTTGTTTTAGGATAGTGTAATTACGGATAACCATTTCTTCTCTACAACTTCACCAGATTTTACAACTTTTTCTTCAGGGAAAGTGATGTTACTTTTATTGTGAAACAATAGTCATGATTTTTCTTTGTAATTGTAAAACAGAAAGAATACATCCAATCAAATATGCAAACTAACAAGATCTAGGTTATGTGTCAGAAGAAATAAGTATACTTTTTCTAAGAAATCTGGTGGTACCTGAAATCATCATAAAAATTCTACCCCTGTTCTAATATTATTTAAAAACTACAAATTCTACTTCAATATAATTGTAATTATAGTCAGACATTCTATTATCACCTTCATGTTCACTGAATTCCGAGTTACTAGATTTTAGAATCTAACCTCCCTTTGTAAGTTGGCTTTAAAATGAGGAAGTACTTATGGGATGAATTCAGAAGTATCACTGGCTGATCCGAAATTAAGAATACAGAGCCCTGTTGGGCGCAGTGGCTCATGCCTATAATCTCAGCACTTTGGAAGGCTAAGGTGGGCAGATTATGAGGTCAAGAGATTGCGAACATCCTGGCCTCTATTAAAAATACAAAAGTTAGCTGGGCATGGTGGCATGTTCCTGTAATCCCAGCTACTTGGAAGGCTGAGGCAGGAGGATCGCTTGAACCCGGGAGGTAGAGGTTGCAGTGAGCAGAGATGGCGCCATTGCACTCAAGCCTGGGCAACAAGAGCAAAACTCCATCTCAAAAAAAAAAAAGTATTACGGGTGAAGGATAAGTTTTAATAATACATGTAATCTGCATGTCAGTGATTTGCATGTAAACAGTACTCCTTCAAAGTATTTAAAGATTAAAAAAAAAAGAATATAGAACCCTAAATAACTTATGGCATGTTGTTCTTTGACCTTTGCAACACTCAGTGACTTTGTAGAAGCTAAAAAGTCACTGTGTAATATGAGAACTCAAAATAGATGGACGTAATAATTTAAAACTCTTTTAATGTCTGTAGTCAATTAGTCAAAGATCATGTTTAACAGACAAAGGCTGCATTAAATATGTCCACCTGTTAATTGTGCTTATTATCTAAAACTGGACTTTGAAAATGGATTTAAATATAAATGAAACATTATAAAGCAACTTTTAAGGAAAAAAATTAAAATACTAATGGCAGAAGAAATCCGACTTACAAAGTTTTAGTCAATTTACAGTAGGTAATATCAAACATAAAGTCCAGCCAAACTAGCAATAAGTATCTGAAGTTATAATCCCAAAGCTTGTATTATCATTAATTTATGTTTCTTTTCTTTTTGAGAAGGAGTCTTGCTCTGTCACCAGGCTGGAGCGTAGCGGTGTGATCTCAGCTCACTGCAACCTCTGCCTCCCAGGTTCAAGTAATTCTGCTGCCTCAGCCTCCCATAATTTGTATTTCAATAAATAAATTAACCTCTTGACTGATACCTAAAATACAGGCAAATTAAATGTCTGAATAAGATGTGAAAAGAAATCATTTACAGTTATACAGTTTTGAACTGGCAACATTAAAAATTACCTCAAGAAATAGCAAAAGGCAATCTGCAGTTTTAAAAAGATTAACAAGATATTTTCATTAAAATAATTGTATATTTGGGCCGGGCACGGTGGCTCAAGCCTGTAATCCCAGCACTTTGGGAGGCCGAGGCGGGTGGATCATGAGGTCAAGAGATCGAGACCATCCTGGTCAATATGGTGAAACCCCGTCTCTACTAAAAATACAAAAAATTAGCTGGGCGTGGTGGCGCGTGCCTGTAATCCCAGCTACTCAGGAGGCTGAGGCAGGAGAATTGCCTGAACCCAGGAGGCTGAGGTTGCGGTGAGCCGAGATTGCGCCATTGCACTCCAGCCTGGGTAACAAGAGCGGAACACGGTCTAAAAAAAAAAAAAAAAAAAAAAAAAAAAAAAAAATTGTGTATTTGAAGACAAAATGGCATAACTATATAAAATGGGAACTGAGGGACATCATGACCAGATTTCTAGGTCAACATATGATCTTAGTAAGTTATATTAAAAACTTTCAGAATTAAGTTTGAGTATTCCTTTTTTTTTTTTTTTTTTTTTTTTAGACGGAGTTTCGCTCTCGTTACCCAGGCTGGACTGCAATGGCACGATCTCGGCTCACCGCAACCTCTGCCTCCTGGGCTCAGGCAATTCTCCTGTCTCAGCCTCCTAAGTAGCTGGGATTACAGGCATGCGCCACCACGCCCAGCTAGTTTTTTGTATTTTTAGTAGAGACGGGGTTTCACCATGTTGACCAGGATGGTCTCGATCTCTTGACCTCGTGATCCACCCGCCTTGGCCTCCCAAAGTGCTGGGATTACAGGCTTGAGCCACCGCGCCCAGCCTTCATTCCTCTTTTCTTCTGGTATTTCTTTAGTAAAAGAAATGAAGAGGAAATAAAAAATCCTTTTTTACACTGTTATTCACTCCCATTTGCTCACCTGCTGAAATCTTTCTCCGTCTCCAGCTCTTCTTCTCCATGACCAAGACGCAGTAGGTGGCGCTCATCAATGTCTAATGCCATGATTTTCTCAAACAACTGGTTTAGGGCCTAGAGAATAAAGCAAGAAGGGTGATGGTGTGTTTTAAAGAATCAGCAGGCACCTTTAAACACAGCAAAAACTAACATTTAAAAAGAATCAAAGTTGAAACAGAGAAGAAAATCGCCCTTATACTAGGCCACTTATAATACAATCAAATAGTATTTGTATCGATTTCTGATACTGCCTTCTACATATATTTGGCTGTACGAATAACTAGAAACCATAAAACTACCCTTACCCATTAAACATTAGCTTTAATTTATGAAAGGAGAAAGGCAGTGGCTCAGATGCTATTTCTTCCAAGTTGTAACTATTCCTAAAATAAACAACCATACTGAGTTTCATTTCATTCAACAGCATTTCCTTGGTTGCAGAGAACTGGAAAAGTTTTTCCAGTTGGAGAAAGACAAGAAGGCAGTGAGTGTGTAGGTAGAATACATTAAGAAGACCACAGGGTGGAAACATAAATTGTTATCTTTCAAATCTTAGTCTGGAAGTCTAATGTTGTCTATATAATAAAGAAAAGAGCACTCATTTATTGCAAACTATTCTGATGGAGGTCATTTAAAAGTCACTATTTTCTATCTATGAAATGTTCATAATTAGGGTTCCCTTGAACCCTAGTATTCATTATATGAACCTCAAAGGCAAAAGTTTCATAGTATGGAGAGACTCACTAATAAAGTTATTATTTTAAAATGAGCCCCCATTCAAACATCTCTCCTCATTTATCACTAGTCCAATCCTGCCTGAGAAGTCAACATCCAGTCTTATAAACACCTAGGCTATATAACATAGGTACAGATATCCTTTACCATCAAAATTCTAGCAATTTGAGCTCTGAAACTGAAGAGATTTAACACAAATTTTCAGAAAAATCCCCCACTATCCACACCCTTGATACTCATCATCCAAAACTCAGGACCCAACAAAGGAGATTATATGGTGTTACTCATTATCCAAATCTTCACTATTTAAACTCAAGAAGCACATAGATTTAGAGTAAAAGTAAAAATAAAAAATGAAAACCCCACAAACTTGCACACTACAATCTCAGAAAAAATTACATTATTCCATTGTGAATTAAAGCGATTTTGGAGAACTACTTGAATTATACATGCAAATGAAGATCTGGCAAACAAAACAGTTAACTGAAGGAAAACCATCAATTTGATGGGCATCAAGGGAAATGATCTGAATTTCAAAAAAACAAGGCAGGTGTTTAGCAAGCCTTGAATTATGTGTCTACTTTTGCAAATTAATCTTTTCAATGATTGTGCTATACAAATCAATCATAAAGTAGAAGGTAACTGTAGAAAGTCATATCAAGGTATGACAAAACAGTAAAAATACGTTAAAACAACACATGAATTATTCTCTGTTCATTCTAAGAATTTACAATAGGCATAGTACAGAATAAATTTTACTAAACAGAAGAAAAACATTCTTTTCATCATTTGTTTCTTTTATCAAGACAAAGTCCAAACTGACCCCCTTTCAACCCCCACAAATTCAGTATATTGGATGTATCACATACATTATTATATAATTATACATATTACATATATCCAGTATACTAAATAAGTTTATTACTTATAAACTTCAAAATATGGAAAAATATGACAGGCAAATGAACTAAAAAGTATTATTTTTAAAACTTTACAAATTAAAAGTTAATGATCACTCATATAACTGATATTTGGGATTCCAAAAACCCAATGCTTCTTTGTATACCAACTCTTTTTTTTTTTTTAACAGTCCAGAAGTCTTTTTTTTTTTTTTTTTTTTTAACACCTATTATACCATGAATTCATAGGGAATAGGTTCCAGCAGCTCAGGCTCCTTCCCATTGGTTCTCACAAAGTGTGCGTCTCTGGGTGGAGCAGGCTGGCGCTTCAGTTGGACCCAGGTACCTTTCTCTTTGGCTTCTTTCTTTTTCTGATCATTTTCCTTCACATGTTTTAGGAAGCTATCTCGGCTCTTAAGAGTGCTTGATGTGCTCAATACGCACATTGATTCTCTTGGCAAGAATCTTGCCCTTAACTTGTTTGTTTACAACAATGCCAACAGCATGCTGGGTAACACTGTAGACCCTTCCAGTTTTGCCCTGATAACATTTGTGGGGCATTCCTTTTTGAACAGTACCCATTCCCTTGAAGTCTACAATATCACCTTTCTTATAGATTGGCATATACGTGGCCAAAGAACAACTCCATGTTTTCTAAAAGGCCTAGAGAACATGTACCGAGTGCCTCTCCTCTTTCCCTTTGTGTTCGTCATTTTGGCGAATTACTGGAAGATGGCAGTTCCGGCCAAAAGGAAAAAAGCTGTATACCAACTCTTTTTAAGACTGGTCAACTGAAGTCACCACTCTGAGAAAAAACTTTCAGAGGTTTCGACTACAATGCAAATTTCAAAATGTGCTTCAGGGTGTTCTCAGAGTTGCCTGTCTGATTTTATATCTCATAAATGTTACTTGTTCTTCCCTCTTTTCTTACAGCTTCAGAATGACTAACGTAGCATACAGTCCGCTCATGTAATATTAGGTATACATTTCACATGGATTTGAAATTTAATCCAGTATCAGTACAGTTTAGACCTCAGTCTTTCAGTAATATACATTCTACTAAATGAAGAAAAAATGCTCCTAGTAAGGGTTAATGCTCATAATCTCAAAGTAAAAGTTCTAATTTAGCACAGAAGCAAAAAAAAAAAAAAAAATCGCAATTTAATTTAATCAAATATCTAACAATATATTAAAATATGCTTAGCTTTTTCACATTATTAACCTCTCCAGTAGAAATAAAAGATTGGTTTTATGTATCCCTCAATGTAGTCTCATTATAAGCAGTGATAATCCAAGAATAGCTCAACAGCAAATACTATTCAGAAACTCCTCAACTGAACAACGGGGTTACATTCCAATAAACCTATCATAAGTTGAAAATATCCTAAGTTGAAAATACATTTAACACACCTAACCTACTGAACACCATAGCTTAACCTAGCCTACATAAAACATGCTCAGAACACATATATTAGCCTATACCTGGGCAAAATCATCTAACACAATATGCCTGTTTTATAGTGAAATGTTGACCATCTCATATAATTTATTGAATACCAAAATAAGAGTGAAAAACAGAATAGTTGTATGGGTACTTGAAGTACAATTTCTGCTGAATTCATATTGCTTTCACACATCATAAAGTCAAATATTATAGGTGAGAATAAGTCAAACTGTAAGTCAGGGACCATCTGTACCAATTAGTCTTTCCTGATATTCTGTGGTACCTATGATTAGACTTCAATACAAGGAAAAATCATCTATCAATACATTCATTTCATGAATCCCCTGCTTCTTCTTTACCTCCCCCTCAACCCCTAAGCTACACAACTGCACATGTGCACATACACACATGCCTGCACGCGCGCACGCGCGCACACACACACACACACACACACACACACAGTCATTTACCTGATTGGAATGAGTAACAATTAGAGTTCTCTGTTCTGGGAAATTGTGGTAGATGTTGGATATGATCTGAACGGCCACATCTGTTTTTCCTGTACCAGGTGGGCCCACAACCTAAAAAGAAAATGAATACATAGCAAACTACTAAATTATCACATACTGTTAGAAACTGTGAAGTACAGAACTGAAAGATAAAATTAACAACTTCAGGAGGGGCCCAATAACAGAATGAACAGGATAGAGCAAAAGTTGGTGAACTTGGAGACAGATCAGTAAACTACACAACCTGAGTAACAGAAAAACACTGAAAAAAAATTAGAGACGCGTGAATCTACAGAACAGCGTTAAAACATTTAACACTCACGTCAACAAATTCTAAGAAGAAGAGGAAAAAGAGTATGGCATAGAAAAAATTTTCAAAAAATTATGGCTGAAAATTTCCTAAATATGGCAAAATACATAAATCTACAGATTCAAGCAGCTCAGTGAACCCCAAGAGAATAACCCTAAAGAAATCCAAGCCAGGCGCGGTGGCTCACGCCTGTAATCCCAACACTTTGGGAGGCCGAGGCGGGTGGATCATGAGGTCAAGAGATCAAGATCATCCTGGTCAACATGGTGAAACTCCGTCTCTACTAAAAGTACAAAAAATTAGCTGGGCATGCTGGTGCGTGCCTGCAATCCCAGCTACTCAGGAGGCTGAGGCAGGAGAATTGCCTGAACCCAGGAGGTTGCGGTGAGCCGAGACCATGCCATTGCACTCCAGCCTGGGTAACAAGAGCAAAACTCCATCTTAAAAAAAAAAAAAAAATCCAAGCCCAGATACACCACAACTGAATGGTTAAAAACAAAAAGCAAAGAAAAAAAATCCTCATAGCGGGGGCTGGGCGCGGTGGCTCAAGCCTGTAATCCCAGCACTTTGGGAGGCCGAGGCGGGTGGATCACGAGGTCAAGAGATCGAGACCATCCAGGTCAACATGGTGAAACCCCATCTCTACTAAAAATACAAAAAATTAGCTGGGCACGGTGGCTCGTGCCTGCAATCCCAGCTACTCAGGAGGCTGAGGAAGGAGAATTGCCTGAACCCAGGAGGCGGAGGTTGTGGTGAGCCGAGATCGTGCCATTGCACTCCAGCCTGGGTAACAAGAGCGAAACTCCGTCTCAAAAAAAAAAAAAATCCTCATAGTAATCAGAGAAAAATGATACACTACATATAACAAAAAGATGTTTATAATGACTTTGGATTTGTTATCAGAAAACATGGAAGTCAGAAAGAAGTGTAGCAACATTTTAAGTGCTAAAACAAAGAACTAGCAACCCACAATTCTATGTCCAGGTAAAGTATCTTTTGAGAAGGTGTATTAGAGACATTATTCCATGAAGAAAAATAAAACTAACTCATATCTAGTAGACATGTTATAAAAAGTGGTTTTTAAAAAAAAAAAAAAAAAAGTTCTTCAGACAGAAAGAAAATGCCACCAGAAGACACTTCAAATATTTAGAATGAAGAATAAATGGCAAATACAATAAAAGGCTATTTTTTCCTCTAGAGTTCTTTAAAATACATATGCAATTGAAAGCAAAAATTCTAATACTACCCGATAGTATCTTAATGTATTTAGATGTAACACGCAAAGCAACTACAATATAAAAGGGGAAGGGAGGCAAAGGAATCTGTATGGGAGTAACTATTTGCCATTAAACCTGAGGTGACAAAATACTGATTGTAAGTAGGCTATGAAAAGTATATTGCAAATCCCTAGAATAGCCACTAAGAAAACACTACACCCAGAATATAATAAAATATAATAAAAGTATGATAGGCCAGGCGCAGTGGCTCACACCTGCATTCTCAGCACTTTAGGAGGCTGAGGCAGCAAATCACTTGAGACCAGGAGTTCAAGACCAGCCTGGCCAACATGGTGAAACACCATTCTCTACTCAAAATACAAAAAAATCAGCTGGCCATGGAGGTGTACATCTGTAATACCAGCTACTTGGGTGGCTGAGGCACAAGAATCACTTGAACTGGGAAAGCAGAGGTTGCAGTGAGCTAAGATGACGCCACTACACCTCAGCCTGAGAAGTGAGACTGTCTCAAAAAAAAAAAAAACAACAATAAATAAAAACATAATATTGAAAGCTATTCAAATAACACAACAGAAGGCAGGAAAGGGGAAATGGAAGAATACAAAATAAAGGGAACAAATAGAAAGTAAATAAAAAATGATGGGACTAAATCCAAACATGTCAATTAATTTGCATTAAATGTGAATAGTCTAAACACACAAGCTGAAAGACAGAGACTCTCAGAATGGATAAAGCAACTTCAGAGCAAAAAAAAAAAACTTCCAGCAATGAAGACAGACATTATATAATACTAAATGGGGCCAATTTACCAAGACAACGTAACAACCCTAAAGGTATAAAGCACTCAATCCATGAAGCTTCAGAATACATTAAGCAAAAACTAACAAAACTAAAGGAGAAACAGAAGAATTTATAATTATAATGGGAGATTTCAACAGTCTGCTTTCAGTAATCCACAAAACAACAGACAGAAAATCAGCAATGATAGAGAAAAATTAAATAAGATCAATGAAATAAATCAAATTGACATTTATAGGACAATCCATTCCCAAACAACAGAATACACGTTCTTTTCAAGTGAACACGAAATAGTCACCAAGGGATAGTATATGGTGGGCCATAAAACAAATTTTAAGAAATTTAAAAAGCAAAAACCAAAAAATTAAAATCATACAATATGTTCTCTGACCATAATGGACTTTGACCAGAAATCAATTAACTGGAAGATAACAAGTAAACCTCCAAATACTTAGAAATCAAACACACTTCTAAATCAGTTGACAGCAGACATTTTCTGTAAAGAGCAAAAGAGGAAGCATTTTCGGCTTTGCAGGCTAAGAAATTCCTGTTGCAAGTAATTACCTCTGCCATTGTAGCACAAAAGTGGCCATAGGCAATACAGAAACAAGTGGATGACAGATTTGCTAATTACCCTGATTTGATCATTACACAATGTATACAGTCATCAAAACATCACATCATACTCCACAAATATGTACAATCATGTCAATTAAAAATGAAACAAAACTTTATGCCAGGCAAGGTGGCTCACACCTGTAATCCCAGTACTTTGGGAGGCTGAGGTGGGCAGATGACCTGAGGTCAGGTGTTCGAGAGCAGCCTGACAAACATGAAGAAATCCCATCTCTACTAAAAATACGAAATTAGCTGTGCATGGCGGCACATGCCTGTAATCCCACCTATTCGGGAGGCTGAGGCGGGAGAATCACTCAAACCCAGAAGGCAGAGGCTGCAGTAAGTGGAGATCGCGCCATTGCACTCCAGCCTGGGCAACCACAGCGAAACTCCATCTCAAATAAAATAAAACAAAAATAAATAAAACTTTTTTTGATAAGAAAAAATGGGCACAGTCATGTTCTAATAAAACTTTATAAACACTGAAATGAGCAGCAAGATCTCTAAATACATAAGAACCTACACTTACTTATCAATACTTAAATTCAGCTGGGTTGCTGTCCTTCAAATAGAACACATTCTAAATTCTGTTACTTCTAAATCTATGTTAAAAATGGGTGCGGATGGGTGTGGTGGCTCACACCTGTAATCCCAGCACTTTGGGAGGCTGAGGCAGGTGGATCACCTGAGGCTTGGAGTTCAAGACCAGACTGGCCAACATGGTGAAACCCTGTCTCTACTAAAAATACAAAAAATTAAATTGGCACAAGGGGTGGGGGCCTGTGATCTCAGCTTCTCGAGAAATTGAGGCAAAAGAATCACTTGAACCTGGGAGGTGGAGGTGCAGTGAGTTGAGATCACACCACTACACTCCAGCCTGGGCAACAAGAGCAAAACTGTCTCAGGGGTAGAGTGGATGGACAAAAAATAGGTTTAACAATTCTCTTACCATAGTCAGTCCAGGCTGCATTCCAGCACGGATGGCTTCTATCTGTGTATGAGTGAACTGAATTGTATTACTGCAAAAAGAGTAAATAAAAAGTTGGTTCGGATAAATGACACATAGTGTAATACGAATTTAGACAACAATGACCAGTGGTCTAAGAATCTGCTCTGTATTTACTCCAGTTCTCTTCAATCTCTTCTGAACGACTCCCTTCACCTCTACCCCTCAACACAGACAATTAAAATGGAATCACAGTTATTTTTCAATATTTAACCCATCCGAGACCTCATATAGAGTGCCAAAGTTCTAGTTCCCATTCTAATGCTAAATATAATGCCGATTTACTAGTTATGGCACACATGCATTAGGATTACTGCTATATGTAACACAGAGTCAAGAAGTTAGAACGCTTTGCTCAAATTAAGGTAGCTCTCTAAAACTTACTTCTCATAGTGCCTGAAAATGTTTCTTTTTGAAACATTATGACTACAGGATGGCCTAAAATTCAGTTATTGAGCTGAATGACAGAACAGAAAGAGAGAGGGTTCCGAAACGGAAGTTTTACGGAGTTTTAAAAGAAACAGAAAATTTAAAAACATTCTGAATTCAGTTGAAATAGCAAACTATTATTCCTTATTACAATTAGAATAAGCAGTAAAATTACCGTTTGGGTTGATTGTAAGGATAAGGACCCCTATTAGGAATAACATGGGGCTCAACAATTAAGGTTTTTGCCTCCTCAGTGTCTTCATCTTCCACATCTGCATCTTTCCTTTTCTTCCCTTTTCCACTTCTTACTGGAAAAGTTATCCTACAATACCAAAACTTTTGTTCATTTTTACAATTAACAAGGATTTACTGAGTGCCTATCTGGTACATGACATTGTATGCAGGATAATCAGAGGAATAAGAAACATTTCTGGCTTAAAGGAACTCACTATCTTTATGCAAACTCTGAAAACGGTAGAGTTACAAGCACTAACATGGGTGTTAAGAGTTTTCAGATTTTAAAAAGTTACCCACTTAACAGGGAATTAAGGGAGAATTTAAAGAAACATTAAATACTATGTCAGCTGCACTGGAAAGTGTTTTATTCATTGTCCTTCATTTAATCAGAAACAATTTCATGGAAGAGATGGTATCTAAGATGAGTCTCAAAGAATTTAGACCAGGCGTCCCCAAACTATGGCCCACGGGCCGCCCCCTGAGGCCATTTATCCGGCTCCCTGCCGCACTTCAGGACAGGGCACCTCTTTCATTGGTGGCCAGTGAGAGGAGCACAGTATGTGGTGGCCCTCCAACGGTCTGAGGGACAGTGAACTGGCCCCCTGTGTAAAAAGTTTGGGGACACCTGATTTAGACATTCAAAGATGGGAAGAAAAGATATTCCTGGAAAGAAGCAACAGTAGTGGCCAACTACAAGTGGCCTATTTTGCCTGAGCATAGGGTAGAGAAAAATAGGTTGAAGAGACAGGAGTCTTGTTACGACAGGAGCCTTGTTATGGCATCTCTAGAACATGAAGCATTTAAGGTAGAGGGTCATAACCTGGGGTTAGGAGGTAACTCCCCACAGATACCTCAGCAAAGTCAATGAACTCCCTAAAATTGAACTGCAAAATTAATTTTCTATGTGTACTTTCTCCAGTCTTCTTTCACATTCTAAAAAAATAGATTAACACCAAAAAATGCTAAGAGCCAGAGAGGCTAAGAGGTCAGCACTTATTTTGGTAAGAAATAGGAACAATCAGCTTTTTAGCCAGGCAGTGAATAGCTCTAGCAGTAAACCATGTAATGGATTCAAGTGAAGTGAGACAGGGATGAATGAATTTGCTATGATAAAGACTGCTGAGGATCTAAAGAGGAAGTGGCAAATGAAAAAACTAACCTCAAGGCAAAATCTCTGAGATATAGCAGGAGTTTTACGGGAGTAAAAAGATTTTTAAAAAGCTGAGATTTCAAGACGGAGGAGTAGAAAAACGTCTTTGCCATAAATAGGATTAGCAAAGTATGGAGGAAAACTAGGTTTGGGTGTATAAAGGATATGTTTATTTAACATGTAGAATTAGTTATTATTTTGAGATAGAGTCTCACTGTCCCCCAGGCTAGAGTGCAGTGGTGTGATCATAGCTTACTGCAGCCTTACTCTCCTGAGCTCACGTGATCCTCCCACCTCAGCTTCCTGAGTAGCTGGGCCTGTAGGCATACACCAAATCTTGCTAATTTTTTTTTTAAATAGACATGAGGTCTCAGTTGCCCAGGCTGGTCTACAATTCCCGGCCTCAAGCAATCCTCCCAACTTTGCCTCCCAAAGTATTGGGATTACAAGCATGAGCCACCACACCTGGCCTAGAATTATTATACATACACACACACACACACACACACACATACACACACACACACACACACTTAACAATCAATTGAAAGCTGTGTGTTTTCTAATTTCTAGCTAAGAAAGTAATCTGTAGGCTACCACCCATAGGTATACTCAGTGCCTTACCACTAATCCATATGAAGGAATTCAGGGAATAACAACCAATTATTTCAGGTACTTTGTTCTATGTTCACTTAATTTTTAGGACCAGAACTAATTTAACATTAAATATGACTATGTTTTAAGTATTTATTTTATTTATTTAGAGAAGGAGTCTTCCTCTGTCACCCAGGCTGGAGTGCAGTGGCACAATCATAGCTTATTGCAGCCTTAAACTCCTGGATTCAAGCAATCCTCCTGCCTCAGCCTCCTAAGTTGCTGAAATTACAGGTGTGTGCCATCATGCTCAGCTACTTTTTGAATTTTTTTAGAGATGGCGTCTCGCCATGTTGCCCAGGCTGGTTTCGAATTCCTGGCCTCAAGCAGTCCTGCCTTAGCCTCCTGAGTCTCTGGGATTACATGCATGAGCCACTGTGCCTAGCTATATACAAATTTGAACATTCCAGATTTGTGAAAGCAAGCAAAGTTAAAAGAAAAAAAGATTTTTTTTTTCCCTAAAAACAAAGTTCAACATCACATGGCTGTATTAGTTGGGAGACACAGTACTGACTATGCATAAATACAATGACATTTAGTCAAATGCTATAAATATATTTATACATTTCTCTTCAGACAATAAGCATTTATTGATCCCTTATTAGGCATTAGGCTACTTTTACTGTGGTCTTAAAACAGCTTCTGCACTTAGAAATAGATTCAAGCATAATAAAGTTATCCCAGCGATTATTTGGTGAAGGTAGGAACTGCTAAAACAAAATCCATAGTACAACTTGAAAGTTCATTGAAGGAAAGAAAGAAACAAACAAAAAAACACAATCTAAAAATAGTACTCAAAACTCACTTTAGCTAACAATCCTGATGCCAAAACACACTGACTACAGAATGCTGGAAAGGAACATACCCAGTTCTGACTTTACCTGAAAGGGGGTATTTGTAGAGCAGGGTCTTCCACAGTTACTTTAACATTATGACCAGGGAAGCTGGCTTTTAAATGCTCAATGGAGAGAAATGTATCATTGAAATCAAGGGTGGCAATCTGATTGGGCATTTTTGAGTAATGTGCGCTACTTGGGTCCCCATAACCTAAAATGATATCATGCAGCCAGTCAGGTACCACACAATCAGTATTCATCAGGTTCCGAATAGTTTCCAGCACAGCCTGTCAATAAAAGGACAGAAAAGGATGGTGTCAATAAGACATCTCAAACATTTGCACTTACTGGAATGCAAAGCCGGCTGTACTAATCCAGAATTCCCAAGTGTTTCAGAGCAAGAAGCTATTTTCCGCTGGCTGACAGGTGCTTGGCTAGACTGAATCAACAGCTATATTTTCAGCTGATACTGTACACTGGGTTAAACAAAAGACCAAACTTAGCAAGAACACTTTATCCGTTAAGAGTTCACTTAGACAGAATGGCATAAATTAATTTACCATTTGACTCCTATTGAGTAGGATGAAAACCAGACTCAGGTCGACACAGCAGTAAGAAAACAATCTAGAACAAAGCTTTAAAGAAAATACTTCCTCTCAGAAACTCCTGGAGTTTTTTCTCTTTATATTCCATAGTTCTCTAAAAATCACGCACAACCAGAAGTACATTAATGTATGCTTCAACTGTGATGAAATGTCATAATTTAAAAATGTTAAAATTAGCACTGTGAGAAGAAACTAAAAAGTGAGCAAAATGATAAAAATAAAGAAAATATCAATTATATTTCAGAAGGAAAGAATCGGGACTATAATAAAAGGTCATTGTAGTAGATAACATATATGCTGTCAAAGGTAATTACAAAAAGCCAAGGCAAATCTTAGACTTTCCAAAAATCATTTCAACAAAGTGATCTATCTCACATAAAGAAATCTAGAGGCTAGGCTATTAATTTCAATGAATAAAATAACCAAACTGACAATTTTTAAATCATAAGTGCTATACAACTTTTGAAAATGATAAGACAGTATATGTTAATCACACCCTTAATCACACTGCCTTGTTTTTACACTTGTCACTACCTGAAATTCTCTCGTTCAGGTACTTGGTTATTTGTTTTATCCCTACTATCCCTAATACCATTTGTTTAAATCCTACCAAAATACAATTCTCACAAAAGTAGGGATCTAGGAACAGTTTAAATATGGAACGAGTGAATGAAGGAATACCCAAATGAGTATATTCACATAACATTAATGAATAAGATCAGAGCTCTGCCTTCTAAGGAAATTACAGTTTTAGTAGCAAGATAAAATATGTCTTAACTATAACACAAAGCAGCAGAATGTGGTACATAGTAAAGAATGTTACAAAATACAATGGGAACACAGTTCACAGTAAATGAGAGAGATGGATGCAGGGGCTACTTAACATTAGGAAAGGTTTCATGAAGGAAAATGGCATTTTTATTGAACTCAAGTAAAAGATTTGTGATGGAGCTTTGATTTACTTCATCAAGAATAGAAAGTCAAAGAAATGTTCTGAGAAGGAGAGTAAAGTGATCAGTGTCACATAGTAGGAGGGAATATATGGAAAACAGGTGACTGGCTATGAGGAGACTCAAGGGTAGACAGAGAGGAGGCTTCTGTAACTGTCTAGACAAAAAATAAAGTATCCAGATGAGGACAGCTTGTACAAACTGGAAAAGAGAAAAGGCAATAAATGAGAGACGCTACACAGGCACATAATGAAACACCAAAAACACATAAACAGCAGTTTTTTCCTAAACATAGGCAAGTTAATCATTCTCCTTCTTTCTTGGATCAGAAACTAAATGCCTCCTTTGAACTTTCAGGATGCTTTTATCTAGAGCCCTTTTTTTTTTTTGAGACAAAGTTTCGCTGTTGTTACTCAGGCAGGAGTGCAATGGCGCAATCTTGGCTCACTGCAACCTCCGCCTCCTGGGTTCAAGCAATTCTCCTGCCTCAGCCTCCTGAGTAGCTGGGATTGCAGGCACGCACCACCATGCCCAGCTAATTTTTAGTATTTTTTTTTTCGTAGAGACGGGGTTTCACCATGTTGATCAGGATGGTCTTGATCTCTTGACCTCATGATCCACCCGCCTCGGCCTCCCAAAGTGCTGGGATTACAGGCTTGAGCCACTGCGCCCGGCCTATCTAGAGCCTTTTTATGGCATTGGGCACCTTCTAACTGTTAATGGTATGTATTTGTCTATATTTCTAACTTCTCTAATGGTATCAGCTGTGTCTGATTCATCTTCATAAGATTCATCTCAGCACAGTATCAGACTTACAGCAGGTACTAAATAAAACAGTCAAATGAATATAAGAAAGGATTTTTTCACTTTTCAGTAAAGTAACTGAGATTTACTTACTGAAAACTGACCAACTGTGACAGTCATAGGAAACTTGGAAATTCTTAGATTTCTCCAACCTTCATTCCCTCAATAAATGTTTATTAAGAACATACTATATAACAGGTACAGTTCTACGTGCTAAGGATACACAGGCAAACAAAACAAAGATCCTGCCCTCATAAACCTGCTTCTTCATTGCTTTCTAATGAAGAATTCAGATATTTAAAAAATGTATAATCATCCGTTATGATAACGGCTGTGGGGAAAAATAAAGAGCTTACGGTAGAGAATCATGAGATGCTACTTTAGGTAAGGTTGCCAGGGAAGGCTTCTCTTAGGAGGTGACATTGAAACAGAGTTGCCCATGTCAGGTGAGGAAAGGAGCCATGTAAATACCTGGAGATAACTGTCTAGGTATAAGGAACACCATGTGAAAAGTCTTGGGTTATTTTAAAAAACAGCAAAAAAGGCAGTGTGACTGACATAGAGTGAATACGGAAAAAGTGTTAGAAAATGATGTTGGAGAGGTGGCCAAAAGACAGATAATGATAGGGCCTTTTGGATTATGGTAAGACCTTTCTAATGTGATAGGAAGCCATTAAAGAATATTAAATGGGGGTATCAAGGTAAACTTCACATTTTAAAAGGATTATTTGGCCATTATGTGGATATGTGTAAGGGGAGGAACAGATAAGAAAGGAGGCAGGAATATAAGAGATAAAGGTGTCTTGGACATGGCATCAGCAGAGGTGATGAGCTGACTTACTGATGGATCAGAGGGAGAGTATGAGACAAGAAGAAATCAGGGATATCTCCATTTGTGTACAACACCCGGGGAAGTTGAAAAGTCTTCTTTTTTTCAATCACAACAAAAGGGTTACATAAAAGTAATAAAATGATAAGAATGTCAAAGAAGTACTGCACTTTGGGAGAAAGAGAAAAGAAAGGCACTCTTTCTGTAAAAGCTACATATTATCAAATGCTAGAACTGTTCAATGTTTAAATTTTATAATATAGTTTCAAATAATGGTTTTTAAAAACTATCCTTTACTAAAACTCCTCTCCCCACAATTATTCTAAGAGTAAAATTTTGAGCCACCACACCTCTTTTTCCGACTAATTAGTAAAATAAAAATATATCATATAGTACTTCAGAGCCTTAAGGTTCCATATCTTTATTTTTAAAGTGACTTGAAAGTACAACTACTTTTGATTGAAAAAAGAAGCCCCAGTAAACAAGTAAGCAAGTTTTCTTCACCTCATCATAGGGCACTGAGTACCTAACATACCAAGAGCGAAAAAGGAGGTGGACCTTTAGCATAACACCTGGATTCATCTATATTTTAAGTTTTTAACTCCTCAAAAGACAAAATAGATTTAACAAATGGATTTCCTTAAACTTTTATATTTCATCAACATTAAAAGTTTAAGAGGACTGCTTATAATAAAAATATAAGTAGTAATTATTTTTTCAACAAATCTTCCTCTAACCAACTATCTTTGTATTTATGTCATAAAAGTCACTTAAATTATCACATAGTACTTTTAGTTACATAGCACCCAAATTACCTTAAAGTTATTTTCCTTTGGTTTTCTTCTCATTATTATATTAAAAGTTTCATACACATCCTCTGCTCCATTTTGTATAGTATTGGTCATATCTTGTTGATACTGGTTTGGATCCAAAAACACTCTAAATGTCCTTGACTCTCCTCTAAGATTGGGTCTGGGTTCAGGTCCTGGGGAATTTGAAAAAGTTTGTTAAATAAAATATATATTTTTCAAATACATAATTTCTTGTTTAGAAATGATGAGTAAATGGTTCTGGCTTAACTCCAATCATTCTTCCCAAATTAGAATGCCCTCCACTCACCCACTTCAAATTCTAAGAAGCTGAAAGTATTTTCTTCTTTCTCTAAATTCTTACTATTTCCTTCCAGAGCAGACATGTGATGTCTACGATGCAACACCATGACTTGCAATAATTTGTACACGCATTCAACTAAAATAGGAGCACTTGGAAGTCAAACAACTTATCTTTACTTTTGTCACTCTTAGCTCCTACTACTGCCTTACATATAGTAAGTATTCAATAAATATTTTCTAATTAAGAATTTAAGGCATACTTTTCTATTCCTTAATTTGACAGAGGTTTATCACTTTTCTCATCCTTCCACATTCCATACCTAGTATAACCAGCACGAAAGGAAAGTTCACATACACAGAAATGTGGGATACTAACAGTTGCAAGACCAGGGCCTTTCTTTCCTCTCTGATGTATCTCCTCTTTTGGCGGGGGGTGGGTCTTAGACCTCCAACTTTGGTTCCATTATGTGGCCTTATGCTTATTCTATCCATATTTCATTCCCTTCTCCTATTTTCTTTTATTCTAGAGACAAATAACCTAATCATCAGAAGTTTAGCAATGATATAATCTCTAAACCACAGATGATAGAAACTGATTCAAGTTTCAAAAGAAGTTTAACAACCAAATTGTAAAATAAGCACTAGCCATGTATGCAGTTATAATTTAATAATAAGTATTATAAAGGAAGTCAGGACAATGGAAGAATTTTTTTCTTCTTTTTTGAGAGAGTCTTACTGTCGCCCAGGCTGGAATGCACTGGTATGAACTCAGCTCACTACAACCTCTGCCTTCCAGTTTCAAGCAAGCCTCCTGCCTCAGTCTCCAGAGCAGCTGGAACTATAGGTGCCTGCCACCAAGCCCAGCTAATTTTTTTGTATTTTTAGTGGAGACAGGGTTCACCATGTTAACCAGGATGATCTTGATCTCCTGACCTCATGATCTGCCCACCAAAAAAGCTTGGACAACTGAAGGAAGTATTTAGAGGTCTTCTTAAAAAAAAGAAAATTATAAAGTATTATATATTTTTAAAAGCTTTGAATAAAGATAATTTCAAAAGATCCTGTCCCAGCGTTCGAGACCAGCCTGGCCAACATGGTGAAACCCTGTCTCTACTAAAAATACAAAAATTAGCCAGGCATGGTGTCAATCACCTGTAATCCCCACTACTGGGGAGGCCGAGGCAAAAGAATTGCTTGAACCTGGGAGGTGGAGGTTGCAGTGAACCAAGATCATGCCACTGCACTTCAGCCTGGGTGACAGAGCAAGACTCCTTCTTGGTGTGGGAAAAAAAAAGAGTCTGACCTTTCCAATATTTAACAATATCTAACAAAGAAGCTTTGAAACTGGCCAGGTGCAGTGGTGGCTCACGTCTATAATCCCAGCACTTTGGGAGGCTGAGGCAGATGGATTGCTTGATCTCGGGATTTTGACACCAGCCTGGGCAACATGGCAAAATCTTGTCTCTATTAAAAACTACAAAAATTAACTGGGCATGGTGGCACATGTCTATGGTCTCAGCTACTAGTGGGGCTGGAGAATCACATGAACCCAGGAGGCAGAGGTTGCAGTGAGCCGAGATCATGCCACTGCACTCCAGCCTGCATGACAGAGTGAGATTCTGTCACCAAAAAAAGAAAAAAAAAAGAATTAGTTTTGAAACCATGTTACATATATCTAAAACTACACGGTACACGGTAGGTACCCTGTACATGCAAATAAATAGAGATAATAACCTAAACATCAGCAGTTTAGCAATGATATAATCTCTAAACCACAGATGACAGAAACTGACTCAAGTTTCAAAAGAAGTTTAACAACCAAATTGTAAAATAAGCACTACACATGTATGCAGTTGTAATTTAATAATAGTAAGTATTATAAAGGAAGTCAAGACAACGAAAGCAAACTCTTTGTGTCAATTTAGTAGATAACACAACTAAAAAATATTACTTAAGAAGCAAAATAGGCAAAGACATTTATCATTCAATACATATACTCCTTCAAAAATATGTCACCATACCATCTTCAATGACACGTCCTTTATCATCCAGCATGCCCTGAATTTCACAGCCTCTGACATAAACCAGGCCAACCTGCTCAATAAAAGGTCTCCTTCGGTCAAACTTAGTGCCATAAGGTTTTGTGGGACGTACGGTAATTAAAAAGCATACATCATGCTTACGAAGACCTGGTAAGATATAAAGACATTTTCATTTATTAGAATTTCATTGTTTTCAGTCTTTTGTAGGCAAATTCTAATTTGTCTCTCTACCTCTTATCTTTGGTAGAGAGATATCACCAGTGACCAGTGATTATTATTGCACTGTAACACAACCATGGGCTTTTCTATGATCTTTATTACTCAAAATTTCATAGCATTAATTGAAATGAAAACCTCTTTATATTAAAATTAGAAACGTTCATGCCAGAATACATTACTGAATAAGCCCTCCAAGTCATGCTACAGCTCCAAAATTGGATGCTCGTCATCATTCTTATTTTTAACATTCTTAATAAGTAACCAAAAATACAGTTGGCATACAATCCATCTATATCATATTTAGCAGGTTTTTAATATTGGTTTAAACTATCTATCAATGTTCCTCCAAAGACAGCCTAATTGTATTTTACTAAAACTGGTCAACTCTAGAATAATTCATCAGGGCCAAAAAGTATTGTTTACAGATATGATCTTGAGAAAGCTGGCTGAATATACACAGTTTCAGTTGGCAAATAATTTCTGAAAACAAATCCATTAAGGGAATTTTTATAAGTGAATGTCAAGAAACAGGAGTCTTGTGCCAAAGTCCATAGCTTCTCAGCCGCTAGACCCAATAATGGACTCAAATGGCTTCCCAGCTCCATTAAAAGAAGAGAAACTGGAAGACAAGGATTATAAAATTAGACCATACAACATGTAATGATACACCACTTAATCTTCATTCCATTTCCGATGTTTTTGTTAGCCATTATATGACATAAATGTAAATGTAAACGGTCTGCTTGCTCATAATCTTATTAACAACAAACACAATGAAATCAAATCAACAATGTGGGTATATGACTAATAGTACTGAAAAGATTTTGGTTTGTTTTAATTGGGGGACTGGTTAGAGGTGGGTAAAGGTAGAAATAATAACCCTATTCATAACACTGACTTAATTATTTCCCAATAAATTCTATGCAAAGCAGCAAGTAATGAGAATGAACAAGGAATCGTTCTACTATCCGAGTTGTACTACTTGCATGACGTCTGATCTGCACAACTCATTAAAACTTCTAAGTCTAGGCCAGCTGCGGTGGCTCACGCCTGTAATCCCAGCACTTTGGGAGGCTGAGGTCAGGAGTTCAAGACCAGCTTGGTCAACATGGTGAAATCCTGTCTCTACTAAATGTACAAAAATTAGCTGGGAGTGGTGGCGGGCATCTGTAATCCCTGCTACTGGGGAGGCTGAGGCAGGAGACTCGCTTGAACCCCGGAGGGGGAGGTTGCAGTGAGCCAAGACCACACCATTGGCCTCCAGCCTGGGTGACAGAGTGAAACTCCATCTCAAAACAACAACAACAACAATAAAAAACTTCTAAGTCTAAAAGCCAAAGAAGGGGCCCCGAGAAGTCATTGATCCTCTACCAAGATAGGAGTTACTTTTCGGCATCACTGAGGAATAACCTCTTGCTCCTTCCTAAAGCAAACCATTTACTCTGTGACATCTTAGATCTACATTTTTTTAAATTCTGTATTACAATGAGCTCAACTCTCCCTCTCCTAACAACCATTTGTATCCACCCAATCCTAGCTGTGCTTTCGAAGCATTTCCATTTTATTAATTCTGTTTCCTTAACTTTAAATGAGAATACCGAAGATAAGGGCTTGAGGTTCACATCTTTTTAAAGGGACAAGCAGAATGTTTTATGGTATTTAAAAATCTTTAAAATTTACTTTTATAAAACAATATTCATTATTGTTTACAGAATCTCTCCTTTTTGCTCCCATTTTCCATTTGGCTATCCCATCTGTGATCAATATAGGGGCTGGTTTTTGGCCCAGGCCTCCCAGAGAACACTTTTCTTTCCATCATACCCCAGATTATCACTCATCCCACAATACCCTACTGTGCCCTTTCTTGCCCATCAAAATGTACCATTCCAGTTCTCATTCTACCAGAAGCTGATGTGTAAAAGAAAAAAAGACTGTCTCATGCCCTTCTGAAAGCAGTCAGTAATGGGGGAAGCGGCCTGTCTGGGTAAAACATCCTTTTGTTTTCCTTAACATCAAAATGCAGACTGTCATCTATAAATTCCTATAAAAAGTCATTTAAAATAAAAAAACTTCCAACCACTTACTACTTCTGGGGTACCCAGTAGGTTATCTCAGTTTACTACCCACTGTGTAAAACAGTATTTAATATCTCCTTAAGCTTCAAGGAATAATAAATATGAAACCTTCTGCAGCAACTTAATGGCTTTCTAAAGGTCCAGCAACAACAAAGGTGTGCCATTATTCTAGATGAATAATATAACAGAATGAAACTCTTTTGAAGGACATAGGGGTCATAAAAACAATCTGTCACAAACCATATGCATCATAGCAGGCATCTGTTAAACGTTTGGCTAGCTTTGGTGCTGGATTCCTTCAAAATTCTTTGATAATGATATAGTTCCCATGAATATAAACAGCTACATTGGTAGTAATAATTTCTGAAAACAAATCCATTAAGGGACTTTCCCTTTCCTTCTGGGATGCCAAGAAGGTAAAAAAAAAAAAAAAAAAAATGTAAATCCTACTGACTACTGTTTCTCAAAACAGGGCATCAAATAAGGCCTCTCACAGGACAGCTAGGAGAAAAACGTAAAAGTACTAATTAGAAATCAGTTCATATGTCACTTCTAGCAAAGATCTTATTGATGTTTCAACTCTATTGGACTTAGTAATGCCTCCAAAACAAATTAATTTTGACATGGAATGTTCATCCTTAAAATCTTGCCTAGCAAAAAAAATTGGAGAAATAACTCCGTTAATTTCTTGGCAATTATTACATATGCTCAAGTACATTTGTTTTCACTGATTCTTTATCCTTTCTGTCTTAGGTGCAAATAAACTATTATTTATTTCTGAGTTGTTTTAATTTTTTATTTTTATTTTCCACAAAGTGTATGCATTTCTATTCTTTTCACCTTGGCTACTTTTATCTTTTGAAAAATACCAATTTTCCTTCCTTACCACTCTGCATGTTTATACATTATACGTGGGTTTTTTCCCTGCTCTTTGGCGAACACTAATATTTTTATTCTTTTATATTGATCCCACAAATCCATAAATATTATCTTGCTAAATTTAAGACCTAAAGTGCTCTCCTCTAAGCTTTGCAAACTTCAGTTTTCAAAGCTTTGATATGCATGCAATTTTATGCTTTTTATTAAAATATTAAGATACCTACATATTCTTGTATGATCCCCGGTATTTTTGTTTATTTTTTATTTTTACCCTATAAAATAAAGCTTTGCACACAAATGGAAACTTGCTACAACCCAAATTACAGAATCAAATGCCACCTATGTAAAATAAAATGGCAATTAAAAAAACAAATTAAATGTAGGCCTAGATTATTTGAAACCATACGTGACAAAATTTGTTAGTATAGAACAGTGTACGGTGGTTAAGGCACTGTCTTAGTCTAATAATCTCAGGGCAGCCTGATTGCTCCTAAATAGCATGAGAATTTAGACTAATCACTTAACATTTTTTTTTTTAAGTTCTGGGGTACATGTGCAGATTGTGCAGAATTGTTACACAGGTACACACAGGCCATAGTGGTTTGCTGCCTCCATCCCCTAGGTATTTCTCCTTATGTTATGTAATGCCACACACCTACAACCGTCTGATCTTTGACAAACCTGACAAAAACAAGCAATGGGGAAAGGATTCCCTGATTAATAAACGGTGTTGGGAAAACTGGCTAGCAATGTGCAGAAAGCTGAAACTGGACTCCTTCCTTACACCTTATACAAAAATTAACTCCAGGTGAATTAAAGACTTAAATAGACATATGGGATCTAATTAAACTTATGAGTTTCTGCACAGCAAAAGAAACTATCATTAGAGTGAACCGGTAACCAAAAAAATGGGAAAAAATTTCTGCAAGCTACTCATCTGACAAAGATGAGTAATATCCAGAATCTACAAAGAATGAAAACAAATATAGAAGAAAAAAACAACCCCATCAAAAAGTGGGTGAAGGATATGAACAGACACTTTTCAAAAGAAGACATTTATGCGGCCAACAAACATACGAAAAAATGCTCATCGGCCGGCCATGGTGGCTCAAGCCTGTAATCCCAGCACTTTGGGAGGCCGAGGCGGGTGGATCACGAGGTCAAGAGATCGAGACCATCCTGGTCAACATGGTGAAACCCTGTCTCTACTAAAAATACAAAAAAAATTAGCTGGGCATGGTGGCTCGTGCCTGTAATCCCAGCTACTCAGGAGGCTGAGGCAGGAGAATTGCTTGAACCCAGGAGGCGGAGGTTGCCGTGAGCCAAGATCGCGCCATTGCACCTGGGTAACAAGAGCGAAACTCCGTGTCAAAAAAAAAAAAAAAAAAAAAATGCTCATCATCACTGTTCATTAGAGAAACACAATTCAAAACCACATTGAGATATCATTTCATGCCATCAGTTAGAATGGCAATCATTAAAAAATCTGGAGAAAACAGATGCTGGAGAGGATGTAGAGAAATAGAAACATTTTTACACTGTTGGTGGGAGTGTAAATTAGTTCAACCACTATGGAAGACTGTGTGACAATTCTGCAAAGATCAAGAAACAGAGGTGCCATTTGACCCAGCAATCCCATTACTGGGTATATATCCAAAGGAATGTAAATTGTTCTATTATAAAGATACATGCACACGTATGTTCATGTGGCATTGTTTACAATAGCAAAGACCTGGAACCAACCCAAATGCCCATCAATGATAGACTGAATAAAGAAAATGTGACACATATACACCATGGAATATTATGCAGCCATAAAAAAGGATGAGCTCATGTCCTTTGCAGGGGCATGGATGAATCTGGAAACCATCATTCTCAGCAAACTGATAAAAGAACAGAAAACCAAACACCACATGTACTCACTTATAAGTGGATGCTGAACAATGAGAACACATGGACACAGGAGGGGAACATCACACACTGGAGTCTGTTGGGAGATGAGGGGCTAGGGGAGGGGTAACGGGGTGGGGAGATTGGGGAGGAATCCCTGGTATTTTTAAAACTAATTATCAGAAAGAAAATTGCTATTCCTTAAATCAAATTTCAAGGATAAAGTTTAATAAAAGCTAAAACGATAATATTCAGTAAAAGTACTTTGTTATTGCTCTAAGTCAGGCGTCCCCAAACTTTTTACACAGAGGGCCAGTACACTGTCCCTCAGACCACTGGAGGGCCGCCACATACTGTGCTCCTCTCACTGACCACCAATGAAAGAGGTGCCCCTTCCTGAAGTGCGGTGGGGGGCTGGATAAATGGCCTCAGGGGGCCGCATGCAGCCCACGGGCCGTAGTTTGGGGACACCTGCTCTAAGTGAAAGTTCATAACAAGGCAAAAGGTAACGTCACTTTTTGAAACATAAAATTACCTTCCCATTCATCTTTGATGTGATCTCTGACATTCAGATTTATGGTAACATCTGCACGAACTCGGGTTGGCCAGTTTTCACCTATGTTGGGTTTGGCAACTTCAACTACAGTAAAAGCCACGATGGGCTGGGCCATTCTTGCCCAACCACCAAATACCACACCGCCATATTCAGACTGCCTGAAACCAAAGAAATGGATGATTACTCAAACAAAAAATAATTTATCCCCAACTTTTAGACAGGTAAAACTAGTAAGCAGGAATATTGTTTAGCTAGTATTTAAGCCCTAAATTAGTAACCCTGATTTCTAAACTTAAAAAAAATAATTAAAAAAACCTTTAACTCTCAATGTATAGAAAGTATATATGATAGTATGAAACAGATAATATGGTCCAGAAAAGAAACAAAAGTAGAGGAATATCTCCTCCCCAACCTAAGAAAAAAGCTAACCCTATGTGCATAAGAACATTCGGGGGCTGAGCCACTGTATCAAAGAAATAAAGAATCTAACATACTTAGTTTTATTTCGGCTTTACTGAGGTATACTTGACAAATAAAAATTGTATATCGTTAATGAATACAATGTGATATTTTAAGCTATGTATACAATGTGATATTATTACCAACACAGTTATCATTTTTTTTGTGTGTGGTAAGAATACTTAAGATCCTGGCAAGTTTTAAGTACATAAAACATTAATTATAGTCACCATGCTTTACATTAGATCTCTAAACTTACGTATCCTATAACTGAAAGTTTAGACCCTTTGACCAACATGTCCCCATTTCCCCCACCCACAACCTGGTAACTGTCCTTCTACTGTTTCTATGCGTTTGCCTTTTTTAGATTCCATATGGAAAGTGAGATCATCAGTTTTTGTTGATCTGTATCTGGCTTAATACATTTAGCATAATGTACTCCAAGTTTATCCATGTTGTCAAAAAAAGGATTTCCTTCTTTTTAAAAGCCGAATCATATTCCATTATATGTTTTTATACATGTACACATACGCCACCACATCTTCTTTATCCAGTCATCCCTTACGTTGTTTCCACATTTTGGTTATTGTGAATAATGCTGCAATAACCACAATAGTGCAGATACCTCTTTGGGATAGTGATTTTATTTCCTTTAGATAAACATTCAGAAGTGGGTTTGCTGGATCATATGATAGCTCTGTTTTTTAATTTTTTGAGGAACCTCCATATTGCTTTCCATAATGGTATACCAAGTAACATTCCTACCAACAGCGTGTAAGGGTTACCTTTTCTTCACTTCCTTGCAAACACTTATCTTTTGACTTTTGATAATTGCCATTGCCAACAGTTGTGATATTTGAATACCTCATTGTGGTTTTGATATGCATTCACCTGATGATGAGTGATACTGAACATCTTTTCATCTACCTATTTGTCATTTGTATGTCTTCTTACAAATGACATGTTATTCATGTCCTTCATTCATTTTTTTATTGGGTTATACGGTCTTAGGCTATTGAGTAATATGAGTTCCTTACATATTTTGGATATTAACTTCTAATCAGATACATGGTTTGAAAATATTTTCTCTGAGCGGAAGCTATGGTGAGCCGACATTGCGTCACTGCACTCCAGCCCAAGAAACAGTGCAAGGTTGTCTCAAAAAAAAAAAAACAGAAAAGAAAAGATTTTCTCCCATTCTGTAAGGCTGCCTTTTCATTTTGTTGATTGTTTCCTTTGCTGTGCAGAAACTTTTAAGTTTGATGTGGTCCCCACTTACTTATTTTTGCTTTTGTTCCCTGTGCTTTTGGTGTCACCCAAAAATCATTGCCAAGACCAATGTTATGCAGATTTTCCCCTATGTTTTCTTCGAGGAGTTTCATGGGCTCAGGTCTTATGTTTAAATCTTCAGTCTATCTTCGGTTAACTTCTGTGTATCATGTAAGATAGGGATCCCCTTTCATTGTTTTATAAGTAGATATCCAGTTTTCCCAAAACCATTCTCTTTTTCCCATTGCATGTTATTGGTACATGCATCAAAGATTAGATGACTGTACACGTGTGGGTTTAATTCTGAACTTTCTGTTCTCTTTTGTTGGTCTATGTGTTTTTATGCCAGTATCATAATGTTTTGACTAATGTAGCTTTGTAATATAATTTGAAATCAGAAAGTATGATGTCTCCAGCTTTGTTCTTCTTGATCAAGATTGCTTTAGCCGGGCGCGGTGGCTCAAGCCTGTAATCCCAGCACTTTGGGAGGCCGAGGCAGGTGGATCACGAGGTCAAGAGATCGAAGTCGGGCGCGGTGGCTCAAGCCTGTAATCCCAGCACTTTGGGAGGCCGAGGCGGGTGGATCACGAGGTCGAGAGATCGAGACCATCCTGGTCAACATGGTGAAACCCCGTCTCTACTAAAAGGTGCAAAAAATTAGCTGGGCATGGTGGTGTGTGCCTGTAATCCCAGCTACTTAGGAGGCCGAGGCAGGAGAATTGCCTGAGCCCAGGAGGCGGAGGTTGCGGTGAGCCGAGATCGCGCCATTGCACTCCAGCCTGGGTAACAAGAGCGAAACTCCATCTCAAAAAAAAAAAAAAAAAAAAAAAGAGATCGAGACCATCCTGGCCAACATGGCGAAACCCCGTCTCTACTAAAAATACAAAAAATTAGCTGGGCATGGTGGCGTGTGCCTGTAATCCCAGCTACTCAGGAGGCTGAGGCAGGAGAATTGCCTGAACCCAGGAGGCGGAGGTTGTGGTGAGCCGAGATCGCGCCATTGCACTCCAGCCTGGATAACAAGAGCGAAACACCGTCTCAAAAAAAAAAAAAAGATTGCTTTAGCTATTCAGGTCTCTCCATGTTACTAATTGGCATCTTTTCATTTCAGCTTGGAGAACTTCCCTTGGTATTTGCTGTAAGGCAGGTCTAGTGATGACAAACTCTCTCGGCGTTTGTTCTGTTTTGTTTTTTGGTCTTTATTCCTCTTTCATTTCTGAAGGACCTCTTTACTAAGTTTTATTTTATATTGTTACCCTTGTATCCTTTTCATAAAGACTGGCTCAATTGTTAATATTTTATTTTCTGTATTTTAAGTATAAGCTGTTTCAAATACATTTTAGGACAAGCTATAATTTCAAAAAAAATTTAAAACAAGCAAATAATATCAATGCAAAAAATTCCTTTAGAGTATATTTAAATCATTTAAAAGATGTTACTATGGATTAGAGAAAAAAATAATCAAGCTAGTTGTAATAACCAGAACCACTAACATAATGCCTATTCTTTCTTCTTATGTTAGTCTAACTAGTGCTTTAGTTTTTATATTAAATAGTTGTATTTGGGAAATCAGTAACATAAAAGTTGAAGCAGCACTCCAAAATTAGAAGTACTGCAGAATATGACATACCTACAAAGATAAATTGCCTCCTATGTAAAGACTTAATGTCACAACAAAGAACTGTAGAACTTCATAACATCAAAAGGAGATACTAATTAAAAACAAAGTTCTGCAAACCAATGGCTTCGTTAGTATTGGGACAATTTCTAAAAGAAATTACATAGTGTCTAAACTCTTGTGAAACAACTTCCTTTCACCTCTTCCATTTTTGCAGCTTTAATGCAGTATAGTTTACATATATAACATTTATCCACTGTAAATGTACAAGCCCATAGTCCTCAGTAAATTTACAGAATTGTGCATTACCACAAAATCCAGTTGTGGAACACTTCCATCGTCTTTAAAAAGATCCCTCTGGCCAGGTACGGTGGCTCACGCCTGTAATCCTAGCACTTTGGGAGGCTGAGGCAGGTGGAACGCAAGGTCAGGAGTTCAAGATCAGACTGGGCAACATGGTAAAACCCTGTCTCTACTTAAAAATAGAAAAATTAGCTGGGCATGGTGGCTTGTGCCTGTAATCCCAGCTACTTGGGAGCCTGAGGTAGGAGAATTGCTTGAACCAGGACCTGGGAGACAGAGGTTGCAGTGAGCCAAAATCACGCCACTGCACTCCAGCCTGGGCTACTACAGAGCAAGACTCCATCTCAAAAAAAAAAAAAAAAAAGATCCTTCTTGTCCAGTTACAGTCAATCCCTGTGACCAAACCCAAGCAACCACTAATCTACTCCCCTGACCCATTTTTCTTCTTATAAAATCTATTTGAAGCATTAAAAAGTATAGATTTCTGGCCTTTAAGCATATCCTTTCTTACTGCTGGTTAGTGGGCTTCAGCACCCTGAAAACATGATCACTGGAACCACATACTGAGTCAAAATGCTTTCGTTAGTTTTCCATCTTCAAGATACGCAAAACAGAAAGAAGCCTAGCCCTGTTTTAGGTTTCAACAGTTTTAATACTTTTCAATGATGGGCATTAAAAATGTAAATTTTGAAAAATCTATTATTACAAATGTGAATGAATTAACTCCAAAAAGTGACATTTTCTTCCCCTGCCAGAAAATGGTATAATTAAAAAAAAATTCTTTTATTAATAGACCAAAAGAACTCAAAGTATTTTTGCTGCACTTGGCATTTAAGTAAAATATAAATGAATTCTATTTGTTGAACTGCCAGTTAATAAATCCCTAGAGTCTGCAAAATGGCCAAAATTAGGCCCAAAATCTCAGCATATAAACTCAAGGTAATGGTAAACTGTAAAGAAGTTTTCTGATCAAGCACTCCCCCAGGGTCCAAACAATGGGCAACAATTTCAGCAAAGCTGTGGGCAGAAATGATCAGCCAGTGGATATACAAATTTCACAGTGCTCTCCTGCCTACTGACTCAACTGATTATTAAGTAATAAATGCTTTGTGTTGTATTTTATAGTCTCATCCAGAATAACTTCTCACATAATAATTAATTAAAAAATAGAACTCTGTATGAAATAAAACATGGAAGTGAAAAAATAGCTCATAATCACAGTGTCTGTGGTAGCTCTCTATAATTAGTAAGGAGAAGCTTGGAAGATACCTGAATCAGTTCATATTCCAAAGCTGTTCAGCTTTTCACATAAAATGCAGTATAAACATGTATGTATACATGGTGTGCTATAATATAATAAAAATCCATCTCACAGTATTTTACTCATTTATAATCACGTGTGATGTATAACTTATATCTATCAGTTTCATACTCTGAATGAAACAGTGAATAAAGAGCATTTGCCTAAAGTCAGCCATATCTATAAAACCAAATTAACCTTTACAAATTCTTGTAATGCAGAGTCACTACCATAACCAGAAAGAAAGACTTTTCTTAGCTAAAGGAATTCCAGACATCAGCTAGCAGGTGGAGAGTGGAGTTTATGCAGAATAATTCCTAAATAACAAGACCAACTCAACTGGCCCTAAAAGTAAATCCTGGTGATTTACTCTCCTCCACAGAATCTATGGGTGGAGAGACAGAGAATACTTTCTAACACACCACCCCATACAATGCTCAGCAACAGCCCTAATCCTCTACCCATTCCCCTACAGAGGTGGAGTGAGAATACTGTGGCAACAGTGACAAGAGTAGCTGGATTAATGGAACATCCCTTTATTATAAGCTTCTTCTATGACTTAAACTGTCCTTCCCTAGCACAGACCTGCTGGCTAACCCCTAGCCTTCAATTAGGCTTTAAGTAAGGTCCGACCTACTACCCTCTACAGTTCCCCTTTCCCTTCCTGAGCATGATGACTTCTTCTCCCCGCTCCCCAGTCTCCCATCCCCATTCCCAAGTACCCAGATACGTAGTTTATATTTTAGCACTTGTGATACATGTTAATTCACATTTTAAAATGTCTCCAAGAGTAAGTATCTCCTATTTTAGAGGGTACCTTTGTGCTAGGTATATTATTTCTAAATATACCAAGGTTTCTGACAGAAGTTTATCAGTCACTGTCTGTATCATTTCATTACAGGTGGAACCAATTTACTAACCATGGCTTCATTCTGCTGACACTATCTTCGATGTCCTGCCGAATTTCATAAGTTGACTCTAAGCGGAAGAGGTTAAAGTTCCTTAGCAGGTAGTCATGAAGAGTCAAAAACTGCAAATTCAATTTGGGAAGAGCTAGACAACCTGAAAAGGAAAACATCATCCATATCTGAATTATTCTTCTAATCAGACATTTGCTCTCTGTGTTAAAAAAAACTGGCACCACAAAACTGAGAATATAATGAATGCCTGAAATGCGGCATATTTGATAACATCTTATTTTTGTTTCCACACAGATGTTAAAACCAGATTAATAAATGTTGGTTATTAAGAATTAGGGGTGAAGCTGGGTGTGGTGGCTCATGCCTATAATTCCAGCACTTTGGGAGGTCGAGGCAGGTGGATCGCCTGAGGTCAGGAGTTGGGAGATTAGCCTGGCCAACATAGTGAAACCCTGTCTCTACTAAAAATACAAAAAATTAGCTGGGCATGGTGGCAGGCACCTATAATCCCAGATACTCGGGAGTCTGAGGCAGGAGAATCGCTTGAACCCAGGAGGCAGAGGTTACAGTGAGCAGAGATCACACCATTGCACTCCAGCCTGGGAAACAAGAGCAAAACTCAGTCTCAAAAAAAAAAAAAAAAAATTATTAGGGATGAAGGATGAGTTTTATTAAAACATGTAACCTGCATATCAGTGATTCATATGTAAACAGTACTCCTTCAAAGTATTTAAAGATACTTGTACTAACAGTCTCAAGTAATTTAAAACTTCTTCCCTTATCACCTAATTTATTTTTAGCAAATATTAAAGTGAATCATGTTACCATAAATTTCGCCTATTTAGCATAAACACTGAATTATTATGTTACATTGCATAAATCAATCTCCAATGATCATTATTATGATCTGAACTTGCCTTGTGGCTAACCTTTAAGGATAAAACATTGCTTGTATGTTATTCCAGACTCCTCCTTCTCTGACTATATGAATAAACAATATTCTTTCCATTATTCTCACTTAACACTATTTCTCCTGGACAAGAAGTGACCAACCACTTGGATTTTTTAAATCCCAAAACACATTTTACTGATAAGTCACAGTCTCATCATTGTTGTCCATATTACCAAAAAATAAATAAATAAAGGCAACAACATTGACGTACAAAAATTTAACATTATTTATATTAGTAAACTGACTTATAATCCAACTCAATTTCTTTCAGTAGCACATTTTTATTTTAAAAAACCCCGACAATTAAACTGTCACCACTTTGCAACACTCAATGAATTAACAAATCTAGGTGTTAAGTATCAATAGCTACTAACAGCACAAAAAGAGAGATAAGCAGACAGTACGTGCCTCCTGATAAAAGAACATACCACTACCAGGAATCTTGCCAAGGAGAACCTTAACCTGAGACTCTGCCTAAGCTGGTATCAATTTGCCAGAAATATAAAAAAAAGAGGAACATATGCTGCAATATGCCATGAGTATTCAGTCAGAAAAACCTAGACTGTGGGAAACTCTAAGATCAAACAACTTTGGTTCATCCGCAGAAAAAAAAAAAAGGAAAGAAAGGGATGTACAGAGGGTACCAGTAAAGTAAAAGACTTTTTTTTTTTTTTTTTTTTTTTTTGAGACGGAGTTTCACTCTTGTTACCCAGGCTGGAGTGCAATGGCGCGATCTCGGCTCACCGCAACCTCCGCCTCCCAGGTTCAGGCAATTCTCCTGCCTCAGCCTCCTGAGTAGCTGGGATTACAGGCACGCGCCACCATGCCCAGCTAATTTTTTGTATTTTTAGTAGAGACGGGGTTTCACCATGTTGACCAAGATGGTCTCGATCTCTTGACCTCGTGATCCACCCGCCTCAGCCTCCCAAAGTTTTTTTTTTTTTTAATGAAACCTTGTTAGCTATCCCAGCATCCTCCCATATGCCCTTTCCTGGTTACAGCTTCTTCCCTTCACCTGAAAGTAACCATTTCCTGACTTTCATAGCAATCACTCTCTTAATTTCTTTACAGTTTTATCACCCAGGTGTGCATCCCTAGACATAAGAAATCAACATATTAACCACTCTAAGGAATGTTCTGAAACCTAGCACAATATTAGCACACTGGATTTACTGGGGTTGTGGCTCTAGGATATGTCATAGAGTAACCATTTTAAGTAAATATACCAATACTTATACTTGTGATGTCTTTAAAACAGTCACATTTCTTCTAACAGTAATACCATTGTTCAAAAACTGTCCTGAAATTTCTTTTGCAATATGCCTTCAAGGTCAGGTGCAGTGGCTCACATCTGTAATCCTAGCACTTTGGGAGGCCAAGGCGGGCAGATCACAAGGTCAGGAGTTCAAGACCAGCCTGCCAAACACAGCAAAACCCCATCTCTACTAAAGATACAAAAAATTAGCTGGGTGTAGTGGCACAAGCCTGTAGTCCCAGCTACTTGGGAGGATGAGGCAGGATAATCACTTGAACCCAAGAGGTGGAGGTTGCTGTGAGCTGAGATCAACAATTGCACTCGAGCCTGGGCTACAAGAGTGAAACTCAGTCTTTAAAAAAAAAAAAAAAAAGGAGAAGAAGAAGAAGAAATATGCCATCAAAATATATCTGAATACACTTTTGCATACACTCAGTTGTGACAAATTCTCATTCTCAGAGGATGAGTGGAAAGTGAACAAACTAGGCAATACCATTTTGGATCAACACTAAGGGTTTACTCTCAATTAATGATAATATCTTTCTTTTGGTGTTTATTACCTGGCTTTACATAGCATTCAAAGAGCCCCTAAAAAAGGCTTTGAAAAACAAAAGCTCTATCAAACACAGCCTATCATAGTGACACAATTAAAGCTACACCTCATGCATTATCAAGTCTCCTTGAAAACAGTCTTATTGTCGGGTGCAATGGTTCACACCTGTAATTCCAGCACTTTGGGAGGCTAAGGTGGACAGATCGCTTGAGCTTAGGAGTTCTAGACCAGCCTGGCCAACATAAAGAGACCCTGTCTCTACTAAAAATACAAATAGAAAAAAAAAAAAGTGGGCATGGTGCACTCCTGTGGTCCCAGGTACTAGGGAGGCTAAGGTGGAAGGATTACTTGAGCCCAGGGGCAGAGGCTGCAGTGAGCTGAGACTTTGCCACTGCACTCCAGCCTAGGTGACAGAGCAAGATTGTGTCTCATACAAACAAAAAATTACAACAGTCCTAGGGCTTTATGGTTATATTTTTTACACGGTGAAATGTGTATAGTTAAATGTAAAGAAAATCCTTAGTGCTAAAGCATTCAAAATACAAAATCTTTTCTAGCTTCTAAGGTTAACTTCTGGGTACCAGGAAATTATCCTAATGTACAGAAGAGACTGAAGTACACTGTCTATAACTGCCAATTATACATGAGAAATCTGACTGTTTCATTGTACAGCTGAAGCCATATTTATTTACCATACCTTCTCCAGAATAGTACTCAGTTGGGACAATATTTTCATCCCATATAATTTTCTCAGTTGGATACAAAGGCATCTGGTTCAGCTGCTGAATCTGAGAAATTCGACGTTCATGACGAGATACCTAAAAGAAAGGAAACAAGTTCATGCAGAAGGTTAGAAGCATCTTTTTTCAATCAAAATAATTTATGGAAGATGTTTCAGGCCTATCAGTTATTTCATGCCTATATCAGTTATTGTAGCAGTTCAACAAGAGATTTTTTTTTCTTTTCCTACTTTCTCCATAGATCAAAGATGACAAATGAACCGACGGTGATGGTCTTTGGAAACAGAGAGACCTGAGTTCAAATCCCAGCTCTTCTATTTATGAGTACTGTAAAAACTGGCATGTCACTTTAACCTTCCTGAACTTAGTTTACTTTTCACTGAAACAGATAAAGTGCCACACACCTCAAGTTTCTTAAGAAAACGAAATACTATAAAACAGTGTCAAAGTCCCTGGCACACGTCAAGAGTTTAAAAACCATGACACTTAAGTTTTGGACTATAGTTTTCATCCTTATACTAACCAGTTATATCATCTGGGCAAGTTTATTAATCTATCACCCTAGTCTTCTCTCTCTATGTTCCCTTCCATGATGACTTCTATGTACCCTTAATATTAGTATTTTAGTAATCTATCTCAAATGTGAAATTAAGTGTTTAATAATGCTAAAATGATACATTCTTACAACATATCACATTCTGTTCAGTGAAGACAACATAATTATATAAAAAATCATATCTGAACAATATGCATATTTCAAATTTTTAATCATAAATTGAATATTTGAAGAATCCAAAGTCTGAAGAATCCTAATCCAAATCCTCCCTTTCCCTTCAGGGGAAACATAATTGCAGTTCTTGCCATTAAGAAAAAAAAGAAAAAAAAAAAAGTAAAGGGAGGAAACAAAACATAATGTTGTAGCACTATACATTTTTAAAATTATTGTCTTTTGGTGAAACTATTTAAATTTTAGGAAAAAAATTCCAGCCACAAGACTTTAATAGGCACAGGATCAACGTTATACTCAAATTTGTTGTCCATTAGAAGAATTCCTGAAAATAGGCTGGGCACGGTGATTCATGCCTGTAACCCAACACTTTGGGAGGCCAAGGCAGGGGAATCACTTAAGGCCAGGAGTTCGAGACCAGCCTGGCCAACGTGGTGAAACCCCATCTTCTACTCAAAAATAAAAAACTTAGTCGGGAGTCGTGGCACACACCTGTAATACCAGCCAGTCAGGAGGCTGAGACGCAAGAATCACTTGAAGGCAGAGGTTACAGTGAGCTGAGATTACACCACTGCACTCCAGCCTGGGTGATGGAGTGAGACTTTGTCTCAAAAAGAATTCTTGAAAAAAATTCTCATTTCTTTCTATTGTGAAGATTTATTATTAATCCCCAAAACCTGACTCATGAGAGAACTTACAGGGTCATAAAATAGCACAGGAAATTTTAGGAATTAAAACAGAGACAATGAAAAGAGATTTGCACATAAATACTTGCTAATGGAATGATTCATCCAGAAAGTAGTTTAAAGAGATAAAATACTTGAGAAAAGAAATTCAAAAGATGAGAAAGCAAATCTCATAAAATCAAATGATAATACAATTCCAAAAACAAAATGGGAATTACCCACCTAATCTTTGGCCCACAAAATATCTATATGAACCTACATCTTTAAGAATGATTTAAAAAGGCAGGGAAAACCAAATGCAAAATTCAGAGAACATTAGTATTTACCAGCAATTCTAGAAGAAATTCCTTATCAAAAGTTGTGTCTTCATTTTTAGGAAGAGTTGGCAACAAGCAGAGGTATGATGCCACCTGGTGGAGTGTGTTTGAACTGCAGAATAGAGAACAATAATTTACTCATAGTAACTTACTTCACTTCACTTTTGAAACACGTATTGTTACAAATAGCTTTATAAAAACAAATATAATACTATGACATGGGCAGCAAATATCAAAAACCAGCAATGAAAATTAAGGCTTCTGTGCAGGGTTCTCAACACGTTTTCTGCAAACCTCTCATTGTACCCACGATCCTTCTAGGCAGTCCCCAAGAACACTTTTAAATATTCATACTAAGACACTATTTGTTTCACAGTTTTATTTAAGAATGTCCTTGATGAAGCAGCAAAAAAAATTAATGCTATTAAATTTGGACTCGAGTATCGTTGTTCTTTTTCTCTCTTTTTTTTTTTTTTTTTTTTTTTTTGAGACGGAGTTTCGCTCTTGTTACCCAGGCTGGAGTGCAATGGCGCGATCTCGGCTCACCACAACCTCCGCCTCCTGCCTGGGTTCAGGCAATTCTCCTGCCTCAGCCTCCTGAGTAGCTGGGATTACAGGCACGTGCCACCACGCCCAGCTAATGTTTTGTATTTTTAGTAGAGACGGGGTTTCACCATGTTGACCAGGATGGTCTCGATCTCTTGACCTCGTGATCCACCCGCCTCGGCCTCCCAAAGTGCTGGGATTACAGGCTTGAGCCACCGCACCCGGCCCTTTTTCTCTTTTTTAATTCTGTGACAAAACTGGAAGTACATATTTGGCACACAACTTTTACTTCAAAAATGACAAACTATACAGCCTTGGACAAATGGCAATTTTCTTTCGAATTTCAATTTTTGAATGAAATAAGTCTATAATTTCAAGGAAAACAACTATCAGTATTTGCTGTCAATGATAAAATTTGAATTTCCATGTGAACGTGAAAAATTAGAATTTGGGAAAACCAGTATTTGCCGTCAGCTTCACGGCCTTCCATTATTTAATTGGTTTCATCACCTCCCAAAAATCCCTTGTGCTAATTTATAGCTAACCCCCTTCTCCATCCCAATCCAGCAACCATACTCAGTTTTCTGTTTGTAATTTTGTCTTTTCGGGTCAAATAAATGAAATCATACATTAGGTAGTCTTTTTTTTCTTGCTTGCTTTTTGAGACGAGTCTCACTCTGTCACCCAGGCTGGAGTGCAGTCACATGTTCTCAGCTCACTGCAAACTCCACATATGGGGCTTCAGCAGTCCTCCTACCTCAGCCTCCCCAGTAGGTGAAACCACCAGTGTGCACCACCACATCCCGCTAAATTTCTGTATTGTTGGTAGAGATGAGGTTTTACCATGTTGCCTAGGCTGGTCTCAAAATCCTAAGCTCAAGTGATCCTGCCTCAGCCTCCCAAAGTGCTGGGATTACAGGTGTGAACCACCACAGCTGGTCTTAGGTAGCCTTCTGAATGGCTGCTTTTACTTAGCATAATGCATTTGAGATTCACCCACACTGCACTATTTATCTGTAGTTGGTTCCTTTATGTTGCTGAACAGTATTTCATGATATGGCTGTATCACAGTATGATTATTTATTCAACAGCTGAGGGACATTTGTGTATTCCAGTTTTTGATGATTTTGAATAAAGCAACTATATTCCTTTTCCTATATATTTTTGTGTGAATATAAGTTTTCACTTCTCTTGAATACATCTGCAAGTGGGAAACACTGGATCACGATGTAAGTTCACGTTTATCGTTACAAGAAAGTGTCAAATTTTTCCAAAACAGCTATCCTACTTTGAATTCCCACCAGCAATGTATGAGAATTCCAACTGCTACACATCCTTGCCAAGAGTCAATGTTAATCCATTTTGGGTTTTTTGTTTCTTTTGTTAAGACAGGGTCCACTCTGTGGTCCAGGCTGAAGTGCGGTGGTGTGATCATAGCTTAGTGCAGCCTCGATCTCCTAGGCTCAAGCAATCTTCTTGTCTCAGCCTCCTGAGTAGCTGGAATTACAAGCACGTGCCACCACACTTGGCTAATTGTTTTGATTTTTAGTAGACAAGTGATCTTCCCGCCTCAGCCTCCCAAAGTACTGGAATCACAGACATGAACCACTGTGCCTGACCTTATCCATTTAAACAAACAAAAAAAATTATAATAGGTATGTAGCATCTTGTTATTGTTTAAATTTGAATTTCCCCAAAGACTAAACATGTTAAGCATCTTTCCATGGACTGACTGACATCTATCTATCTACTTTGATGAAATGTCTGTTCAAATCTTTTGTCATCTGTAAGTTTTTTTATTATTATAGGAGTCCCCCTTTATCTGTGGTTTCACTTTCCATAATTTCAGTTACTCATGGTTGATCACAGTCTGGAAATAGGTAAGTATAGTAGAATAAGATATCTTGAGAGAGATACCACATTGACATAACTTTTATTATAGTACATTGTTCTAACTGTTCTCTTGTTACTACTGTTGTTAATCTCTTACTGTGCCTAACTCATAACTTTATCATAGGTTTTTACATATACATGTAAAAACACAGTGTATACAGGGTTCAGTACAATATGCAGTTTCAGGCATCCACTGGGGTTCTTGGAACACATGCCCTGCAGAGAGAGAGGGGACTACTGTATTGAGTTCTGAGATATTCCTTCATCAAATATCTATTTAGCCAATATTTTCTCCTAGTTTGTAGCTTTTTTTTTTTCCATTCTCTTATCAATGTCTTTCAAACAGCAAATGTCTTTTAGTTTTGATCAAGTCCAATTCATCATTTTTTTCCCATTATGGGTTGTGCTTTGGTGTCCATAGACAAACCACAATCGCAAACATTTTCTCCAATATTTCCCAGAAGTTTTGGTTTTGACATTTAGGTCTATAATCCATTTTGAGTTAATTTATGTATATGATGCAAGGTATGGGTCAAGGTTCACACTTTGCATGTGAATATCTAATTGTTTCAGCACCACTGTTGAAATCCTTTCTTTATTGAGTTGCCTGGACACATTAGTCAAAACTCAACTAACCATGTAGGTGTGGTATATTTCCGGACCTCTATTCTATTCCACTCTATTCTATATATATATATATACACACACACACACACACACACACACACACACACATATATGTTTATCAATACCATAATGTCTTGATTACAGTAGCCTTTACAGCAAGCCTTGAAATTAGTAGAAATCTTCCAACTTTGTTCTGTTACAAAATGGTTTGGGTTATTATAGTTCCTTTGCCTTCCCATGTTGTTTTCCAAGTAAGTTTGTCAATTTCTATAAAATATCCTACTAGAATTATGACTGGAATTAAATTATATCTGTAGCTTAATTTGGGAAGAATTCATACCTTGAGTCCTCTTACCCATAAGCAAGACCTAGCTTCTAATTTTTCAAATTAATTCATTTTAATTGCACAGACTTCCTTGACATGGTTTCAGATTCTACTGTGAAACTAATTTTTAAAGAAACCACCACTTGTTAAGTTCTTGTACAGTATCAAAGAAGAATATTCTCAATTATTTGATAAAGCTTATCAAAATACATGTCCCTCTGTGTAAGGTCCAATGTTCTCAATTTACTTCAAAACAATATCTCACAACAAACTGAATACAGAAACAGATCTGCAAATCTGTCTTCAATTAAATCAGACATTAAAGAGATTCACAAAAATGTAAAACAAAGATACTCTTTCCACTGTGCATTTTTTTTTTTTTCATTTTAGAGAATATATTTCTCATTAGCAATACATATGCTAACATATAATAGATTTCAATCTTTTTTTTCGTTTTTGAGAAGGAGACTTACTCTGTTGCCCAGGCTGGAGTGCAGTGGCACCTGAGGTCAGGAGTTTGAGACCAACCTGGCCAACATGGTGAAACCCTCAAAATGCAAAACTTAGTCAGGTGTGGTGGCGCATGCCATAGTTCCAGCTATTCGGGAGGCTGAGGCAGGAGAATCACTTTAACTTGGGAGGCGGAGGTTGCAGTAAGCTGAGATCATACCACTGCACTCCAGCCTGGCACTCCGGTCTGGCCAAAAGAGGGAGACCCCGTCTCAAAAAAAAAGAAAGATTCAACAATAGATTGACTTAAAAAAAAAAATAGTATGGTGGGTCTGGGCGCAGTGGTTCACACCTGTAATCACAGCACTTTGAGAGGCCGAGGTGGGTGGATCACAAGGTCAGGAGATTGAGACCATCCCTAACTAACATGGTGAAACCCCATCTCTACTAAATATACAAAAACTTAGCTGGGTGTGGTGGCACGCACCTCTAGTCCCAGCTACTCGGGGAGGCTGAGGCAGAAGACATGCTTGAACCTGGGAGGCAGAGGTTGCAGTAAGCCAAGATGGCACCACTGCACTCCAGTGTAGGTGAAGGAGCGATACTCCATATCAAAAAAAAAAAAAAGGTGGTCCTGTTTAATGGAATTCTATGTAGTTATTTAAAAGACTGAAATGAATCTATATGTTATCAATTATATTAAATCCTCATATGAGAATGAACAACCAAACCAACATCAGTTTATTATATTTTAAATAGTCAAGGAACTACATCTAATTTCTCCCAAGAGCTGGGAGATTGATACGGAATAGTAGTTAAAAGTAAGTTAGGACTTGGAAATCACACTATCCAGGTTTAAACTGTATCTCTGCCACTTACTTGCTGTGTAACTTAGGCAAATTACTTAACTATTGTATGCCTCAGATACCTTATATGTAAAATGGTACCTACTTCTAGCATGAGTATTTTAAGAACTGTTTACATACTTAACAGAATTCTATCACATAGTAAATAAATGTATACCATTATTATTACTATTTTCAAAAGGGCATATTAGCAGATAGCTAAGTGCCAGAGGAAATTACTAATTTTAGAAATTTTAAACATGCAAAAATTTCCCTAAGTCACACCTCTAATATCACACATATGAATATTTATTGGTTTTTGTTGTATGTTGTTTATGACTGATGAGATGGACCAGCTTTATGTTCTACTTTAAGAAAAATTTAAGATCTAGGAAAATTGTATACATCATAAAAAATAGAAACTTTACCAAAAATATATGGATAATTATAGTTAAGTGGCTCAAAAACACAAAACTGCTAGAGAGAAGCACTAGTTGTAGGCATCAGTAAAGAGTGAAATAATAAGTAATATTATCTAAAGTAGTATAAAATGATTAAAAGCAATAAAGACAAATAAAACTGAGGGAGCATGATACAAAGAAAGGATATATAGTTTTTTCATGTTGTTTTACCTAAGAGGTCCAAAAAACTTGACTAAGGATTCCCGAGTATCTACTTCTGCCACATTTGAGAGGGCAAAATCATAGAGTTCAGGGAAATGTGCAAAAGCAGCTCTCTGGAAAATAACAGCAAAAAATATCAATCATTAATGTCTACATATTAATATACACATCTACTATTTAATAAAAATAATATTTTCTAAAAATATTAACACATTTCTCTTTCTTACATTCTTCTTTTAAGTGACCTCTATCTTTTTTTTTTTTTTTTTGAGATGGAGTTTCGCTCTTGTTACCCAGGCTGGAGTGCAATGGTGCGATCTCGGCTCACCGCAACCTCCGCCTCCTGGTCTCAGGCAATTCTCCTGCCTCAGCCTCCTAAGTAGCTGGGATTACAGGCACGCGCCGCCACGCCCAGCTAGTTTTATTGTATTTTTAGTAGAGACGGGGTTTCACCATGTTGACCAGGATGGTCTCGATCTTTCGACCTCGTGATCCACCCGCCTCGGCCTCCCAAAGTGCTGGGATTACAGGCTTGAGCCACCGCGCCCGGCCAAGTGACCTCTATCTTAATCAGACAGCAGCATGTAATAAAAAGAGAAAAAACTACAACTATCATAGCAGAAATATAAAAAACATGAAGTCGGTGTTCAGGTTTTGACATCTAAAAGGATCGTCAATATATATGAATATAGCCACAAAGGCTAGCTTCATTGATAGAAAAGGAGAAAATACTAAATACACACTTGATTATCAAGAACAGGTCTAATAAGACTAAAAGAAATTCCCAAGGGAAACTCCAGCTGCAGAGAGAACTTGAAGGAGAGACCAAAAACATTATGCATATGCCTTGCTTTCGTTTGGAACTCTGGGAAGAGAAGACCTCACAGGGTAACACTCTAAACCAACACAGGGTAAGCTGCAAGAAACGGAATAGTAGCATTACAAGAGACTGACTTAGGTAATGTCCCTAGTCTTCCTTGATGTGTAGCACAGAAAAAATCCACAAGTTTTCATTTGTTCCAGGTGGATGACACAGAAGGTTGCCAAGGTTGCCATGAGTGAGCTTGCCATGGGATTATGGGATTACTGTACACAATGGCAAATGACTCTGCAACCCAAGCATGAGAATAACTATGTAAACAAGGAAATAAACAAGAGTCGGCCCTCAGAAGGATGCCAGCACCATCAAGCAAAGTTGGGGCCTCCTCAACAGGGGAAATAGCCAAGTTCCTTGAGAGCAATCATGACGCCTTGCCTGTGTCAATACAATAGACCACATGCCGTATCAGCTGTGGTCATTCCAAGGACAGAGCTGGGACAAAAAACACTAATGCTCTAAAAAAGAAGCCAGAAAAGACATCCAAATTAACTCCTCTTCCAAAACAATAAGGGTATTTTAGTGTCTCTACATACCTAGTAGGAAAGAAGGAGAACAGAGATTTTTTCTTTTTACACCATTATTATTTTTTTAATTTCCTCTTAAAAAAAAAAAGGTACATGTGAAGAACATGCAGGTTCTCTTACATAGGTATACATGTGCAATGGTAGTTTGCGGCACCTATTGACCTGCCTTCTAAGTTCCCTCCGCTAAGCCCCCACCCCCAACGGGTCCTGGTGTGTGTCGTTCCCCTCTCTGTGTCCATGCGTTCTCAATGTTCAACTCCTACTTAGGAGTGACAACATGCGGTGTTTGGTTTTTTGTTCCTGTGTTGGTTTGAAAATGATGGCTTCCAGCTTCATCCATGTTCCTGCAAAGGACATGATCTCATTCCTTTTTATGGCTGCACAGTATTCCATGGTGTATATGTATCACATTTTCTTTATCCAGTCTACCATTAAGGGACATTTGGGTTGGGTTCATGTCTTTGCTATTGCAAACAGTGCTGCAATAAACGTATGTGTGCATGTGTCTTTATAGCAGAATGATTTATATTCCTTTGGGTATATAGCCAGTAATGGGATTGCTGCATCAAATGATATTTTTGGTTCTAGATCCTTGAGAAATCACCAGACTGTCTTCCACAATGGTTGAACTAATTTACATTCCCAGCAAGTGTAAAAGCATTCCTATTTCTCCACAGCCTTGTCAGCATCTATTGTTTCCAGACTTTTTAATAACTGCCATTCTGACTGACATGAGATGATATGGTATCTCACCGTGGTTTTGATTTGCATTTCTCTGATGACCAGTGATGTTGAGCTTTTTTTCATGTTTGTTGGCCGCATAAATGTCTTCCTTTGAGAAGTGTCTATTCATGTCCTTTGTCCCCTTTTTGATGGGGTTTTTTCTTATAAATATGTTTAAATTCCTTATAAATTCCGGGTATTAGCCCTTTGTCAGATGGGTAGATTGCAAAAATTTTCTCCCATTCTGTAGGATGCCTGTTCACTCTGATGATAGTTTCTTCTGCTGTACAGAAGCTCTTAAGTTTAATTAGATCCCATTTGTCAATTTTGGCTTTTGTTGCAATTGTTTTTGGTGTTTTTGTCATAAAGCCTTTGCCCAAGCCTATGTCATGAATGGTATTGCCTAGGTTTTCTTCTAGGGTTTTTATGGTTTTGGGTTTTACGTTTAAGTATTTAATCCATCTTGAGTTAATTTTTGTATAAAGTGTAAGGAAGGGGTCCAGTTTCACTTTTCTGCATGTGGCTAGCTAGTTTTCCCAGCACCATTTACTGAATAGGAGATCCTTTCCCCATTGCTTGTTTTTGTCAGGTTTGTCGAAGATCAGATGGTTGTAGATGTGTGGTGTTATTTCTGAGGTCTCCATTCTGTTCCACTAGTCTATATGTCTGTTTTGGATCAGCACCATGCTATTTTGGTGGCTGTAGCCTTGTAATATAGTTTGAAGCCAGGTAGCATGATGCCTCCAGCTTTGCAGAACAGATGTCTTAAGAGATAGCCAACCTGATTACAAAAGGGTTTGAAGTGAATCTTTTTTTTTTTTTTGAGACAGAGTTTCACTCTTGTTACCCAGGCTGGAGTGCAATGGCGTGATCTCGGCTCACCACAACCTCCGCCTCCTGGGTTCAAGCAATTCTCCTGCCTCAGCCTCCTGAGTAGCTGGGATTACAGGCACTCACCACCATGCCCAGCTTATTTTTTGTATTTTTAGTAGAGACGGGGTTTCACCATGTTGACCAGGATGGTCTCGATCTCTTGACCTCGTGATCCACCCGCCTCGGCCTCCCAAAGTGCTGGGATTACAGGCTTGAGCCACCGCGCCCGGCCTGAAGTGAATCTTTACCGCCCTCAAAAGACTCTTTAAAACAGAAATAGCTGCATTACTTCAAACTGACAAAACTTCCTTCTGCCACCAGAATTTGAGCTCAAGAATAAGATCAGATCAGCAATAAAAAACAAATGAAGGTACTTTTTTGGGCTTATCTGAACTACATTGGTAAATTTTAGCCCCATCATATGTGTTCATCTTAAAAATGTGCAAAATCCTTACACATATCCTGCCATATGTTGAAATACTCTTTAATAAATCTGACAGCAGAGTTAATATTTAAATACACCAAACTGGCCAAGTAACTAGTATTTCCGAGTAGCAAATATCAGTATATTGATTCACAGGATTTAAAAAGGCTGTAAAAGAAAGTTCTATTTTTCAAGAATTCATTGGAAAAAGAAATATAAAAAATGTTGAAGATAAAAACACTATTAAATTAACATCATTTTCAATCTGTACCTACACAAAACCTAAACTGTAGGATGACACAATTTTATGAAACATACACAAAGGCTATAATGTATTCTAATTACCTGTAGAGAAGTGATTCTATCGTAGTGAATTGTGGTCATCTCATTCTCCGTCAGAGCATTTCCAGTTTGGTCATTAATTTCAAAACCAGTATAGAATTTAAGCATGTCCAAAAGCTAAAAAAAAAAAAAATACATTTAAATGAATTTAAATGAATAAATCATAAGAACATAAGGGCAAAAAGCACAATACTATTCAAAATAATAAACAAGTTCATATAGCAGCTTAGAGGTGCTGAAAAACTCAGGAATGTAAACATTACAAAAAAGATTTTAGAACATATCCAAGTAAAAATGTTTTTGTTATGTGAAAATAAAGTATGTGAATAAATTGTTCAGTCTATTTCATATACATGGTCTACTTCTGCAAAGAAAAACTTATATTGCAATCCCAATACTTAAGAGACATTAAGGAGGTAATCTAAAGAAGCTCAGCATTTTAATCAAACAAAACCTATCTTATCTACATCGCTGAAAATTTATAAAACTATAGCACTAGAGGTAACTCCTGGGGTTTCTTATTTAAAACCCTAAACACAGGTTTTGGAATTCATTATGTGCTTAGGGAAAAACAGTAAGATGGGGAAAGCTAAAGTATTCTTTTTTTTCCCTGGCCATCAAAGCCCGTTGGCTTAACTTCTCTTGTTAATGAGGCTCTGATGTCCTGCCCTGTAGCAGCAGCATCAACAGAGCCTACTGGCTGCACTCACCGCAAATATTTATTATTTATTATTTTTAGATCTAATCTATAGCAGATCAGATATTAAGATTTTAAGGTATTTTAATATATGTGACAAATCACTAGACAGAAATTTAAAGAGAGTAAGAGGAATGCTCACAGATATAAAAGAACAAAGGGGATATGTAAACACATACCAAAAATGTATCTCCAACTATGATGTCATTGAAAGATAGCATTAAAAGTTTGTTAGAAATGCTTTCTTCTGCTGGGTGCAGTGGCTCATGCCTGTAATCCTAGCATTTTGGGAGGCCGAGGTGGGCAGATTGCCTGAGCTTAGGAGTTTGAGACCACCTGGGAAACCTGGTGAGACCCTGTCTTTACTAAAAATATAAAACATTAGCCAGGCATGGTGGGGCATGCCTGTTATCCTGGCTACTGGAGAGGCTGAGGCAGGAGAATCACTTCAACACAGAAGGCAGAGGCTACAGTGAGCTGAGATCACGTCACTGCCACTGTACTCCAGCCCGGATGACCACTGCACTCCAGCCTGGGTGGCAGAGCAAGACCATCTCCATAAACAAAACAAAACAACACAAAACAAAATGAAATGCTTTCAGGCTGGGTGCAGTGGCTCACGCCTGTAATCCCAGCACTTTGGGAGGCCGAAGCGGGTGAATCATGAGTTCAGGAGTTCAAGACCAGCCTGGCCAACATTGTAAAACCCTGTCTCTACTAAATATACAAAAAATTAGCTGGGTGTAGTGGCAGGTGCCTGTAATCCCAGTTACTTGAGAGGCTGTGGCAGAAGAACAGCTTGAACCTAGGAGTGGGAGGATGTAGTGAACTGAGATCGTGCCACTGCACTTGACAGGGCGAGACTCCCTCTGAAAAAAAAAAAAAAGAAATGCTTTCTTCTGCATGACACAACAGAAAATGTGAAATACTGTGTCTTCCTACCTAAGACAACAAAGTTCAGTGCATTTGCAGCTTCCTTATTCAAAGAAGCACGCACACTTCTAAGCTATCAACGATCTGTCACCATCATCTTACAGAAAGACAGAGCCAGCCGGGTATGGTGGCTCATGCCGGTAATCCCAGCACTTTGGGAGGCCAAGGAGGGTGGATCACTAGGTCAGGAGTTCGAGACCAGCCTGGCCAAGAGGGTGAAACCACGTCTCTACTAAAAAATACAAAAATTAGCCAGGCACGATGGCGGGTGCCTATAATCTCAGCTAACTGGGAGGCTGAGGCAGGAGAATTGCTTGAACCTGGGAGGCGGAGGTTGCAGTGAACCAAGATGGGGCCACTGCACTCTAGCCTGGGTGACAGAGCAAGACTCTGTCTGAAAAAAAAAAAAAAAAGGAAAAACAGAGCCATAGGATTGGGGCATAGTTCATTTAAAATTAATACACATCGGCTACTGTATTTCACGTAAAATCAAAACTTGTAAACATCTGTGACTGTATTCCCTAAATCATAATTTAGTTCAATAATAAAAATCACATATAATTAACAAAAAGTTATATAATTACTAGAGGAAACCTATATGAGAATACATTCATTTTGCATGTTAAGACATGACTTTAAAATAACTAGTAGTTTGTGTTATCCCAGTTGTGTGGCAAAGAAAAGTAAATTTAGAAAGTAAAACAATAAATAAATTCAGATATATCAATACTCACCTGGGAAAAAAGATGGCCATCCTCTTCTCTACGAACAAGATTGGAAAGGTAACAGTGAACCAAAAGGTGAGAGTCATCCAGGATAGTATTAAACCAGCGCCTTGTGGGCAGTAGGGCCTGGGAAAAACAAACATCATAACAGTAAGTTTACATGTAGAGAATTCCACAGTTATAAGTACAATCTACTGATATTTTACTCATGAGTATTAATCATATACAAAGTACCCTCCAATCTTCCAATAGACACACTGTACACAATGCAAGAGGTCCCTTCATGCTGTAAATAAACCCAGTGGCAATGTTTTTGGTTTTAAAAACAATAATAATGCTGGGGGCAGTGGCTCATGCCTACAATCCCAGCACTTTGGGAGGCCAAGTGGGGCAGATCACTTGAGGTTAGGAGTTTAAGACCAGCCTCTGGATAACATGGTGAAACCCCGTCTCTACTAAAAATACAAAAATTAGCCACGTGTGGTGATAGGCACCTGTAATCCCAGCTACTTGGGAGGCTGAGGCAGGAGAATCGCTTAAACCCAGGAGGCAGAAGTTGCAGTCAGCCAAGATCGCCACTGCACTCCAGCCTGGGCGACAGAGTAAGACTCTGCCTCAAAAAAATAAATAAATAAAATAATAATAATTATGATAAAAGAACTTTTAAGACAAAACTGAAAATAAGGGGAGGGCACAGTGGCTCATGCCTATAATCCCAGCACCTTGGGAGGCCATGGTGGGTAAATTACCTGAGGTCAGGAGCTTGAGACTGGCCTGGCCAACGTGGCAAAACCCTGTCTCTACTAAGAATACAAAAATTAGCTGGGTTTGGGGATGGGCGACTGTAATCCCAGCTACTCAGGAGGATGAGGCAGGAAGAATTGCTTGAACTCAGGAGGCGGAGGTTGCGGCAAGCTGAGTTAGCGCCACTGCACTCCAGTCTGGCCAAAGAGCAAGACTCTGTCTCAAAAAAAAAAAAAAGAAAGAAAAAAAGAAAAAAATCTAGCACTAAGAGGAATCTCACAGATCATCAGATCATCTCGGCCAGTAGTTTTCCAACAAAACCCTACGTAAAATCCCAATATGTACTGTGTGTACGTTTAAAAGTGGAGCTGCTCTGAGAAAAAAGGAAGTACAAGTTTCTGTGTGGAGAATCCTGTCTTTGTTTCCTCTCCTTTGTTCCCCTATACCATAGCTTGAAAATCACTAATCTAATCAAACATCATCATTTTATAGATGAGGTTATTGAGATCCTCAGAAGTTATAAATTAGTTACTGGCAGAGCTAGAATTTGAAAGCTCTCATGAATGACTGCTAGTCTAATATGCTAATACGCATATCAAGAGACCACCTTACTTCTCCAGATAAGGAACAAATTTTCTTTCAATATCCCACATTAATAAGAGAAAGGAAAGGAAATCAATCCGATCTGAACTATACCAATTCTGTAACTGAATTTGCCACAAATCCTGTACCTGAGTATGAAATCTTGTTTGTTTGTTTTTAAAGATGGGGCTTCACCATGATGGCCAGGCTGGTCTTGAACTTCTGACCTTAGGTGATCCACCCACCTCAGCCTCCCAAAGTGCTAGGATTACAGGCATGAGCCATCATGCCCAGCTGTTTTTTGTTTAAGAATCTCCATTTTAAAAAACTGCACACGGCAGCTATATTTTTCTTCACAAACATTGGGCACATTTAGAAAAGTAAGATTATTTCAAGAGACAGTTAGAAAACTGTGACTTCAGACATTACAGAAAACTCTGAGGGGCATATTTTGTGTCATATACAGTATGACACAAAATAAATTGTCACTGCTGGACTCACGTTTAATAACTATACTATGTCATGCTTTTTTACAACTAACAGCCCACAGTACATAAGTCAGTCATTTGAAAACCTCAAGGGCCAACTACTTGTGACTCCCTTCTCTAAGTGACACCTTGAAACAGGTACAAAGTAAAACCAGTTTAAGGTGATGAAGAAATACTTCATATAGACCAGGCATGGTAGCTCACACCTATAATCCCAAGCAATCCTCCTACTTGGGAGGCCAAGGTGAAAGAATCGCTTGAGCCCAAGATTTCTAGAACAGCATGGGCAATATAGAGAAACCCTGTTTCTACAAAAAATACAAAAATTAGCCAGGCATAGTGGTGCACACCTGTAGTCTCAGCTACTCAGGGCTCTGAGGCAGGAGGATCAGTTGAGGCCTGGGAGGCAAAGTTTGCAGTGAGCCAAGAAGATGGCACCACTGCATTCTAGCCTTCATGACAGAGCAAGACCCTGTCTCCAAAAGAGAGAAAAAAAAAAAGGAAAAAAATACTTCCTATATAGTCATATGCTTAATCTTAGACCCCTAATGATTACATAACAAAAAAGTCACTGTAGATTGTAGATTTCTTACCTCTAGATCAATCATAAGTTCAATGAATCTTTCACAGTAATGAACTTTGTCCATAGTGACAGGTTCTAGACATAAAAGAGAAAGCATGTTAGAATGTTCTTATTAGACCATTTTGCATGCTGTTTCTGAAAACTGGCAGTTATTCAGTAAAGTCATTTGTCTTTTATTCATCAGAATTGGACTATGATTTAGAATGAGGATCTCACATACATTTCTTTTTAAGCCAGGCCTTACTCTGACACTTAGCTATATAAATATGAGAAAATAAAACATCTAGCTTGGGTCAGAAGCACATTTTAAAAATCAGGTTTGCAACGATATTTTAAAAGTATTAACTTTAAAAAATCTGTATTTAATTAGATTTGAAAAAACTTAGAGATATAAAAACCAGAAGGCAGTTTTATATCAGTTTTTGCTCCACTTTCCTGTCTTTATGTTCTAAACTTCTGAGTTTTCTCATATGTATAAACACACACACATATGTATATCTACACACACACACACACACACACACACCCTTTAAAATGTACTGAAACTAATTTGAGGTGATTTTTATGACTTTTTTCCACTGTACATGTATTACTTTAATATTAGAATGCCAATGACACACAGAACAATAAAAATACCTTTTAAATAACTAGCTTATTATATACTATTTATGAGCATGATATACTATTTTTACAAACATTTATTTTTGTTTTAAAATAATTACAACCTTGGGGCATGAAATTCTTTCAAAGTACAAGCTTTTTTTCTAATATCAGGAAATAGTCTACCATTTTACCAACTAAAACCATCCTGTCAAGTTGGTTTCAATTAAAACAAAGATAATTTTAGGTTCCCTGTTGCTACTTAAAGGACTTCCAGCAGTAACTAACACCCAGTGCCAGAAATATAGAAGGCATCCTACAATTGCTTAAATAAAAAGCCATTTATTTATTTGTAGTATACAGGAAAACAGAAAGCTTAATGCAAAGCAAGAAATGTGAGTACTTTGGTGATTAATATATACAGAAATGTTAAATGGAACTTTTTCAGCTAGCATATCCCCATAATCTAAACCCTAACATAATTGAATTATAGAATTTATTAGCTGGAAAAAACCTGTGAAAGCATCTGTTCTAGATCTTCATTGCCCAGGTAAGAAAAACATGATCAGAGAAAATGACCTGATAAAGGGGTAAAAAGTCTAGTTAGAACTGGAACCCAGGTTTTCTGAGACATACATATACAGTTGTTTAAAATAAAAATTTAAAGGAGCAATTTTTAAATCAAGTCCATTCAAACTAATCTTTTGTTGCTATCTTTTGTTCTTATAACTGCCAAAGAAAACATTTTTTTCCCAAACTAAAAGAGTGAGCAAATTCTGAATTCTGTATCTTTATTTATGTCTTGAGAAATTACTGGCAATGGCCTATTTAAAATCAGAAAATAATGCATGGTGCTCAAGTTCTGTGCTCTGGTGAATAGAGTTGCATGTTTTTATGTTAGCTAGTCATACTGGCCATGTTGCCTAATGTAGAAACCTTGTTATCCTAATTTCTTTCTTTCTTTCTTTTTTTTTTTTTTTTTTTGAGACGGAGTTTCGCTCTTGTTACCCAGGCTGGAGTGCAATGGCGCGATCTCGGCTCACCGCAACCTCCGCCTCCTGGGCTCAGGCAATTCTCCTGCCTCAGCCTCCTGAGTAGCTGGAATTACAGGCACGCGCCACCATGCCCAGCTAGTTTTTTGTATTTTTAGTAGAGACGGGGTTTCACCATGTTGACCAGGATGGTCTCGATCTATCGACCTCGTGATCCACCCGCCTCAGCCTCCCAAAGTGCTGGGATTACAGGCTTGAGCCACCGCGCCCGGCTGTTACCCCAATTTCAAACACAAATATATCCTTATTTTTCTCAGGTACACTGTAATTTTTTTTCCCTTCTGAAAGCAGTCTTAACATCTAGAAAGATGTTATCCTACACAGATTTCCAACAACTCATCTGGGCATGCCGTTTTTAAAGACCCTATTTTATTTTATGTATGTATGTATATATGTATGTATGTATGTGTGTGTGTATGTATGAGATGCAGTCTTGCTCTGTCACTAGGCTGGAGTGCAGCAGCGTGATATCTATCAGCTCACTTCAACCTCTGCCTCCCAGGTTCAAACGATTCTCCTGCCTTAGGCTCCCGAGCAACTCGGACTACAGGTGAGCCCACCACACCCAGCTAATTTTTTGTATTTTAGTAGACAAGGATTTCACAATGTTGGCAAGGATGGTCTCGATTTCCTGACCTCGTGATCTGCCCATCTGCACTTCCCAAAGTGCTGGGATTATAGGTGTGAGCCACCGTGCTCACCCTTAATGACACTATTTTTAAAGGAAACTACAATCCTTCTTAAAATCTTTGAAAAATTTGCCTTCTCTTTCCTAACTATATAATCCATCTATCTTCATACCCACTCTAAACTGGCACATTATTGTCATTATCCTGTTAGTTCCTCTGCCAGCAAGCTGAAAATTTTTGATAATAGCTCAAGATTAAGAATGATGTTTACTGGCCAGGTGTGGTGGCTCAGGCATGTAATCCTAGCACTCTGGGAAGCCAAAGTGAGCACATCACTTGAAGTCAGGAGTTCGAGACCAGCCTAGTCAACATGGCAAAACCCAGTCTCTACTGAGAATACAAAACTTAGCTCGGCATGATGGTGTGCACCTGCATGTAGTCCCAGCTACTCGGGAGGCTGAGGCAGGAGAATCATTTGAACCCAGGAGGCAGAGGTTGCAGGGAACCAAGATCGTGCTACACTGCACTCTAGCCTGGGTGACAGAGCAAGACTCCATCTCAACTAAATAGCATAACATAACATAACATAACATAGCATAGCATAGCATAGCATAGCATAACATAGCAGAGCATAATATAGCATAGCATAGCATAGCATAACATAACATAACATAACATAACATAATCCTTAAAGGCAGTCCCAATGTTCAGACTGGTAATACATTTAAAAAGGAGAGGACATACACTTTGCCAATATAAATTAAAATCATACCAAGAGCAGTTTTTAGAGATGAGTAAATACCAAAGAGGAAGCTATATGATAATTTCACAAATGCACTGAGTGAAAAAGAAGATAGTTACCAGAAAGTGGGACTGATTTCAGCACAGAAATAAACTTCTGGATGAGTTGTGAAAGAAATCTCCTCTCCTGATAGGCCCTAAAATCAGAAAGATCATTGACCAATTATTTTTCAAAAACAGTCATTTCAAAAGTAAATTTTAAATGTTGACCACGGCTTTCCTATACTGTTCAACTGTTCATCTCTCTGCGAAGCTGGAACTATAACTTGAATGCCCAGCTTCTTCTTTCTATGTAAACACAGTGCTATATAGAGAAAAGGAGAGTCACATTACTGACTTAATAAGCCACCTAAGCAAGCACCTCCTTTTCTCGCTTTCTTTTTTTTTTTTTTTTTTTTTTTTGAGATGGAGTCTCACTATGTTGCCTAGGCTGAAGTGCAGAGGTGCGATCTCAGCTTACTGCAACCTCTGCCTCCCAGGTTCAAGTGATTCTCCTGCCTCAGCCTCTCAAGTAGCTGGGACTACAGGTACCTACCACCATGCCCAGCTAATTTTAGTATTTTTAGTAGAGATGGGGTTTCACCATCTTGGTCAGGCCAGTCTTGAACTCCTGACCTTGTGATTCATCTGCCTTGGCCTCTCAAAGTGCTGGGGATCACAGGTGTGAGCCACCACGCCAGGCCAAACGTTTTCACTTGTGATTTACGAGTCAGACCGAGAAAGAAGTTTCAAAATTCCATTTATAGTCTGTCCTTACCATTAAAAATCTCACATTTAATGCAGTTGAAATGAGATGAACAATATTAAATTTTAATATTCAAGTATTAAGTAAAATACAGTATCACAATAGCTAAAAATCAAATGTTTAAAAAATAATTTTCTATTCATTACTACTTCAAGATACATCAATTAAAGGACAAACTTATATCAAGTATTATATAGCTGTAAGTGCTTATAACAGTCCTGCTGGAAATACAAAGGAGAATGGCTAAAATTTACTTGCAATAACAAGTCATACTATAAACATAATTAGTAATACATGCCACTGTGCAATTAATAAAACTGCCTGACATTAATTAAGCATCCATTGTGCCAGGATCTGAGCTATGCTAAACACTTCACATCTCATTTAATATTGGTAACAGTCCTCGGAAATGGGTACTATTGTCCAGATTTCACAATGGGACTTAGAGGTGAAGTAACTTGCCCAAAGTCACACAGCAAGTGAGTCTGAAATCCAGGTAAGTCTGACTGTAGAACCTACATCCTAAACAACTATACATACACAAATCATTATATAAACAGCTGGTGTTGCAAAAAAAAAAAAAAAAAATCATAGAGCAAGTGTTCTAGGAGTTCAGATGAAAGCATTACGGTCTAAAGTAGTTGGTCTGGAAGTGTGTTTATATGGTTAATACTCAATTAAGTGCAGCGAAGAGGAAAGGGACTTAGGAAAGGAATGTTTCAGAAGCAATGACTAGAGTAGTCCAGTGATTTGCAGGAGTCATGAGAAACAGCTGGAAGCTTCTGAAAGCCTTGTAAAAAGTTTAGAGTTTATTCAGTGGGAACTAAGAAATGACTGAAAGCTTGTAAGTAGGAATATTCTATGAAAAAGGCTAGGGAGGCTACATTGGTGTAGGAAAGCTGGAGAAAGACCAAGTGGGAAATTACTACGGTAGTTGAGTTAAGATGCTATAGGGCCTGAATTCTGATGACAGCAGTGTGACAAGAAAAGAGAGGAAGGACAAAAGGTGAATCCAACAGGGCTGACTGGATATAATGAGCCAAAAAACTGGAGCATTCCAAGTCTAACTGGCCAGGAGAATTAAGAGAAACTGAACAAAAGGGTGAATGTGGGGAAAAAAAACAATGTGTATTATTTAGCTACACCAAATATGAGTTCGTAACAATGACTCCAAGTAGAAGTATACAGGAAGCAGTTACATAGTGGAAAGACCCAAAAGAAGTCAGGACCAGAGAGACTGAGGATAAAACCACACTGAGGTAATGAGAGGAAGATTCCACCCACCTCCTCCCCCAAAATGCAGTCAAATATTGCAAAAATACCATTTGATTTGCCCAATCAAGAGGCTGTTGGTTAGAAAGATACTATGAAAGGGATGGATTGAAACTGAAAATTAAAGAAGGGATACTGCTACTCTGATTGTAATATTCTCTTCCTGAAACTGTCATTCTCTTACTCCCAAACTCATCTCTGACATGCAGTTTTTTAGTTCTTCCCTATTTTCACGAACTACCAGTTTAACTCCAGGTTTTATTTCCTTTTATCCTCATCCCACTTTTCATGGCTTATTTACCTCACTAAATAATCTCTCCCATACTCATAGCTTCAATTATTATTTACACATGTACCTATACAAATGTGGCGTTTAATACATATCCCATAATCTCAATCTCCTGGTAGCTATCTCAACTTGGCAAGGCAAAACGAAAATCTTTCTCTTAACTGCCAAACCCACCCTCCGTCTTACATTCCCCATTTTGGTGAATATCTCACTATCATCCAGTCATCTAGCCAGGATGACAGTGAGATATTTAATGGATATCGGTAAACAGTTGTCTATGAGATGGACACTATCTCATAGTCAGCAGTTTACCGATATCCATTAAATAACTCTCCATTGTGTCACTATCTCTTTCCCTCCAATTCTGCTGTGTTAGTTCAAGCTCCCACTATCTCTTACCTGAGTATTACAACCACCTTCCATCCCTACAATCTACTGCTTGCTTCCCGAGAAATAATTCCAAAATTTAAGTCTGATTATATCACTTTATTGATAAAATCCCTCGGCAGCTCTCCATCATACAGGAAACAAAATTCTAACTTCTTACTTGCAAAGTGGTCAAGGGAAAAATGCTTGTAGACAGAAGGAACTAGGTCTAAATTCTATTCTGCCATATCCTAGATTTTTATCTTTTGAGTCAAGCTACTTTATTTCTCTGAATGTGAGTTTTCTCATAAACCTCTGGAGGGAAGGGAAAGTAGAACTAAAAGACAATAAAAGATAAAGCCTTGTGATGTGTCAATATCCTGGAAGTAGGTGCCAGGAAAGACAGACAAAATATCCAAAAGGAGAAAAAGCTAGAGACGTCATGGAGGTGAAAGGAGGAGGGACATATAAGAAACGGAGTATGATCAGCAGGATCAAAAGAGGGTCCAAAGGAAATGACACAAAAAACAAACAATCCTCAAAATGACAGATGGTAGAGCTGCCTGGTAAGATCAGAAAGAGCAATTTCAGGTGAGAGTAGGATAATGAGAACCAAAATTCAAGTGGGAGTTACAAGGCTTAAACAAAAGTTTAGACTAACTTACACTCTTCTGAAAAGTGGAAGAAAAAATAAGACAGTGCCAAAAGAAGTTATCATAGGCCCAGAGGAAGTTATGTCCTCAGCATATACATGTGCATGTGTGTCTGTGTGGGTTTATATATGCAGAGAAAAAAATTAGTGGAAAAGAAGAATTAAAGATAAAGGGGAAAAAAAATTATTGCTGGAATAGTCAGGGAATAAATGAGGTAAGAAAATAAGAAAAGTTAGTCTCCAAGAGATAAAGGGAAACAAACTTCTGAGAGCATACCAGTCCTTCCCCTGTGTCTTTGTTCCATGAAATAAATACTAGTTACACAGACTTTTATTTAATTAATAAGCATTACTATTAGAAATAACATATTGGCCAGGCGCAGCAGCTAATGCCTGTAATTCCAACACACTGGGAGGCCGAGGTGGGCAGATCACAACGAGGTTAGGAATTCAAGACCAGCCTGGACAATATAGTGAAACCCTGCCTCTACTAAAAAATGCAAAAATTAGCCAAGCCTGGTGGTGCACACCTGTAGTCCCAGCGACTCAGGAGGCTGAGGCAGGAGTATTGCTTAAACCCAGGAGGCAAAGGTTGCAGTGAGCCGAGATCGTGCCACTGCACTCCAGCCTGGGTAACAGAGCAAAACTACGTCTAAAAAAAAAAAGAGCCATCCTCATCTGCTCCTTTAATTCCTATACTTGATTTATTCTTTTCTTTAGCACGTATCACATCTAACATACTGTATAATTTATGTGTTCAGTGCTGTCTTCCTCAACTGGAATGTAAGCTCCATAAGAGCAGCAATTACTGTCCATTGTGTTCTCTGCTATATCCCTAAAGCCTAGAGCAGTACCTGGTAAAATAATAAACACTCAATATTTGTTAAATAAATGAATGGTGGTTGGAGTGTGTAAAAGTCACTATTAGAGTCAAGGAGTAAGAAAAAGAAAGAAAAGTTGTATTAATATTCTGAAGATTATGGAGAAAATTGAGAACCATCCATGAGCGACACAGACAATAGGGACAAAAACAGCTGGGCAACTATATATACTTAGCAGCACAGAAAGAAGGAAAAGAAGAAAAGCATGATGTTCTAGTTTCTGCTTTAGACCTTTATGAAAAATATTCTTATGACGGTCTAAGTAAAAGCACTTATTAATAATTTAATTGGGCTCAGCACTATATAAAGGGAAACAACAAACCAGTTGACATCATCTACGGCCCACAATCCAGCATAATAAGCCAATGTGAAATGAAGCTTTGCCAACATACTGTTCTCTTGCTTCTGGATCCATCTTTTCATCATTCTTTTTAATCAAGTTCCAAAATTTTCTTAGCTTAGGTGTCTTTTTTAATTCTAATTCCAATCGTGCCTGAAGAAGAGATGTGTTATTAAATCACCAGTAACTGCAAAGTTTACAAGGATAAGGATTAGATCAACTATTTGCTAGTTTTCTAATCTATAAATACAAAATAGAGCAATGTCATAAAATCTGAAAACATAACCCTAAAAATTAAGAAATGATTAGTATTTTAAAAAATTATTCAACTCTAGCTCTTGTTAATAAAAATACAAATCAAGATTGTAAGCTCAATAACCAATTTTTATTTCAAAACTCAAAAAGCTCAGTCTGAAAAATACATGGATCAACACTTAGCACAATCACTGAGGTTTAAAAAATATGAGTCTAAATGCAGAAAAAACAGCTACCACAAGTAAATAAGGAAATGTCCTCATTAGCATATTCTCTCCTATGGTACTTGCCACTTTTTAATTTAGGATTAATTATTTATATGTGCCTTATGTTTTCATTCCCATAAACTGGTGCTTATGAATGAGTCTGCATATCTGGGTATATGCAGAAACACACACGTGCAGGAAATGAAATTCTGAATGAAGTATTACAATGAAATTTGATAGTTTTAACTACTTAAGATATATTAATTTGGCTTTGGTACCTGCACATATTACTCATTAAAGACTTTATGAAAAATGGAAGTCATTAATATTAAGTACAATCCAGATCTCCTACAGCTCTCTCTATATTCTAATCAAGGAAAAAAAAAATTCAAGTCTACATTAAGTCTCATCCATACTTTACTAAATTAACTCCCTTTCTCTACAAGCTCAACAAATACCACTTTATTTCATTTTATAATACCGACATTAAGTTAAACATCAAATGCACAGAAAAACTTTACAACTGTATAAACTGTATCTATGATAAGCTAATGCACAATGGCTTTTCTAAGAAAAGGGGTATTTAGCTACCATTTGTATATCCAGATTAAGGCTATAGGCTCTAAAACCACATATTCTACTTATAAGACATACATTCATAAGACACTGAAATTAGAGACTTACAGCCTGCAAGCCCATCCACATTGGCAGGGAGATAAGCTGCTGTACTTGACTCCGTATCAAGTCTACTTCCTGTTTTAGGCATGAAGAAAACAAGTTAATAAACATACCATCATTTCTACCTAAGTCTTTACATAAGAAGTACACTGCCTTTTTAAGACCTGGAGGGAAAACATGCCACCAATATTTTCAAATTAATATTTTGATATTAAGAGTTCAATGCTTTAAAAAAGACTCCATCTTCATTATTTACAGATTTTTTATTTGCAAATTCATATACTAACAAAAATGTATTTGTAACCTCAAAATCAATACTTCATGTGCTTTCACAGTCATTCAGATGGCACAAACAAAATTCTGAGTTGCCTGATGTGTACATTCTCAGCTGAGACTGAAGTGATACTCTGCTTAACTCTCAGCTCTCACGCTGTAAGAATCAAGTCCTGCCTGGCCAACATGGTGAAACCCCGTCTCTACTAAAAATACAAAAATTGGCCGGGCATGGTGGGCACCTGTAATCTCAGCTACTGGGGAGGCAGAGGAAGGGGAAACACTTGAAGCCAGGAGATGGAGGATGCAGTTTTCCAGGAAAGGGAAACACTTGAAGCTGGGAGGTGGAGTTGCTGAGATCACGCCACTGCACTCCAGCCTGGGCGACAAAGCGAACTTCGGGAAAAAAAAAAAAAAAGAGGCTGGGCGCGGTGGCTCACACCTGTAATCTCAGCACTTTGGAAGGCCAAGGCGGGAGGATCACAAGGTCAGGAGATTGAGACCATCCTGGCCAACGTGGTGAAACACATATAAAATAAGGCTATGTATTAACAGGTTGTAAAAATGTCATGACCAAAGCTTGCAGGAACCTAACCCTGTATTTCCTCAAGGACTAATGTTGAGTTTTAGCTGATTCAGTGTTCATAGGTACTTTATAAAATGAACATAACTACCTCAAATAAGAATTGACTGTGTATTTTAAAAGATAAAGCATTTCATTAAAAAACTAGTTTTACCAAGTTGCTTAAAACTATCATCAAGGCCGGGCGCGGTGGCTCAAGCCTGTAATCCCAGCACTTTGGGAGGCCGAGGCGGGTGGATCACAAGGTCGAGAGATCAAGACCATCCTGGTCAACATGGTGAAACCCCGTCTCTACTAAAAATACAAAAAAATTAGCTGGGCATGGTGGCACGTGCCTGTAATCCCAGCTACTCAGGAGGCTGAGGCAGGAGAATTGCCTGAGCCCAGGAGGCGGAGGTTGCGGTGAGCCGAGATCGCGCCGTTGCACTCCAGCCTGGGTAACAAGAGCGAAACTCCGTCTCAAAAAAAAAAAAAAAAACTATCATCAAATTACTAATACTAATAAAATCTTGTTTCTGTTTAGTTTCTGACCAAAAAAATCACATCTATTTATATTTCTATTTGTTCTGTTTAGTTTAATAAATGTTGAAGAGATAACAGTGGACATCATAAATCTTTTTTTATGCCTTTAAAAGATCCATGTGAGGTAGTACATGGAAACAGGTAATAACCATCCATCTATTAACACTCAGTCTTCAGGACAAGAAAGAACTCCATGCATTCTCCTGCATAGCTGTAAGTAAATTATCAATGCAGAGCCATTAAATATGTATGTACCATCAGATAACCACAGTAGAAAAGTTCAAATGAAATATTAATTACTGAAAATATTTAATTTTTTTAGAAGATAATCTTATGGGGCCAGGCACAGTGGCTCACGCCTATAATCCCAGCACATTGGGAGGCCAAGGCAGACGGATCATGAAGTGAGGAGTTCAAGACCAGCCTCATCAATATGGTGAAACCCTGTCCCTACTGAAAATACAAAAATTAGCTGGGTGTGGTAGTGCGCATCTGTAATCCCAGAAACTCAGGAGGCTGAGGCAGGAGAATCACTTGAACCCAGGATGCGGAGGTTGTGGTGAGCCAAAATCGAGCCACTGCACTCCAGCCTGGACAACAGAGTAAGACTCCATTTCAAAAAAAAAAGAAGATAATCTTATGAAGGATGAAAATGTATCACACAGGACATTTTCAAAGATCATCTACAATCGGCCTTTATTAGTCACAACTGAAAATATAACTCTCCTGCTGACTACCCAGCCTGTGCATGAAGCATGATAAAAAGTAATGAAACTACATTTCTGTATGTATACACAGCTTGTGGCATGAATCTCATTACTCAAATTCCGTATTAACCACTCTCTTGCTGCTTCTCATTTGTGTGCTCTCCCTTTGGAGTTTCAGATCTTATAATCATTTTTATTAAGAGTCTGATAGAAAAAAGTAAGTATCAAGTTCAAATCTATTAAAAAGTGAACATATCTTATAAAATGATTTTACTAGTAAGTGGCTGAAATCAAGCTTTTAGCATTATCCTTATTCCCCACTATTATGGATGAAGAATTGGCTACAGAGGTAATCTCATGTAAACTCGACCAAAAAGAACAAGAAAAATTGAAAATTTAATAAAAATTTAAAGTATAAGTACCAAACTATTGAAGCAGTGATCAAGAAAAAGTAGTAGGACTGTCTGTTCATGAAGTGAAAATTCACCATCAGTTTCAGCTAATGCCGCCTTCAAGATGTGTTTGAAAAAGAATGGGAAATGGTCCGGTTTCTTCTTAAAAATCTGAAAAGAAAAAGAATAGAAATTCATTTTGAATTGGCTTGCTCACTTAAGCTTTAAGGAAATCCTAGTAGGCTTTTAAGCAGTCTACTAAAAAAAACAAATAATTACAAGATTATTTGTATCTGTATTTAAAAAAGCAGTATCACATGCTTACTTATAATTAATGGCAAGTCAACTATAGGTTTCTAACAGGGCTAGGAGTTACAAAAACCTTTAGCTAATAAAATAATGGCTTTAATTCCTTTAGTTGTTCCTCTGTGGATTATGGCAGTATTTAGCTTAGGTTTTGTTTTCTTATTAAGGAACTGAAGTGTTTTAACTTATCTGATTATAAAAAAAAAAGTACATCTTTAGCAAAAATCTACTTTACACCCCGTAATTAATCTGAAGGAGAGACTCTCCTGTTTTATATTAACTCTTTCCTCTTAACTTGTAAATAATATACATATATTCAAGTCTCTTTGACCTACCTCCATTTCTAGTTACTGCCATAGACAAGTGCTCCAAACCTCTGGTCTTTACTAGTTGTTTTCACTCACTTCTCTAAGACAAGCTCTCTTGAAGCTGTATGGCTGTCAAGTCCTATGAACCCCTTATTAATCCTCAACTCTTTTTTGCCATGTTGAAAGCTATTCTTCTTTTGTCTGTTTTCCAAACAGCAATATTCCTAGGGTTCTAGTTTCATTCTTCTCCCCTATTACTTCAACTACCAAATACCAATGATCCCAAATATACATCTGCAGTCCAGATTTCTCTTCTGAGCTCTCAAACCTTAGATTCCTCCATTTTCTTAATCTAGATATTCCAAAGGCAATTTAAACTGAATATGTCCAAATTCAGTTCAACAGTTTTCCATCCTTCAAATTATTCCTTACTAAATGGCAACATCATCTATTATATTAATTTGCCCAAGCCTGGAAGGTTATTGAAAATAACACCCTTTTGCCGGGCACGGTGGCTCAAGCCTGTAATCCCAGCACTTTGGGAGGCCGAGGCGGGTGGATCATGAGGTCGAGAGATCAAGACCATCCTGGTCAACATGGTGAAACTCCGTCTCTACTAAAAATACAAAAAACTAGCTGGGCGTGGTGGCGCGTGCCTGTAATCCCAGCTACTTAGGAGGCTGAGGCAGGAGAATTACCTGAGCCCAGGAGGCAGAGGTTGCAGTGAGTCGAGATCACGCCATTGCACTCCAGCCTGGGTAACAAGAGTGAAACTCCGTCTCAAAAAAAAAAAAAAAAAAAAAAGAAAGAAAATAGCGCCGGGCACGGTGGCTCAAGCCTGTAATCCCAGCACTTTGGGAGGCCGAGGCGGGTGGATCACGAGGTCGAGAGATCGAGACCATCCTGGTCAACGTGGTGAAACCCCGTCTCTACTAAAAATACAAAAAATTAGCTGGGCATGGTGGCGCGTGCCTGTAATTCCAGCTACTCAGGAGGCTGAGGCAGGAGAATTGCCTGAACCCAGGAGGCGGAGGTTGCGGTGAGCCGAGATCGTGCCATTGCACTCCAGCCTGGGTAACAAGAGCGACACTCTGTCTCAAAAAAAAAAAAAAAAAAAGAAAATAACACCCTTTCCTAATGCTACTTCAACTGATTATCAAATTCAATCAATTCTACTTTCTAAATATGTGTTTATCATCTAAATCTCTATTATCATTTCTCTATTTCAAGGCCTAACCATCAAAGTGATCTTCGTAATAGGCAAATTGACCAGATTATTCCCTGGCTCAAAAAATTTTCCTTCTTCCTTTCTATAGTAGCTGAAGCAATTTCAAGAAATCCCTAGGCTCTCTTGATATCGACATAAAACCCATAGTTTATTTTGAGCTCTAATGTGCCCTGAGATGGTAGTCATTTAATAAATATTTGAGAGAAGTGTTCATGGTTTTATCTTTTTTTTTTTTTGAGACAGAGTTTCGCTCTTGTTACCCAGGCTGGAGTGGAATGGCGCGATCTCGGCTCACCGCAACCTCCGCCTCCTGGGTTCAGGCAATTCTCCTGCCTCAGCCTCCTGAGTAGCTGGGATTACAGGCACGTGCCACCATGCCCAGCTAATTTTTTGTATTTTTAGTAGAGACGAGGTTTCACCATGTTGACCAGGATGGTCTCGATCCCTTGACCTCATGATCTACCCGCCTCAGCCTCCAAAAGTGCTGGGATTACAGGCTTGAGCCACCACGCCTGGCCCCATGGTTTTATCTTAAAGATATTATCACCTTCTCACTTTGGAGACCATTTACTGCAAACAGATGACAGGCATCCGCTTCTTTTTTTCATTTAAAAAAGTCTGACTAGAAGAGAAGAAATTCTTGATGAGGTGACCATTTTATGGTGGGCAAAGAAAACCTAAGTTTTGGATCTCTACTGATTAAGTCTCTGTTGAACCAACACAAAAAGGAAAAGTCAGTTCATTAGAAATTTCTAAAAGGAAAAATACATCCCAGGGCGCAGTGACTCATGCCCATAATCCAAGCACTTTAGGAGGCCAACACAGGTGGATCACCTGAAGTCAGGAGTTCAAGATAAGACTGGCTAACATGGTGAAGCCCAGTCTCTACTACATTAGCTGGGTGTGGTGGCAGGTGCCTGTAATCCTAGCTACTTGGGCAGCTGAGGCAGGAGAATTACTTAAACCCAGGAGACAGGTTGCAGTGAGCTGAAATCGCACCATTGCACTCCAGCCTGGGCTTTGGTAACATTTTTTTATTCATATAAAACTACAAATATATACCTCTTCTTGTGAAAAAAGATGCTGAAAAATATCTCATTTGAACATTACATACTTGCACTTTTTTCTTCCTCTTAGAGACAGTCTCGCTCTGTTACCCAGGCTGGAGAACTATGGCGCAATCAGAGTTCACTGTAACCTCAAATTCCTGGGCTCAAACGGTCCTCTTGCCTCAGTCTCTCAAGTAGCTGGGACTACAGACACATGCCACCATGCCTGACAAACTTTATTTTTTTTTTTAAGAGACAGGTTTTTGCTATGTTGCCCAGGCTGTTCTTGAACTCCTGGCTTCAAGCAATCCTTCCATCTCAGCATCCCAAAGTGCAGGATTACGGGCATGAGTGACAGCACTCAGCCTATTTGTACTTATGAATATAACTTCCATTTTGCCAGCTCCTGATATAAGTTGTTATAACATATACCATTCTTTGTTTCAAGCACAAAGCAGAAAAATAACTCCATACTCAAAATTTTTCAGTTCATAGTAAATTATTATTGTTGGAAAAAAGTGTTGAAACCAAAAGAAAATGAATCTTTCACATATCCATTCTTTTTCTCAATATTTGCTTTAAAACTGGGTAAAGTGCTGCCCTAAAAGCACCACTATCAATAAAAGTTCTGCCACTTTGTAATGGCTTAAGTGGGCACAGTATGAAAGCTATGAAGTAATTTAAAACAGTTACCTCCCATGCAGGCACGTTTTCTCTGAACTTCTCATTCACCATACAGCAGATTGACATTAAATAAGCCTTGCTGGATACCTCAGGAGAATAATTCATCCAGAGATAATTTTCAAGATACTGGCTATAAAGTGTAAAAAGCACAGAGCATTTCATTAGTTACCACCATTCACTGTAATGTGTAAGTCACCTAGAAAAGCGTAATTATTTTAAACTTTCTGAAAATATTTTAGAAATCTCTATTTACAACTTGGAATCCTTGACCAGGTGGGGTGGCTCATGCCTGTAATCCCAACACTTTGGGAGGCCAAGGCGGATGGATCACTTGATGTCAGGAGCTGTGCCCAATTTGGTAAAACCCCATCTCTACTAAAAATATAATAATTAGCTGGTTGTGGTGGCATGTGCCTGCAATCCCAGCTACTCAGGAGGCTAAGGCAGGAGAATCACTTGAACCTGTGAGGCAGAGGAGGCCGTAAGCCGAGATTGTGCCACTGCACTCCAACCTGGCCGACAGAGCTAGACTCCGTCTCAAAACAAAGAAACAAACAAACTTGGAATCCTTCAAAAATTTACCTGTAATCTCGGTCACTGCTACCAGTTACAAATTCATATATAGAAAATACAGCTTTGCCGGGCGCGGTGGCTCACGCCTGTAATCCCAGCATTTTCGGAGGCAGAGGCGGGTGGATCATGAGGTCAAGAGATAGAGACCATCCTGGTCAACATGGTGAAACCCCGTCTCTACTAAAAATACAGAACATTAGCTGGGCATGGTGGCTCGTGCCTGTAATCCCAAATACTCAGGAGGCTGAGGCAGGAGAATTGCCTGAACCCAGGAGGCGGAGGTTGCAGTGAGCCGAGATCACGCCATTGCACTCCAGCCTGGGTAACTAGAGCGAAACTCCGTCTCGAAAAAAAAAAAAAAAAAAAGAAACTACAGCTTTGGGGAATGACAGCCTTATACTTTCAAGTAAAAAGATATCAAAGTTGCCAACATATATAATTATCACCACCAAACCACTGGATGTTCCCTTACCTAAGGCTCTTCTTAAAGTAAAAGCCAAAAATACCTGACAAATATCAGTTCTAAAACAAAATGATGCCAGGTGTGGTGGCTCATACCAGTAATCCTAACACTTTGGGAGGTCAAAGTTGGTGGACTGCTTCAGCCCAGGAGTCTGAGACCAGCCTGGGCAACATAATGAGACCTCATCTCTACAAAAAATTTAAAATAAACTAGCCAGGTATGATGGTGCACACCTGTGGTCTCAACTACTCTGGGGGCTGCAGTAGGAAGATCACTTGAGCCTAGGGGATTGAAGATACAGTAAGCCATGATTGTGCCACTGTACTCCAACCTGGACAACAAAGCAAGACCCCATCTCCAACACTTAAAAAAAAAAAATCTTCTGAAACTCCTATTAGGCTTTCCCATTCTAGCCTCCACATATCTTATTTTCCTTTCCTCTTTTTCATTTTTTACTTCTCTTTGCTATGTTCTAGTTAATTCCCTCAGATCTATTTTCGAGTAATTCCTTCTTTAGCTGTGTCTAACATGTTATTTTGCTAATTTATTTTTTGCATTTCAATGATTTTTATCTCCCTTTCCCTCCCCCAAGTCTATCCATTTTTTAGTGTCTTCTTTCTTTCTCACATATTATATTTCTTCTCTTATGCCAATAATAATTTTAAACATAATGACTTGATAGTGCATATCAATTATTTAATTATCTCAAGTTCTTGGTGGTGGGGGCAGGGGGGAGCTTTGTTCTCTGTTATTCACTCTTGCTTACAGAATACTACCCTAGGCTGGGCGCGGTGGCTCAAGCCTGTAATCCCAGCACTTTGGGAGGCCGAGGTGGGCGGATCATGAGGTCGAGAGATCGAGACCATCCTGGTCAACATGGTGAAACCCCGTCTCTACTAAAAATACAAAAAATTAGCTGGGCATGGTGGCGCGTGCCTATAATCCGAGCTACTCAGGAGGCTGAGGCAGGAGAATTGCCTGAACCCAGGAGGCAGAGGTTGCGGTGAGCCGAGATCGTGCCATTGCACTCCAGCCTGGGCAACAAGAGCAAAACTCCGTCTCAAAAAAAAAAAAAAAAAAAGAATACTACCCTAATGCGCTCTCTAATTTGGGAGTGTAAACTCACCTTTACCAAGGTTTCATTTATAGAGATTTTTTTGCAGCACATTTGGAATACATATGCTTCCAGAGTATCTTTTTAACTGTTTCTTTTTTTAACTGTTTCACAGTTTTTGTTTTTGTTTTTGTTTTTGTTTTTTATACAGCAAATTCCAAACCTATCTATCTTTAAATCTCTTAGATGAGCAAACTGAGACAATGAGTCAATGATTTGTCTGATTACACAGGTATGGGTCCTACATCTCTTTTCTTCAAATTTAAAGATTTGTTCAGTAACTTCCTGATCCTATTTCAGCAACTGCAGCAAATTCTTACAATATTGATATAAAGTAATGTCTTCCTCTAATGATTTTCACCCACAGAAACCCTTTTCTTTCCCAGTTCATTTTCTCCTATCCAGCTACCTTCTCCATATCTTATTTTCCACTCTAGCAAGATACCATCAATCACTCTCTACAACAAACTTTTGACTGGTTATGTTTGGAAGTTGGCCCAGGGTACATGGCATTGTCACATAAAATTAAACAAAAGTTCCTGAAAGGTAACAACCGACTTTTTCAGTTATTAAAAAATTTTCACTGTCATTGATGCTTTCAATCTGTTTTGTTGCTTTCTCCCTCATCTCTTACAACTCTCTTGGTTTCTGGACTCTAGAATTCTGGTAAATCCTAATTGCACAGTTGTAGCCTCTTGATTTTACTCTGTCTTCTTGAGAGGAGGCACAATATGGTGGAAAAAGCATTACTATTTCAGGGACAGATGGGTCAAGTTTCTAGTCTCAGTTTTCTCGCCTATAAAATAAGGAAGATCTTACTAGTGTTGTTATGAGGATTAAATGAGCTGATTTAATAAGAAAATGCAGTTCTGAGGATACAGGAGGCACTCAACTTACAATTCATAATAAATTTCAATTTCCCTCTATGAAAACAATAAGACCATCTACTTCATGTCATTTTTTTGTGAGGATCAAATCTGCATATGTAGGAGTAAAATTATTAACACAGAGGCCCTGACCTCTGATGTAAACCAGACGTCAAGGAAGTGTAGAGAAATGGAAAACCATGAGCTTTGGCATCAACACTGTTATCCCAGCTCTGCCAGTTATTTAACTTCACTATCTTGAGCAAATTATTCAACCTCTCTGATCTCAGCTTCTGTTTCCAGTAAATGCAAAGGATAGTACTTACTTTACAGGATTGTTCCGAGTACTCTCTATATAAAATGCGTAACGCTGTGGTGAATACAAGACAAGTGTTCTTGTATAAATGATAAATCTAACTATCATCAGCAGCAACGCTGGCTTTTATTTTCAGCATACTGGCTAGATTTGGTTGTAACATAATCTAATGTATCTTTGCAATCTGAAAACCGTACATTATCTTTTGTCTGAAATATTTACAGTACTAGGAGCTAGATTGAAGCAATGCTGCCTTGATAACATTTTAGCCTGGCAGGGGGAAAAAATGGCTGTAGAACACACTCTAATTTACTTCCACTGATGACTAGAGAAACCAAGTTTGAGTTCAGAAATTATTCAGCACATGCTAGCTTAACAAGTAAGAAACAAAAATACAAGTTATTCTGACCATGGGCCATCATCTTTGAAAATAAAGGCCATGATACACATATTTCAAAATAAGCCAATCACAGAAATATAAATCTTCACAAATTTAGATTTTCTTTTCTTTTTTTTTCTTTTGAGACAGAGTTTCGCTCTCGTTACCCAGGCTGGAGTGCAATGGCGCGATCTCGGCTCACCGCAACCTCCGCCTCCTGGGTTCAGGTAATTCTCCTGCCTCAGTCTCCTGAGAAGCTGGGATTACAGGCACGCGCCACCATGCCCAGCTAATGTTTTGTATTTTTAGTAGAGACGGGGTTTCACCATGTTGACCAGGATGGTCTCGATCTCTTGACCTCGTGATCCGCCCGCCTCGGCCTCCCAAAGTGCTGGGATTACAGGTTTGAGCCACCGCGCCCGGCCAAATTTAGATTTTCTTAGTCACTCACAGAAATATGCTGAAAATGTAGCTAAAACTTAAGTCACATGGTCATCTTTTCATCAATGCAATGCTTTATAACTTACCTAAATTCCAACAGCATTATCTTTCTAATAGCAAACCTGAAACATACAAATAAAATGTTTAAAATAGAGAATACAAACATTTCAGTTTTTAACACAAATGTATTTGAGGATGTTTCGTTTTCATATTAACCCACTTATCAAAATTCATAATAGCAGATCACAACTTCCAATGTCAGTTTAACTTCTTAATCATTGACCAACATGTTTTCATTTAATACTCAAATAAAAACATTTTGCTAAAGTCATGCCTTCGTAAAAGCACACAGGACACGTATCTATATTGCAAATGTGAAAAGCAGATGTTTCACTTGCTTCTTAGTGTTGACAGTGAGCCTAAAATACCAAAATATTGTGGAAGAAATATAAGATATTTGTCTTTAATATACTGTCTTTATTGTAATAGAATTGCTTTGTTTTACATGAATAAACAATGATATAGTCATGTTTGTCCAAAATATAGTCATGTTGTCCCAAAGCAGGTACAAATGGCCACTAATTTGGTTTTATCATTTTTTATTTTTATTTATTTATTTTTTGAGACGGAGTTTCGCTCCTGTTACCCAGGCTGGAGTGCAATGGCACGATCTTGGCTCACCGCAACCTCCGCCTCCTGGGTTCAGTCAATTCTCCTGCCTCAGCCTCCTGAGTAGCTGGGATTACAGGCAAGCACCACGATGCCCAGCTAATTTTTTGTATTTTTAGTAAAGACGGGGTTTCACCATGTTGACCAGGATGGTCTTGATCTCTTGACCTCATGATCCACCCGCCTCGGCCTCCCAGAGTGCTGGGATTACAGGCTTGAGCCACCATGCCCGGCCCCCCATTTTTTATCATTTTATAGTATTAGAAATAAAATAGATCAGAACACTGCCACTTGATAATAGTTTACAGCTTTGAAAATTAAATGTATATGTATTATGAATTTATAATGCCCCAGGAAACCATTATCCTGTCAAAATCCTATTCCACTGTTTCTGACCTCTTAAATAGTTTCATTGAGCATGCAGTCACATAACTTAAGAATGAAATGAAGGTTTTTACCATGCAAAAGCACAAGGACAAAATACTGCCAAAGTACTGGCTTCTACAGTTAGCCAAGATGCTGACTGAATATGTCATCTTGGGTGACACACTCTCGATCTCCAACGGCAGACATTTCACTTGAATTAACTGCATGTTAGACAAGAGAATTCACTCACTGCCCGCTATACACAAAACTCGACATTTAATGTCTTCAGTCACAAACAGGACCTCATAATAAAAGAGAAAATTCTGGCTCATGATATAGAATACCAGTGTTCTAGTCATAACTCAGTGTTACTTTGACAATGCCTTTTAAACATTCTTTTTTTTTTTCTTTTTTATTGAGACAGAGTCCTGCTCTGTCGCATTGTAGTGTAGTGGCGCGATCTTGACACTGCAACCTCCGCCTCCCAGGCTCAAGTGATTTTTGTGCCACAGCTTCCCAAGTAGCTGGGATTATAGTCACATGCCACCATGTCTTGCAAATTTTTTTGGTTTTTGGGTTTTTGCTTTTGTTTTTTTTTTTGAGACAGAGCCTCACTCTGTCACCCAGGCTGAAGTACAATGGTGCCGTCTTGGCTCACTGCAACCTCTGCCTCCTGGCTTCAAGTAATTCTCCTGCCTCAGCCTTCTGAGCAGCTGAGAGCAGCCTCCCAAGCAGCCCACCACCATGCCCAGCTAATTTTTGTATTTGTAGTAGAAACAAAGTTTCACCATGTTGGCCAGGCTGGTCTCAAACTCCTGACCTTGTGATCTGCCTGCCTCAGCCTCCCAAAGTGCTGGGATTACAGGTGTGAGCCACCAAACCCAGCAAATTTTTGTATTTTTAGTAGAGACAGGGGTTTCCCCATGTTGTCCAGGCTGGTCTCGAACTCCTGAGCTCAGGTGATCCACTCACCTTAGCCTCCCAAAGTGCTAGGATTTACAGGCATGAGCTACCACACCCGGCCTCTTTTAAACATTCTGCGATTCAGTTTCCTCCTGTATAAAAATGGTAGAGCTGCCAACTTTCCTTTAAGATAACAAGTGAAAAATAAGTGTTCTTTTTTCATTTCTGAGGTAGGTTTGCTCCGTTGCCCAGGCTACCGTACAGTGGCACAAACACAGCTCACTGCAGTCTCGACCTCCCAGGCTCAAGCAATCCTCCCACCTCAGCCTCTCAGGTAGCTAGCTGGAACTATAGGCGTGTGTTACCACACCCAGCTAATGATTTTTAGTAGAGATGAAGTCTCACTATGTTGCCCAGGCTGGTTTCAAACTCCTGGACTCAAGTAATTCTCCCATCTGGGCCTCTCAAAGTGCCAGGACAACAGGCATGAGCCTTGAAAAGTAAGTCTTGATATGACAAGATAAAACAAAAGTAGTCTGAAAAACATTCAATTCTTCTTCTAGCAATCTCAGTGGCATTCATTAAATTTAGTTTTATATTTTTGCCAATAAACTCTCTGAGACAGATAAAGTGAACACCTTAACTGAAAGTGTACTTATAAGGGCCAGGCGTGGTGGCTCACACCTATAATCCCAGCACTTTGGAAGCCGAGGAGGGCAGATCATCTAAGGTCGGGAGTGCGAGACCAGCCTGATCAACATGGATAAACTCCATCTCAACCAAAAATTCAAAATTTTCCAGGTGTGGGGGCACGTGCCTGTAATCCCAGCTACTCGGGAGGCTAAGGCAGGAGAATCGCTTGAACCTGGGAAGAGGAGGCTGTAGTGAGCCAAGATCATGCCACTGCACTCCAGCCTGGACGTGAGTGAGAATCCGTCTAAAAAAAACACAAAAGAAAAAAGATATAAAAACAGGTCTATGAACTAGATAACACATCAGAAGAATTTTGAAGTACGGAAGTCCAGGCATGGTGGCCCATGCCTATAATCCTAGCACTTTAGGAGGCCGAGGCGGGCAGACTGTCTGAGCTCAGGAGCTCGAGACAAGCCTGGGCAACACAGTGAAACCCTATCTCTACTAAACAAAAAATTACCCGGGCGTGGTGGTGTGCACCTGTAGTCCCAGCTACTTGGGAGGGTGAGGCAAGAGAATCGCTTAAACCCAGGAGGCAGAGGCTGCAGTGGACTGAGATTGTGCCACTGCACTCCAACCCAGGTGACAGAGTGAGACTCCATTTCAAAAAAAATAAAAAGATAATTATGAAAAGTTACAGGCCAGGCGCGGTGGCTCAAGCCTGTAATCCCAGCACTTTGGGAGGCCGAGGCGGGTGGATCACGAGGTCAAGAGATCGAGACCATCCTGGTCAACATGGTGAAACCCCGTCTCTACTAATGGTGCAAAAAATTAGCTGAGCATGGTGGCGCGTGCCTGTAATCCCAGCTACTCCGGAGGCTGAGGCAGGAGAATTGCCTGAACCCAGGAGGTGGAGGTTGCGGTGAGCCGAGATCGCGCCATTGCACTCCAGCCTGGGTAACAAGAGCGAAACTCCGTCTCAAAAAAAAAAAAAAAAAAAGTTACAAACAATAATCACAAATATAAATAATTTGAATGATTTTTGGACAGTTTTTTAAGTTACCAATATTTATTGAGAGCATGAATTATGCCTGACACTGTGCTAAAGACTTAACGTGCATTTCATTAAATCCTTACAAAGTTGAATAATTTATGTACAAAAACTGGGTCTATTACGGTATCATTAAATCTGATAGGAAAGAGAGAAGGTGTCATGCAAATGAGAGTACTTTTCTATTATATCCTCCCTCCCTGCCCCAACAACTTCCTATTTTGGGATATGACTGTGTGAAACATGAGGTCTGGAGCTGTGACAGCCCCAGTGCAACCACATAGAAAAAGTCAATACAATCTTTTGACAAGACTGACAAGGGCCTTGACGTTATGAACTTCTGAGCTACCTACTTCCCGATCTGTTAAGTAGATGATTAAAACAATAAATAAGAACAGTGGGCCGGGCGCGGTGGCTCAAGCCTGTAATCCCAGCACTTTGGGAGGCCGAGGCGGGTAGATCACGAGGTCAAGAGATCGAGACCATCCTGGTCAACATGGTGAAACCCCGTCTCTACTAAAAATACAAAAAATTAGCTGGGCATGGTGGCGTGTGCCTGTAATCCCAGCTACTCAGGAGGCTGAGGCAGGAGAATTGCCTGAACCCAGGAGGCGGAGGTTGCGGTGAGCCAAGATTGCACCATTGCACTCCAGCCTGGGCAACAAGAGTGAAACTCCGTCTCCAAAAAAAAAAAAAAAAGAACAGTGAACAAAAGCTAGTCATGGCTGGGCATGGTAGCTCATGCCTGTAATCTCTGCCAATTTGGGCTTTGGGAGGCTGAGGTGGGCAGATCACCTGAGGTCAGGAGTTCGAGACCAGCCTGGCCAACATAGAGAAACCATGTATGTACTAAAAATACAAAAATTAGCCAGGTGTGGTGGCGGGCACCTGTAATCCCAGCTACTTGGGAGGCTGAGGAAGGAGAATTGCTTGAAACTGGGAAGCAGAGGTTGCAGTGAGCCGAGATCCTGCCACTGCACTCATGGGGCAACAAGAGTGAAACTCCCTTTCATCAAAAAAAATAAAAAAGAAGTAGCAGCTAGCCATAACCAAGTTTATAATTTGTGACTCTACTTATTTATTTAAACTTCAAAAAGAAGCAAATTATAGTTCTTGTTTGCATACTTACAGATTATAACGTTAAAAGAAAGGAACAAGCAGAGACCTACTGGAACACTGACAATGTTTATTGAGTTTTTCAGCCTAGGTGATGGTTACGAATTACTATAATTGGTAAGGCTATACATTTGTTTTATGCCCTTTTCTGTATAATATTTCATAATAGTCGGGCGCGGTGGCTCAAGCCTGTAATCCCAGCACTTTGGGAGGCCGAGGCAGGTGGATCACGAGGTCAAGAGATCGAGACCATCCTGGTCAACATGGTGAAACCCCGTCTCTACTAAAAATACAAAAAATTAGCTGGGCATGGTGGCATGTGCCTGTAATCCCAGCTACTCAGGAGGCTGAGGCAGGAGAATTGCCTGAACCCAGGAGGCAGAGGTTGCGGTGAGCCGAGATCGCGCCATTGCACTCCAGCCTGGGCAACAAGAGCGAAACTCCATCTCAAAAAAAAAAATATTTCATAATAAGAGCCTATACATTTCAAATAAAAATAAACACTTTGGCAAAAGTAAATTCCTCTATAAATCACCCTTTTCAAAAGCATAAAAACCACTTCGCTGGATTCATAACAGGATTAAACATCATATCATAGTGTACTAGTTAAGAGGTTTCTAAAAAGTAAAGGATTCTTATTTAAGAACAGAATACTCAAGGACAGGCGCAGTGGCTCATGCCTGTAATCCCATCACCTTGGACGGCCAAGGTGGGTGGATCACCTGAGGTCAGGAGTTCGAGACCAGCCTAGACAACACGGTGAAACTCCATCTCTACTAAAAATTTTAAAAATTAGCTGGGCATGGTGACACATGCCTGTCATCCCAGCTACCCAGGAGGCAGTGATTGCAGTGAGCCAAGATCATGCCACTGAAAGAAAAGAGCAGAATATTCAAAAGGAACCAGGGAACCAGGATTCAATACCTGGTGTGCCTCTAAATACTGGGAAACATCTTTGGCAAGAGTTATTTAACCTTTCTACTTCAGTTTACTCATCCATAAAATGAGGATAATAATAGTGTTACAGGGTTGTTGTGGGAATAAATGAGCTAGGTGCTTATAGCAGAATTCAAGGTGCTTAGTGCAGAACCTGGCACACAATAAGCACTTAACTATTATTTTAAAAAATATTTTGAATCAAACTTGGATTAAGATTAAGATAAACCTGCCAAATCTGATAATGGCAAGAAGAGCAAAAATGAATCAATTGTGTAACGTACCATAGAGTAACACGACTGTTACACCAAGCCATTTCCCCAACACTGAAAATGCCTTGAGCATGTAGCTCAGAAAAATAATTTCCTCAGGAACTAGCCTAAAAAACTGGTCATCAAAAAAAAATTTTTTTGAGACAGAGTCTTGCTCTGTTGCCCAAGCTGGAGTGCAATGGCACAATCTCAGCTCACTGCAACCTCTGCCTCCCCAGTTCAAGACGATTCTCCTGCCTCACCCTCCAGAGTAGCTGAGATTACAGGTGCATGCCACCACCGCCTGATGATTTTTGTATTTTTAGTAGAGACAGGGTTTCACCATGTTAAAAATTTTAAAATACATACTATAGTTTACATGTTACAGAAGTATACTTAGAAATAAAAAATGTGTCCAAGATAAGAAAATGACTGGTAAAAGTGCCATGATAAATCTTAGCCATGTCAAAGATAGCTACTTCTTTTGAAACTAAAAATAACACAGGGCTGGGCGTGGTGGCTAATGCCTATAATCTCAGCACTTTGGGAGGTCAAGGCGGGCAGACTGCTTGAGCTCAGGAGTGAGATCATCCTGGTAATGTGGCGAAACCCTGTTTCTACCAAAAATACAAAGAGAATTAGCCGAGCATGGTGGCATGCACCTGTGGTCCCAGCTACTCTTGAGGCTGAGGTTGGGGGATTGCTTGAGCCCAGGAGGCAGAGGTTGCAATGAGCTGAGACCACACCACTGCACTCAAACCTAGGTGAAAGAGAGCAACCCTGTCACATATACATGCACAAGAAGTAGCAAGTCTATATGGCTTAAAAATCATTAGCAGCTTGTGGCTGTTAGAAAAAAAATCACCTCTGAAGAAGAAATATTAATAGCAAGGGTTTAAATGAAAAAATAAACAATTACTTTCCACAGGAGGGAAAGCCTATTCTAAAGATTCAAAATCATTTTCAATTTAGTATAACCTTAATACAGAGGGGGAAAATGATATTAGAATTAATCCACCTACTCGTCTTTAGTTTTCTCAGGAAATTTCATTCACACTCACCTTCAGACCAACAAGCAGTATGTTACAAATCTGCTCAAATGTCCTACCTTCAGAGAGGATTTGCCTAATTATTCTAAAATACGAGCCCTTGTCACTATTCTCTAACCACACTTTAATCCATAGCACTTACTATCTCCTGACATTACAGATATATATATATATATATATATATATATATCTGTCTGTCTGACCCACTAGAATGTAAGCCCCAGGAAAACAGGGACTCTATCTATCCTCTTTTCTGTTGTACTGTTAGCATTGAAATGGTGGCTAATAAAAAGGAGGCTCAACTCAGTCTCTTTTTGTTGTTTGTTGTTTTTTTTTGAGATAGCGTCTCACTCTGTCACCCAGGCTGGAGTGCAGTGGCATGATTATGGCTCACTGCACCCTTAACCTCCTGGGCTCAGGTGATCCTCCCACCTCATCCTCTTGAGTAGCTGGGACTACAGACATACGCCACCATGCCCATCTAATTTTTTGTGTTTTTTCTACACACATGGTTTCGCCATGTTGCTCAGGCTAATCCTCAAGAACTTACTGGGCTCAAGCAATCCACCCGCCTCAGCCTCCCAAGGTGCTGGGATTACAGGCATGAGCCACCATGCCCAGCCAACCCTATCTCTTTTGAGCTATACACCTGGATACCCAACTGCTTATTTCACATCTCCATCTTCATGACTCTTATGTAGCTTGAACGCAAGACATCCAAAACTGAAATAATGACCTATACCCAATCCTACCCTCGACAACATGGCAAAAGTCAGTCATAGCATCATCGATCTCTCAGCAACTTAAGCAAAAAATTTTAGGGTCACTGTTGATCCCTCCTTTTCCTACATCTGCCATATCCAAACATCAAATCTCTCCACTTCTATCTTTCTCAAATGGACAGTTCCTCTCCCAACCTTCCACACAAGTCAAATCATCACATCCTGAAACTGACTACTACAATACTCACCTATTTCCCTGCCTCTTGCTACCTCCAAATCCAAATTTCTGCTGGGTGCAGTGGCTAATGCCTGTAATCCCAGCACTTTGGGAGTCTGAGGTGGGTGGACCACTTGAGGCCAGGAGTTTAAGTACAGTCTGGCCAACATGGTGAAACCCTGTCTCAAAAAAAGTAAAAAAAATCCAAATTATCTTTTTCAAATAACTGTTCTTACAACTCTTCTCACTTCCTATTGTTTTTCTTTTTTGAGACGGAGTTTCGCCCTTGTTACCCAGGCTGGAGTGCAAATGGCGCGATCTCAGCTCACCGCAACCTCCGCCTCCTGGGCTCAGGCAATTCTCCTGCCTCAGCCTCCTGAGTAGCTGGGATTACAGGCACGTGCCACTATGCCCAGCTAATTTTTTGCACTTTTAGTAGAGACGGGGTTTCACCATGTTGACCAGGATGGTCTCGATCTCTCGACCTCGTGATCCACCCGCCTCGGCCTCCCAAAGTGCTGGGATTACAGGCTTGAGCCACCGCGCCCGGCTCTATTGTTTTTCAAATAAAAAACCAAAATCCCATTTAGTCCAATATCCTTTTAAAATACTCACTGGGCATACATGTCTGCAGGTGCACATATGAAAAGGTGCCCAAGACACACTGTTAAATTTTTTAAAAGAAGCATGATGAAAAATGGCATGTAGAGTACAAACCTTTTTATGTTTGAAAAACCATGTGAGGGGGTGGGAAATAGAACAGATGTACAAACCCTTTTATGTTTGAAAAACCATGTGAGGGGGTGGGAAATAGAACAGAGTAATATACTCCTTACAGCATATTACTCAAAAATAATTCTTATCACTTCTCTGTTTATTATCACACATTTTATACATTACATATGTATACTATATTATTGTAAATTTAATGGTGTCTTACTTTCATAACTTTTAAGAATATTTTTAAAAGGTGAATCAGAAATAAGAAAATTAGTACTAGTTGAACTAAAATTAAATCCTCATGTTTACTTTTTCTCAAATTCCATCTAAATCCAAACAAACCTTATGGGATTTGATACCTCTAATCTGAGCCAAAAGTTAGAAAGTAAAAAACAATTTATGACTCTTCAAGACCTAAAATTTTTCTAATCACCATTTCCCTGATGACCAATTTGAAACAGAAAAAAAAGGTTCCAAGTTATGATCACATTTAGAAGGTCAGCCAAGATCCAACTTGGTCCATCCCAACCACATTGTATAAAATTTAAACTCATTCTTACCTTGATTTGACAATCTCTTTTTCATATATCTCTTCAATAACCTGTTATCAAAAATATAAACATGTTTAATATCTCAACAACTTTTTTCAACCCCAAATTGACAGTTTTCAGAGTACAATAATATAAAATAAGTTGGTTTAGGAAAGCTATCAAATATTAATGCTACTGAAATAACAGGACTTTTAAATAATCCCATTATATTTCTCAAAATGTGAAATTAACAGAAAGCAAACTAGAAAAAATAAATAATAAAACAGAGCCCTAGATTCATTAAAATGATGTGCTTATAAACATTTTTAGGGAAAATAAAAATTCACAAGATCAGGATTTTTTTAAAACTTAAAGTGTATAAATGTTATCAGACTCCATTTAAGAGTCTGTTAACTGTGTGCCTTCAAAAGCCAGAGAGAAAATAAATTAAAAGTATAAAGACACAATAGAAACAAATTCTAACTGTTATATTCTATTATACAAATGAGTATGATAAAGCCTCAGAATTTCCATTCATTTGAGTGAGGGTGGACAGAATAGTATACTACTTAAGAAACCAGACTCTAGGCCGGGCGCAGTGGCTCACGCCTGTAATCCTAGCACTCTGGGAGGCCGAGGCGGGTGGATCACGAGGTCAAGAGATCAAGACCATTCTGGTCAACATAGTGAAACCCCGTCTCTACTAAAAATACAAAAATTAGCTGGGCATGGTGGCGCACGCCTGTAGTCCCAGCTACTCAGGAGGCTGAGGCAGGAGAATTGCCTGAACCCAGGAGGCGGAGGTTGCGGTAAGCCGAGATCGCGCCATTGCACTCCAGCCTGGGTAACAAGGGCGAAACTCCGCCTCAAAAAAAAAAAAAAAGAAAAGAAAAGAATTCAGACTCTGCAATTGGAAGCTTGGTTCAAACATCTGCCTTCACTACTGATGGCTGTAACTCTTGCCCAAGTGCCTGACCTCTCTAAAGCTCAGTTTCCTTACCCACAAAACAGATCTAATAATACAAACTATCACACAGGGTTACTGCAAATAAAATACGACACGGTATATAAACAATTAGTACAAATACTGGCACATGGTGAGCCTTCAGTAACAGTTATCAATAGCAGTAGTAGGCCGGGCGGAGTGGCTCAAGCCTAAAATCCCAGCACTTCGGGAGGCTGAGGTGGGCGGATCAACTGAGGTCGGGAGTTTGCGACTGGCCTGACCAAAATGAAGAAACCCAGTCTCTACTAAAAATACAAAAAATTAGCTGGGTGTGGTGGCACATGGCTATAATCCCAGCTACTTGGGAGGCTGAGGCAGAATCGCTTGAACCCAAAAGGCAGAGGTCACGGTGAGCTGAGGTTGCGCCATTGCACTCTAGCCCGGGCAACAAGAACGAAACTCCATCACCAAAAAAAAAAGGCCGGGCGCAGTGGCTCACACCTGTAATCCCAGCACTTTGGGAAGCCGAGGCAGGTGGATCACAAAGTCAAGAGATTAAGAACATCCTGGCCAACATGGTGAAACCCGGTCTCTACTAAAAAAAATACAAAGATTAGCTAGTGGTGGTGGCGTGCACCTGTAGCCCCAGCTACCCGTGAGGCTAAGGTAGAACTGCTTGAACCCGGGAGGGGAGGTTGCAGTGGCCCAAGATCGCGCCACTGCACTCCAGCCTGGCGCCTGGCAACAGGGCAAGGCTCTGTCGCAAAAATCTGTTGCAAAAAAAAAAAAAAAAAAAAAAAGGGCGTGGTGGCTCACACCTGTAATCCCAGCACTCTGGGAGGCCAAGGCGGGTGGATCATGAGGTAAAGAGATCGAGATCATTCTGGCCAACATGGTGAAACTCCATCTCTACTAAACACAAAAATTGGCTGGGTTTGGTGGTGCGTGCCTGTAGTACCAGCTACTCGGGAAGCTGAGGCAGGACAATCTGCCTCGGGATTCTCCTGCCTCAGCCTCCAGCTACTCGGGAGGCAGAGGTTGCAGTGAGCCGAGATCATGCCACTGCACTCTAGCCTGGCAAGAGACTCAGACTTCGTCTCAGAGAAAAAAAAAAAAAAAAAAAATGGCAGTTGTAGTAGTGCTAGCATTAATAGTTTTTTTAAAAATCCTACTGCAAAATTATGAAGTGCTTTAACATGGTATAATATAATATTACTGTACGGTAACTATAATGTCTTTTTTCTTTTTCCTTTTTTTGTGATGGGGTCTTCCTCTGTCACCCAGGCTGGAGTGCAGCAGTGCAATCACAGATCACTACAACTTCACTTCTGCCTTCCAGGCTCAAATATCCTCCCACCATAGCCTCCCAAGTAGCTGGGATCACAGGCATACAACACCAAACCCAGCTAATTTTTTTGTATTTTTGGTAGAGATGGGGTTTCACCAAGTTGCCCAGGTTGGTCTTGAACTCCTGAGGTCAAGTGATCTGCTGCCTCAGCTTCCCAAAGTGCTGGGATTACAGGTGTGATCCATGGTGCTTGGCCTGTATCTTTTAACTACTCCAAGTATATTTGTGAAGTAAGTTAAGTATTTGTGGGTGGTAAAGAGAGGGAGGTGATAAAGAAAGCAAGTCTTGTTGAACCCAGATGAAATTCTGTTACTGCTTTCATCAAATTTCAAATTAAACAACAACAATTACTGGCAAAACAAAAATATATTTGTAAAGATTTAAGCTCAAATAAAGTAAAAAATTTGGGGTAAAAAAGTTCAGTTTTACCAACAGTGCCTAAAGCATCACCATTAAATTTATAATAGCAGAGCTTAAGAGTCTTCATTACCTGTTGAATGGCATGCAATATGTCAATATCTATTTCATTTAAAGACTTCACTCTCTTTAAGAGACAAGATCTCATTCTGTTGCCCAGGCTGGAGTGCAATAGCCTGATTATAGCTCACTGCAGCCTCAAACTCCTGGGCTCAGTCATCCTCCCACTTCAGTCTCCCTAGCAATTGAGACTACATGTGTGAGTCACCACACCAAGCCAATTTTTAAAAACTTTTTGTAGAGGCAATGTCTCACTACTGTCCAGTCTAGTCTCAAACTCCTGGCTTCAGATTATCTTCCCTCCTTGGGCTCCCAAAGCACTAGGATTACAGGTATGAGCCACTGCACTTGGCCTTAGACCTCTCTTTAATAACCTATTCCAGTGAGAATTAACCCTATATTTGGAATTTGTCATATTATTTGTTCTACATTGCTTCAATTGGACTTACTCAATTGAGTAAGTTCAGTTCCCTTATTGAATATTACTGGACTTTAGTTACTACACTATACAACTCCCACTCCTTCCATCTTTATTATTCACCTTTCCCTAATTTACCACTCTGAAAAAAAGATAGCACAATAGATTCAATTTTAAATGAACTGTCAGAAATTTATACAGCCAGGCACGATGGCTCACGCCTATAATCCCAGCACTTTGGGAGGCTGAGGTGGGCAGATCACCTGAGGTCAGGAATTGGAGACCAGCCTGAGCAACATGGAGAAACGCTGTCTCTACTAAAAATAAAAAATTAGCCGGGCATGGTGGTGCACGCCTGTAATTCCAGCTACTTTGGAGGCTAAAGCAAGAGAATCGCTTGAACCCAGGAGGCTGGGGTTGCGGAGAGCCAAGATCATGCCATTGAACTCCAGCCTGGGCAACAAGAGCAAAACTCTGTCTCAAAAAAAAAAAAAACTAGTACAAAACTTTCTGTATATTTACAAAGATATTTATTATATGATCATTTACAATAATGATAAATTAAAAACAACCTAAGAATCTATAAACAGAAAAACAAGTAAATTATATATAAACATGTTTTTTAAAAGCTTAAAGAAAATACAACAAAATGATGAGAGGTTATCTCTGGATAGTGATTATTTTCTTATGTGTAGTTTCCGTATCTTCCAAATTTCCTAACATGAGTAACTGTTAAGTTTGATAAGCAAAAATTGTATATTTTGTAGATTCTTAGGCTGTTTTTAATTTTTTAAAAACTATGAAAAGCTTTTGTTGAAATAACCCTTTAAAAGGAGTGTAACTTCTCAAGAATTATGTTGCAAACAAAAACACTTACCTTTATATCAAAAGGTGATTTCTTCTTGATGTGAGGAGCCCAGTATTTACACGCTAACTGCAAAAGTAAACAGTATAAACAGTAAGTCACAGACTCATGCCATTGTAGAGCTAGAAGACAGATCATTTAGTGATAAGCTGTTTCTTAACAAGGCAATACTGGGCACTGGGGAGCAGACTAAATCTGAAGGGACTATTCAGACATATAGGCCAGTTAGCATCCTTGACACCCCAGACCACTAAATGCCAGTAGTGCTTTGCACAACATGCCACTGTGATTTAAACAAACAAAAAGTCCTCTCCAACCAGCCCTAGGGAAACAACACAGCCCAGTTAATAATCACAAAGCCAAACATCTTCAGCAAAGCGATAAGGAAACCCTAATCTAGAAAAAACAAATGACCTGCCTGTAATTACAGTTAGTTAATAGTTGAACAAGTATTACAAGTGATATTCAAAATCTTCATGAATACTTTCTAAAATAATGCGCCTCTAAATGATTAGTTCACACCCATACCAAAACCTAAAAAAACCGAATTGTACTCTATCAGCTGGTTATTACAGAGAATATAAGAGTTGGCATATTTCAGCAGACTAGGCTTTACCTATAAATTGTGAAATTTAAACAAATATATATATTTTCTCTACATACTTAAAGAAATAGCATAGCCTTATTCATAGAGTTTTGTTTAAAAAAACCAATTATAATTGCTTTAAAAATAGATCATGACACTGCACTCCAGACTGGGAGACAGAGGGAGACTCCGTCTCAAAAATAAATAAATAAATAAATAATAAAATAAATAGAAAACTGGTAAACACAACTCAACATATTTGTAAAAAGGTAGGGCAGGTGAGGTGGCTCACACCTGTAATCCCAGCACTTTGGGAAGCTGAGGTGCGCAGATCACCCGAGGTCGAGAGTTTGAGACGAGGCTGACCAACATAGAAAAACCCCTTCTCTACTAAAAATACACAATTAGCCAGGCATGGTGCCACATGCCTATAACCCCAACTATTCAGGAGGCTGAGGCAGGAGAATCCCCTGAACCTGGGAGGCACGATCATGCCATTGCACTCCAACTGGGCAACAAGAGAGAAAAATCTCAAAAAAAAAAAAAAAGAAAAAAAAAGGTGACTACTCTGCAGTGGCTGGCATATCAGAGGAACTCATAAAGTCTGATGGATAAATGGATGGACAAATGAAGTAAAATCTGAAATGTAACTTCTGTGAAGCTGTCTTCAACACTACCTGATGGTGACAACTGCTTTGTCCTTCTCTTCATTTTATATGTAACTCTTAATAATCTTACTTTTCTATATTATAAATATTTGATTGCTTATCCATCTTTCCTTCTCACTTAATTGGAACAATTAAGAGATGGAACCTGTTTTCTTTGCTTTTATAGCTCAGTGATGAACAGAGACAACACACTTAAAAAGTCTCCCAAGCCGGGCGCGGTGGCTCATGCCTGTAATCCCAGCACTTTGGGAGGCCGAGGCGGGTGGATCACAAGGTCAAGAGATCGAGACCATCCTGGCCAACATGGTGAAACCCCGTCTCTACTAAAAATACAAAACATTAGCTGGGCATGGCAGCACGTGCCTGTAATCCCAGCTACTCGGGAGACTGAGGCAGGAGAATTGCTTGAACCCAGGAGGCGGAGGTTGCGGTGAGCCGAGATCGCGCCATTGCACTCCAGCCTGGGTAACAAGAGCGAAACTCCGTCTCAAAAAAAAAAAAAAAAAGTCTCCCAAGCAGTTAGACACTGGCCCTGAGGAACAGCCTCTAAAAACATTACAGCAACTTCCTACTTAAATGACACCTTCCGGCTGGGCATGGTGGCTCACACCTGTTATCCTAGCACTTTGGGAGAACAAGGCATGCAGATCACCTGAGGTCAAGAACTGGAGACCAGGCTGGGCGCGGTGGCTCAAGCCTGTAATCCCAGCACTTTGGGAGGCCGAGGCGGGTGGATCACAAGGTCGAGAGATCGAGACCATCCTGGTCAACATGGTGAAACCCCGTCTCTACTAAAAATACAAAAAATTAGCTGGGCATGGTGGCGCGTGCCTGTAATCCCAGCTACTCAGGAGGCTGAGGCAGGAGAATTGCCTGAACCCAGGAGGCGGAGGCTGCGGTGAGCCGAGATCGCGCCATTGCACTCCAGCCTGGGTAACAAGAGTGAAACTCCGTCTCAAAAAAAAAAAAAAAAGAACTGGAGACCAGACTGGCCAACATGGTGAAACTCCATCTCTACTAAAAACACAAAAATTAGCCAGGCGTGGTTGCAGGCGCCTGAGTCCCAGCTACTCAGGAGGCTGAGGCAGGAAAATTGCTTGAATCCAGAGGTAGAGGTTGCAATGAAGCTAAGACTGCATCACTGCACTGCAGCCTTGGAGACAGAGCGAGACCCTGTCTAAAAAAAAAAAAAAAAAAGATTAGCAGATTAGCAAACATTTATGAAGCATCTACCATGTCCCATGTCTCTTCTCTGAGTTTCTCCTTTCCCTTGGGGTCTAATGTGTAATGACTCAAATATCAGGATCTCGCAGTATATATATACTGCCCTCCCTCAAACTCTCTAGTCTCATGTAAAATAAAAACTTTCCATTCCCTGCTTACTACAACTATGACAACATAAACTATTTAAAGTAAACCTTGCTAAAAGACAAAAAGGAAATAAAAATGTAATGGTATAAAAAAATGACGTCACGAAGTTTAGATCTCTAATCTTATTAAAACGAAATTTTAACCTCTTGATCTCATCCATTCAATAAATAATTTTAAAAGTACCTTTTCTGGCAAGGTATGCCAGATGCTCAGAAATTAAATTAAAAAGAAAAAATGAGAAGAAAACACCTAGTCCCAAGATGTCCCCTCTACCTAGAAAACCAATTCCCCCACCTTCCTCTCTAAATTTCAAAGTCCATCTCAAATGATACTTTCTCAATGAGAAAATTCTTTCCTTCAACAAAGTAATCATTTTATGCTCTTTTCTCAAAGCACTTCCCTCATACCCCAATCTGGCATTTCTCACATTAAACTATGATGAGTTCTTTTAAGTCTCTTAAAGTCTCCTTCCATAGACTGTGAACTCCTTGAAGGCAAAGATTATCTTTCTTTGCAGCCCGGAAGCGCCTAAACAGTTTCTGGCAAATATTAGACATTAATGCTTGTACCCATGGCCCAAGATTGCTGAGAACCTTCCTTTCTCCCACTATATCTTAATGATCTGGCATATTTGTTCATTAATTCACTTATGTGTTCATTTGACAAATACTCATCACACAACGTGTGCCTAGTACAATACCAGGTGCTGGGAGTACATGGGGAATAAAACAGACATTTTCTAAAATCTAACCCAGGATACCATAAATGTCATGTTTACAAACAATGTGCTCTAGGATATCTCATTCAATCCTATGGTGTTAAATGTCATCTAGAGTCAGTAACTCCCAAATTTATATTCAAGCCCAGATCTCACCCATGTGCTCTAGACTGACACATTCAACTGCCTTCTCAACGTTTCTAACTGAATACATACTAGCTATTTTACACATCACAGAAATCTTGATACTACCCAAAGAAAAATCTCTCCTTCTAGTCTTCCCAATCTTAGTAATGGCCAAACCATTCACCCAGTTGTTCAAACTATTCTGTTTGTCTCTTTCTTCCACCCCTACCACAAGCAATCATCAAATTCTATTGCCTCTAGCTTCAGAACATATTCAGTATACGTCGTTCTCTAACAGTACAGAGCACTACTCTTACCTGAACTAACTGGTAACCCTGTTAGAACTTATGTTCCCTCATTCCCATCCACTTTCCACACTTTAGGTACAGTGATCTTTCTAAAATATTATTCACCAGATTTCAAGAAATCCAAACTTCTTCAGATTCCAGAACTGTATATAATCTGGTCCCCACATGCTCTGTCCTCCTTTCCTATCATTCTTAGATTCTAGCTACCCAGGCCTTCCTGTGTGTGTGTGTGTGTGTGTGTGTGTGTGTGTGTGCGCGCGCGCGTGCGCAACAGAGTTTTGCTCTTGTTGCCCAGGCTGGAATGCAATGGCGCGAACTCAGCTCACTGCAACCTCTGCCTCCCGGATTCAGGCGATTCTCCTGCTTCAGCCTCCCGAGTAGCCAGGATTATAGGCATGCACCACCATACCTGGCTGATTTTGTATTTTTAGTAGACACCGGGTTTCTCCATGTTGGTCAGGCTGGTCTCGAACTCCCGTCCTCACGTGACCCAGACGCCTTGGCCTCCCAAAGTGCTGGGATTATAGGCGTGAGCCACCGCGTCCAGCTAAAGATTTTTAAGGACAGCCAGCCGTAGTGTAGTCCCTGTAGTCCCAGTGCAAGGGAGGCTGAGATGGAAGGATCACTAGAGCCCAAAAGTGGGAGACCAGCCTGGGCAACATAGTGAGACCCTATCTTTTTATCTTTTTTTTTTTTTTTTTTTTTTTTTTTTGAGACGGAGTTTCGCTCTTGTTACCCAGGCTGGAGTGCAATGGCGCGATCTCAGCTCACCGCAACCTCCGCCCCCTGGGTTCAGGCAATTCTCCTGCCTCAGCTTCCTGAGTAGCTGGGATTACAGGCACGCGCCACCATGCCCAGCTAATGTTTTGTATTTTTAGTAGAGACAGGGTTTCACCATGTTGACCAGGATGGGTGAGACCCTACCTTGAAAGAAAAAAAGGAAGGAAAGAAAGGAGGGAAGAGATTTTAAAAGGCAAGAGACATGATGAGATTTGCACTTGTATGAAATCACTTGGAAAGCAACATGAATGAGCTAGAGGGGAGCAAGAGGAAAGACAATATGACAGATTAGGATATCTTGGTCCAGGTGGAAAATAATGGCAACACCGCGGCTTAGGGTGACAAAGATGCAGAACAACCGACAGATTCAAAAGATATTCAGAATGTAGAAATGTAAGGGTTAAAGGAAAGGGAGCATTCAAAACGGCTCCTAGGGTTCTGCCTTAGCAAATCTGCTGAGACAAGGAATAAAGAATAAAGAAGCAGGTGGACATGTTAACTTCTAAGCTGAACTACCTACACTCTTACAAAACTCTCAAGTAAATAAGAATGAGGAATGTTGCTGACAACCACAGGGCTGTGTTTCCCTATCCAAAGCCAACTGTGGCTCACAATACAACACAGTAAACAGATTCTAAAGAAACGCTCTCAGCCGGGCGCGGTGGCTCAAGCCTGTAATCCCAGCACTTTGGGAGGCTGAGGCGGGTGGATCACGAGGTCGAGAGATCGAGACCATCCTGGTCAACATGGTGAAACCCCGTCTCTACTAAAAATACAAAAAATTAGCTGGGCATGGTGGCACGTGCCTGTAATCCCAGCTACTTAGGAGGCTGAGGCAGGAGAATTGCCTGAACCCAGGAGGCGGAGGTTGCGGTGAGCCGAGATCGCGCCATTGCACTCCAGCCTGGGTAACAAGAGTGAAACTCTGTCTCAAAAAAATAAATAAATAAAAAATAAAGAAACGCTCTCAAACTGCAGAATCACTCTCTACTTAGATGGATCTATTGGGAGGTGTTTTGTCAGTTTCTCATCACTGCTCAAAAACCCAGGACACTCTACGGACCAGGAAAAAACCCATTCCTACTTGAAGAGTGAGTCCAGCATCACTCTGCTGCGAAGTCTACTTGCCAGTCTCAGATGACATCGGCTGCTCTCCCCTCTCTGAATCAACTTCTCCTGAGACAAACTCCAATACAGCCAACCTCCTATAGTTTTCTTTTTATATGTGTCTGTCCTCCTTGAGCCATGGAGTTCAGGTCAGGGCAGCCTCTTTCACCTGGGTATGCCCAGCACTTAGCATTAGTGGTCGGCACAGAGCTAACAGTAAAAAGACTTGTGTGAATGAATTAACAAACGAATGCCTCCTAGGAGGTCCTAGTCCCGGGAAAAAAAAAAAAAAAAAAAAAAAGCTTACCACCAGGCCTCGGGGCCACGACGTCCTCACCCACTCACACACACCACACTCGCCCCAGCTCACCTGGGTCACGAACTCCGCGTTTATCTGGGACACCGTAGGGGCCACGATCTTCTTGGGCTGCGCAGTGGCTGCCATGGCAGCACTCTCCTCTCCACTCCAGGGGAAACGAAAGGACCGCCCCAAGTAGCAGCAAGCCTGGTCCACCTCCCCTAAGCAACTGCCGGGGCGCCTAACTCCGCGCTGCACGGACGCTCCGGACCGGATATCCTCTGTCTTCAGAGTCCTCTACGGAACCCGTACAACAGCCCAAGCGTTCCCCGGGAAGCGGAATGGCTTGTAGCCGGAAGTTCATGGAGTCGTTGGAGCTGAGCTAGAGAGCCAAAGGCTTTGACCTCCTCTGCACGCGCTCTCTAGCGGGCGGCAGACAGAAGACACCCTGCTGGCGAGATGAGAATGGCAGGGAGGGGCCCGGTGGATGGTGTTAGGTGAGGTTTCCCGTGGTTAGTGAGGAGTGGAGTGTGGGGTGAATGGGAATTTTTTTTTTTTTTCAACCCTACAGAAAAAAAAAAGGGCCGAGTGCAGTGGCTCACGCCTGTAATCCCAACAGTTTGGGAGGCCGAGGCGGGCGGATCACGAGGTCAGGAGAGCGATACCATCCTGGCCAACATACTGAAACCCTGTCTTTACTAAAAATACAAAAATTAGCTGGGTGTCTTGGCGCGCGCCTGTAGTCCCAGCTACTAGAGAGGCTGAGGCAGAAGAATCGCCTCAACCCGGGAGGCGGAGGTTGCAGTGAGCCGAGATCATGCCATTGCACTCCAGCCTGGGAATACGCGCTGGGTTTTAACTGCCTTTAACAGTAATGGAGGTAAAAACTGACATACAATAACCCAGCCTGGCGCGGTGGCTCACACCTGTAATCCCACCATTTTGGAAGGACGACTCAGGCGTTCGAGACCAGCGTGGCTAACACGATGAAACCCCTTCTCTACTAAAAACACAAAGGAATTAGCAGGGCATGGTGGCGGGCGCCTGTAGTCCCAGCTACTGGGGAGACTGAGACAGGAGAATCGCTTGAAGCTGGGAGGCAAAGGTTGCAGTGAGCCGAATTCGCGCCACTGCACTCCAGTCTGCAACAGAACGAGACTGCGTCTCAAAAAATAAAAACAAATTGACATAAAATAACCCACACATATTCAGGTTGTAAAATTTGATGCGTTTTGATATGATCATACATTTGTGAAACTATCGCCAAAATCATTATAAAAAGCCTATCAAAGCCCCTAAAATTTTCCTCGTGCGCTTTTGCAATCTGTGCCTTTCACTATTCCCACCCACTTTCAGGCAACCACTGATTTTGCTGTCACTATCGTTTGCTTTTCGTGGAATTTTATATAAATGAAATAATACACTGCCTGCCTTCTTTCACTCAATAAAATGATTTTGAGATGCATTCATGCTGTTTCGAGTATCAGTAGTTCATTTTTTATTGCTTAATATTCATTCCATTTTACTGATATACCAGCTTGATAAACTATTCATCTGCTGATAGTCATTTGAGTTGTTGTAGGTTCTTGGTTATTACAAATAAAGCTGCTATGAGAATTTGTGTAAGTGTTTACGTGAACATATACTTCCTTGTCTCTTAAGCAAATACCTAGGAGTGAAATGTTACATGATAGGTGTATGTTTAAGTTTTTAGAAACTGCCATCTTTCTAAAGTAGTTGTACTATTTTACATTCACATCAGGAGCATATAATTCTAGTTTCTTCTCCACCTCACCAACACTTAATATGGACAATCTTTTTTTTTTTTTTTTTTTTTTGAGACGGAGTTTCGCTCTTGTTACCCAGGCTGGAGTGCAATGGCACGATCTCGGCTCACCGCAACCTCCGCCTCCTGGGTTCAGGCAATTCTCCTGCCTCAGCCTCCTGAGTAGCTGGGATTATAGGCACGCGCCACCATACCCAGCTAATTTTTTGTATTTTTAGTAGAGACGGGGTTTCACCATGTTGACCAGGATGGTCTCGATCTCTTGACCTCGTGATCCACCCGCCTCGGCCTCCCAAAGTGCTGGGATTACAGGCTTGAGCCACCGCGCCCGGCGACAATCTCTTTTTTTTAACTTTTAAGTTCAGGGATACATGTGCAGGATGTGCAAGTTTGTTACATAGGTAAAGGTGTGTCATAGGGGTTCATTGTACAGATTATTTCATCACTCAATTATGAAGCCTAGTATACATTAGTTTTTTCTTATCCTCTCCCTCCACCCATCCTCCACCCTCTGGTAGGCACCAGTGTGCGTTGTTCTCCTCTATGTGAATATGGATAGTCTTTTTAATTGTAGTCATCATTTATTTATTTATTTTGAGACAGAGTCTCACTCTGTTGCCCAGGCTGGAGTGCAGTGATAACGATCCTGGCTCACAACCTCTGCCTACCAAGTTCTTCTCCTGCCTCAGCCTCCCAAGTAGCTGGGATTATAGTTGCATGCCACCACACCTGGCTAATTTGTGTGTGTGTCTGTGTGTGTGTGTGTGTGTGTGTGCTGAAGATTTATTTCTTTCATTTGAAGTACTCTTTGATGACATCTTTGGCCTGAGACTCCTTGCCATAGTCCTTAATACACAACCGCAACCAACCACTTTACAGGGTTTCCCATGTCAGTTTTACAGAGGCCTACCCATTCCCCTAGTTTCTTGTTGTCATCAACCTTAATAAGGTTGATTTGGTGTTCAGCACAAAGGGCCTCCACCAACTTGGCATACACAGGCTCATCACAGTTGGATGGGCTTGGCGCTTGTCTACGGTTTTGGCAGCTTCGCGAATTCCGCATGCTAGGCCATCGTGGATGAGGGCCGTCTTCAGCACCTCTTGTAAAGCAGTATTAATGTCCATCACACCTCCAGCAGCAATGCCTTCCTCGGCCACAGCTGTGAGTTAAGGGTGAAGCTGAATCTTGAACCCACCCAAGCCTCTACCTCCGCAGGACTCGGAGAGCAATTTTTCTATTTTTAGTAGAGACAGGGTTTCCTCATGTTGGCCAGGCTGGTCTGGAGCTCCTGACCTCAAATGATCTGCCCACCTTGGCCTCTCAAAGTGCTGGGATTAGAGGCGTGTGCCACCGGGGGTGCCCGACCCTGAATTTTAGTCATTTTAATAGGTGTGTGATATATTTCATTGTGGCTTTCATTTGGATTTCCCTATAACTAATGATGTCGAGCATCTCTTCATGTGCTTACTTGCTAGTAATATATCTTCTTTGGGGAAGCCTCTATTCAGATTTTTTGCCCTTTCCTTAATCAAATAACTTTTATTTTTACTGAGTTTGAATGCACACCTCTACCATTCCCAAATTTGTACATAAATGAAACATGTGTCTCTCGTTAAACTCTCCGTGGATGAACACATGAAGCAACTGATAACACCATGGTTTCCAAGAAGGATGAACGGTGGGGAGGGGACAACAGGAAGGGAAGAAACTTATTTTACACTTTATACCCTTTTGTAACTTTAAAATTTTGTAATACATATGACATGCTCAAAAATAAAGTGTGGGCTGGGCCCGGTGGTGCACACCTGTAGTCCCAGCACTTTGGGAAGCCAAGGCAGGTGGATCATCTGAGGTCAGGAGTTTGAGACCAGCCTGTCGAACAAGGTGAAACACCATCTCTGCTAAAAATGCAAAAACTTGCTGGGCATTGTGGCATGCACCTGTAATCCCAGCTACTAAGGAGGCTGAGGCAGGAGAATCGCTTGAATCCAGGAGGCAGAGGTTTCAGTGAGCCAAGATGGCACCACTGCACTCCAGCCTGGGCAAGAAGAGTGAAACTCTGTCTCAAAACAAACAAAAAAAAGAAACAAAAACAAAAACAGCATGAAGGTAAAAGCAAGAGCCTTTAGGAATGGAGATTAAATGTGAAGTCCCTTTCCCCCCATATGTTATTGTATAAAGTTTGTTCAGAGTGCTAGTGATGAAAATTTGCATAATCACAATTTTAAATGTAACAGATTTTGAATGTATAATATCTATTGACATTTTATTTCCAAACACAGTGTCTATAAAACAGGAAAAATAAGATCTTCAGATGGCTTTTATGATGAATCTTGACATATAACATTTTGACTAACAAAAACCACAGGTACTGTATTTCTACACTATGCTATAGTTACAGCACAAATGAAGCCACGGAGGCAGGTCATGCGGGACTAGGTCAGGAGTGAGCAATATGGCTTGATGTGTTGAAAGCCTTGAAAGATAGGAAGAGGAAGCCCTCTTCCACAATAAAGATTGTGGAGACAATGGGAAACCACTGATTGTAAATGTATTTTTGGAAGATGACTTCTGAGTGGTATGTCAAATGGGTTGGTGCAGGTACTATGGGGATGGGAATATCAGCTAGGAGACTACTGCAAATATAAAACTAAAAAGGACTAAATATGGGTTCTGGCAGTCAAAATGAAAAGGAAGGAATAAATGTGTAAGACATTGGAGAGACAGAAAAAGAGAAATTACCAGCCGGGCGCTGTGGCTCAAGCCTGTAATCCCAGCACTTTGGGAGGCCGAGGCGGGTGGATCACAAGGTCAAGAGATCGAGACCATCCTGGTCAACAAGGTGAAACCCCGTCTCTACTAAAAATACAAAAAATTAGCTGGGCATGGTGGCACGTGCCTGTAATCCCAGCTACTCAGGAGGCTGAGGCAGGAGAATTGCCTTAACCCAGGAGGCGGAGGTTGCGGTGAGCCGAGATCGCGCCATTGCACTCCAGCCTGGGTAACAAGAGCGAAACTCCGTCTCAAAAAAAAAAAATAAAAAAATAAAAAAATAGAAAAAGAGAAATTACCTTTAGTAATTGAAAGAATAGGCTGGGTGTGGTGGCTCATGCCTGTAATCCAAGCACTTTGGAGGCCAAGGCGGGCAGATCACCTGAGGTCAGGAGTTCAAGACCAGCCTGACCAACATGGTGAAACCCCGTCTTAAAAAAAAACAAAAAACAAAAACGGGCCAGGCGCGGTGGCTCAAGCCTGTAATCCCAGCACTTTGGGAGGCCGAGGCGGGTGGATCATAAGGTCAAGAGATTGAGACCATCCCGGTCAACATGGTGAAACCCCGTCTCTACTAAAAATACAAAAAATTAGCTGGGCATGGTGGCGCGTGCCTGTAATCCCAGCTACTTAGGAGGCTGAGGCAGGAGAATTGCCAGAAAGGAGGCAGAGGTTGTGGTGAGCCGAGATCGCGCCATTGCACTCCAGCCTGGGTAACAAGAGCGAAACTCCGTCTCAAAAAAAAAAAAAAGAAAAAAGAAAGAAAGAATAGTGGAAGCAAAAAGCACAATAGAGAAGACAGAGGGTGGAGTAG